AACTGAGCAGCGATTACACTCACCGAGTAATTGCAATATGTGGTGGTCGTCTTCGGAAACGTGCTAACATGAGGCAGTGGAGAGCACTCAGGCAGCAGCTCTCGCTTCGAATCACAGCCTCACAAGCCTCCTTTCATGATTCGTTGTGGCGTGTGCGCCAGAAGGCGCACAACGTCGATTCTATCATAGAGTGTTTGAGCAATGAGGACATGCTTGGATATGTTGTGCCGTTCACAAATTGTTATGGTGAGGATGTTGAACAGAATCAACGTCGAGCGCCCTCCGGGATTTGCCGATTTCTTTCAAGGTCCCAGGCGGACAAAATATCTCGCGTGCGAGATGCCATTTTGGCACCCGATACTCACCCTATTTGGTAGACCTACCTCATTGGCGGGTGTTTTCCCACACAAAATTCGATTCGGAACTCAAACTCGTTTTCAAACTCGTTCTCGACCTCAGAATTCGTTGGGAATCGTCTCGCCGGCCGATCAGTGCGCGGTGAGATGCAAAATGGGCAGTTGCATCTCCGAAAGGGACCCTCACGCCAGCCGACCCCAGGACACGCAAAAGAAAAGAAAAGAAAAATGATAATGTCACGGTGGCCAATATCCTGCCTCCAGCATTGAGTCACCTGAAACTCTCATCTTTATTAGTTGATGTGCCTACACGGCTGCAACTGGCTCTCCTGTTGGGTGTAGACACCTTTGCCACCTGAAGTAAGTACACCTGAAGTGCCGCACCTCTGGAGTCCGAAAAGTCCGCCTATAGGCCTATAGCGGGCAATTCTTTCCCCGACTGGCGAGGGTATGTCTGCGGGGTCATAAAGTCTTGCACACTCTCTTTGCATCAATTGGCATGTAGAACTGATATTCAGTGGAGTGCCTTACGCTTTAAAGGCATACACGGGCAATGCATGCGCCACCTACAGGATAAGATGTGGCCCCGGCAACCGGCACCTTTGATGCCGAATATGGGACACTGGTGGCCCCATCGGGCACTAGTCTCCCACAGACAGACCTTGGTGTTGAAGATAGGATGTTCAACGTGTCAAGTCGGGCACTCTCCATCCCTGTATGGCCTTTCAAACTGGGAGTTTTAGTATTATAAATGAGTTTTGAAAACGAGAATGAGTTCTGACAATGAAAACCAGTTTTGGCATCAAGAACGAGTTGAAATATGGAAATGATGGTTCGGTTTCTGTCAACAGTGCGAGAACGTCCCGATTTGATTAAAAACCGGTCCGGAAACCACTGTTCTCATGCGAATAATTTTGTCCGGTGAGGACCTTCATATCTTTGTCCGCCGGAACTTGAACAGCTCACGTTCATCGTCGACGTCGACGTCGACATCGACAACTTGCCAATCCAAACCCTCACTGTTTACTTTGCTTGCTATCATCTGTGCTACTGCATTGATTTCCTAGCTTTTTAACCTGGAAATCTTCTTCAGACATGATAATATCGCGTCACACCCTGAAGCGTCGCATCCTCGCTGCGACTGCCACCTCGTCCGTTACATCGACTTCTGCCAAAGCTGGTTCTATCTCTGGTATCAAACGTGAAACATCATCTTTAGCGAGCCATAATGATATCACTGCGACACGAAGAAGAATGATCGATGGGTTAGGACCCACGGAGCCGGGGGTTAGAAGATTCGCTTCATTCGCCGGTGAGTCGTCTTCGCCAGGTTCACAATGGGTTTCGAAGGGATAAGTCAGGGAACCCAACATGCTTGGGTACCCTGGTACTCTCAGAGTTCCTCACACCATATATTGAGACACCACAACGCAGAATGAGCCTACGTCCGCTGAAACACCTGGCCCAGCCGCTTTTTCTCATCTGTTATGTCACTTTCTAACTCAGCAAACCGGCGCTTGTATCAGACAGCCCATCCTTGCCTTTATCCCCTCGGAAACCCCACTTCGACAAGATACTCATAGCAAATCGGTGCGTCATTCTTTCTCATTCATTTCACCAGACTGAGTCCATATCCTCGATATTTCAGTGGCGAGATCGCATGCCGTGTAATCCGAACAGCGAAGAAGCTGGGTATCAAGACTGTCGCTGTGTATAGTGAAGTCGATGCGGATTCGATGCACGTCGGTTTGGTACGTAACCCTCCAGTCTTCAATTAATATGATATTTCCTAAAGATATGTTCTTCTAGGCCGATGAGGCATACTGCATTGGGCCCGCCCAATCGTCCGAGAGTTATGTGAGGGGAATGTCGCATCCTGCCCTCTGTCTCAACTAGTATCCTGTACCAGTTCAACTGATGTGTCTTTCGTCTACATATAGCTTCGGAAAGACAAGATCATCGAAGTCTGTCATAGGAGCGGCGCTCAAGTATGGCTTATGTACTTTCTAGACCACACTTCACGTTTCTTTATTGATTTTGTGTGATTGCCAGGCTGTTCATCCTGGATACGGATTCCTGAGCGAGAACGCCGATTTTGCGGAACAGCTTGTTAAGGAGGGTATCGTGTTTATCGGCCCTCCAGCCAGCGCCATCGTTAGCATGGGATCGAAGAGGTACGTAGCCTCATTCTACTTTCCTTTATGTCTCTTTACATGGCCCTCTTTGTTTGGCGACTGACTTTTGTTCCTTTGCAGTGAATCGAAGACGATCATGTCCAGTACGAACTTGCATCCGTCTTCTCTTCCTCAGCCAATATCTTGTGCCTCATTCCCTCGAACCTCGTCTTGTCTCTCAACCTAAAACTGTAGATGCTGGCGTGCCTTGTGTCCCGGGATATCATGGGACGAACCAAGACCCCGAGTATCTCTTCGAAGAAGCACAGAAGATCGGCATGTCTCTCTCGCGTTCATTTCTCTTGCCGTCCTTGAATTCATATTTTTTACAACATAGGCTTCCCTGTCCTCATTAAGGCCGTCCACGGCGGTGGTGGCAAAGGAATGCGCACAGTTTCTCCCCCATCTAATACAACAGAATGGGATTCCAGAACTGCCTTCCTCGAAGCGCTACAGTCCGCCCAGCGAGAGTCCTTAAAGTCCTTCGGCGATGATACAGTTCTCGTCGAGAAGTACATTGAAAGACCGAGACATGTGGAGGTGCAGGTGTTTGCGGATGAGAGGGGCGACACTGTCAGTCTCTGGGAGAGGGATTGTTCGGTCCAGAGGAGGAACCAGAAGATAATTGAGGAAGCGCCGGCGCCAGGACTTTCGCCGGAGTTGAGAGCGGATCTGAGCGAGAAGGCGGTTGCGGCCGCGAAAGCGGTGAATTATGTAGGGGTGGGGACTGTTGAGTTCATCTTTGACAATGATACGAATAGGTTCTATTTTATGGAGATGTGAGTTATTTATTACTCCTTTCCTATATGGGGCTGCGACGCGAAACTGACACCGATACGATGACAGGAATACGAGATTGCAAGTCGAGCATCCCGTTACAGAGATGATCACAGGCCTTGATCTCGTTGAGTGGCAACTCGAGGTGCGCGTCATTCCCTGTCCCCTAAACATCCTATCCGAGATTCCTTCACCAGTCATAGTAACTCTTATGTTCGAATCATAGGTAGCAGCAGGTAACCCGCTCCCGATGGACCAATCCTCCATCCCGCTCGTAGGTCATGCCTTCGAAGCGCGTATATACGCAGAGAACCCCCGCAACGATTTCCTGCCCGACTCTGGCCGGCTCCTCTACCTCTCCACTCCAACGCCTACACATATTTTCGCTCCTACTCTTCCTCCAGCTACGACTCCTATTCTCCCGACACACTCTAATAACGCCGATCTTTCTCGCATTGCAGCTCTTGCGCCCTCGACACCTACACAAACATTCGGCCCGACGCGTTTCACCCCGTCCGTCCGCCTCGAACAAGGTTTCACACAAGGTGCCCAGATTGGCGTGTTTTACGACCCGATGATCGCCAAGCTTGTGGTTCATGCGGAGGATAGGACAGAGGCGCTGAGGGTATTGAGGAAGGCGTTGGAGGAGTATAAGGTTGTGGGCGTGAAGACTAATGTGGAGTTCTTGAGGACGTTGGCGGGATGCGAGGGCTTTGTGAAGGGAGAGGTTGAAACGGGTTTTATCAAGGTGGATATACGACCCTCCTCGTTACCCAAAGGAAGATAATGGTAGTAATTGCTAACACAAATTGTTATTTCCCAGAAACATAAGGAGGAGCTGTTCCCGCTCTTGGACGAGCCGTCAGCGGAGGTTCTAGCCCAGGCAGCGTTGTACGTGGTGTTGAGAGACCACCCAGCCATGCCTTCGTCCGCGATACTTACATCTCCATGGCTCACCCTGCCCTCCCGACGATTCGGAGGAGACATATACGAACGCACCATCATCTTCCAATCCGAAGATTCGTACTCCCCGGATTCTGACTCTCTTAATACGGCAAACACGGTAAAAGTCAAGTGCCTGTCTTCCGGTCTCTTCGACGTTATCGTTACTACCACCGATGGCAAGGAGACAGAGTATAAGGGAGTGCAAGCAAAGCTAGATTCCTCGACCGGAGGGACAGCATTAGAGGCCATGTTGGATGGGAGGAATGCGAGATCGACTATTGTTTCTCAGGCCCCACCTCCCGCTGTCCCTGCATCAACTTCACCGGCCACTATGGAGCGTTTGCACGTCTTCTCTCCCTCCTCACTCTCTGAATCCAACACTCAACAACGTCACACCCTCATAATTCCTACTCCCTCTTGGCTCCTCTCTCTCGGCTCCGATATCCTGTCCCACTCCCACACCAAAGATCTCGGAACCCTTCGTGCTCCTATGCCCTCCCTTGTCGTGGACGTGAAAGTCGAGGTCGGACAGAGAGTGGAGAAAGGGATGGTGGCGGTGGTATTGGAGAGTATGAAGACGGAGACGGTGGTTAGGGTCGATGTAGCGGGTGTGGTGACGAGTGTGGGGTGTGGGAAAGGGGAAATGGTGGAGGAGGGGAAGGAACTGGTAAGGGTTGAAGTTGAAGAAGTCGATAAGGTCAAGGAGGCAGATGAAGGGAAGGGTGTAGAAGAGGTGCCTGGAGCTGCGATTTGAACTTTTGATCGGACTATTCTCTCGGGAACTGAGATAAGTGTACAGGTGGTCACAGAAACACATGGCCGTGTAAGTATGTATGATAGTAAGACTGTGTATATGGAATTGTACATATACCGGAGCTGGAACAAGGCGCACAATGTTCAGTAACTTGCTTTCAGTGGCAACTCGATGAAAGACAGCGCTGGGGTCCAACTTAGGCCACCCTGAGCGCTCCGGTCCCTGCCGCTTGATGGATTTGCGCGAAAGAAGGTTGAACGATGTTGATATTATTTTGACCGCGTGAAGACAAGAAAGGTTCACAAAAGCAGATGATGGGTGGCGGCAAGTAGCAATGTTATGACCAAAGAATAGCCCTCCAGTGCAGGCCTATACATGTAATGCTAACATGACTGCATCGGTGTGGCGATCTCGGTCGATCACTAACCACCGGAAGTACCACGCCATCCCCACCTAAACATTCCCTTCCCCCTTCTCCAGGTCTCCTTCCCGCCCAGAAATCTCCTCTCTCAACGTTTCTCTATCGGCCTCGTCTGGTTGCTCCTCTGGATCCTTTTCCGCTTGTATATCCCTCAGGAACCTCTCCGCCTCTGCCGCATACTTGCACCTCTTCCTAATTTCCGACCCATACCTATAAAACAGAAACGGGAAGGGCACGCACGCCAATGCCAGAAACGCCGGGACAGTGCTCGCCCAATGGATCCCCAGATTCTCGAACATATAGGTCGTGAATAGTGGGAATGCAGCACCAAAGAGGGACCGAAGGACGGAATTGGCGGCGAGAACGGAAGCGGCATATATGACATAGGAGTCGATGAGGTAGTTGAAGACAGAGAGGAACACGAGGACCATGCCGAAACCGAAGGGAGCGGTGGCGATAACGGAGACAATCCAGTGGATGGATGGAGAATTTGTCCATGCGAACCAGAATAGACCGATGGGGAGGGCAAGGCAAGAGACCATGGCCGGGTGAAGGCGTTGTTCCGGAGGCGCCTTGCCACCAGCTTTGATAGCAGCACGAACGTAACGTTTGTTTTCGTAGAAGATACTGCGTAGAATGTGAAAGGATGAGATGAAGTTTCGTGGAGATATATAAAGGGGCGACGCACACGTAGAGGATGCCAGACATCATGCCCATAACGACGCCGATAAAGGGAAGGGCACCGATGCCTTGCGACCATCCGCGCTCCTCTTGATATACAATCGGAAAGGCTCCGAAGCACAAGTATAGTGTTCCATAAACTGAAGTCATTTTATATTCGTTAGCGGGAGGTAGTCGATGAAGGCCTTTATCGTAGTGAAACTTACTGATGGCCATATACAACGAAAGCAAAAATACAATTGGCTCTCTGATCAACAGCTTCCAAGGCCTACTCAAAGCGATACTCATCGTCCGACTGAAAGTCTGCTTTCCCCTATCATAATCTAACTGACTGAGGTACACCTTTCCGGTGATCTCGCTCAGTTTGGCGGCTCGGCGACGTAGTAGGACGGGGGCGTAGGTCTCAGGGATTATGAGTGATCCTGCGATCCAAAGGACGCCAGTGAAGATGGTCATGAGACCTTCAACCCAGCGCCAGCCTTCGGTCTCACCAAGGAAGCCGCCTACGATGGGGCCGATGGCGGGACCGAGAAAAGGGGCAGATGAGAAGATTGCCATTCCGAGGCCACGTTCGTTCGCGCTGAGAGTCTTAGACTTAACAAGGCGCAAACAACAACACAAATAACATGATACGCACTCGAAAATGTCTGCAATGACACCGCCTGAGTTGGTGAGAGGACTCGAACCAATCGCGCCCGCAAAGAACCGGAGTACGAGGAGAGTCTGGATATTCTGCGCTCCAGCTGCACCTAGAAGATAGAACGACTTTTGAGCACCGCGTACTAGACGACAACAGACATCCAATTGAACATACCAGCATTGAACGCTGTCAAACCAGCAAATGTCACGAAGTACAAAATTTGCCTCCCGTAAAGCTCACTCAGCGGGCCCCAAAGCAACGGTCCAATCGCAAAGCCCAATACGAACAAAGAGACACCCAATGTGATCAACTCCGTCCCAACCCCGAATGCCTCCATCATCTCCGTGATCCCACCAGTGAACGCACTCGAGGCAAACGTTACTGCTAAAGTCGCGACGGCACATGTCACTGTGACGAGCCATTTCTTCCACTTCTTCCATGTTTTTGGGTTTCGTGGATCGTGTGGGATGAATTCGATGCGGTAGGGATCTTCGGGCGTTCCGGATCCCGGGTAGGAGTGGTGAAGGACCTTGTCAGTGATAAGAGATTGGGAGAAGACGATTCGCAGATGTGAGATGTTGTTGTATGGCGCGTGCATGAATGAAATATCTGGCGAGGACTTGGAGCGAGGATCAGGACCTGCATAAGTGTGCTGTGAGGGTATTGACGGAGGTGGGCCCCCCATTACGGCCAAGGATATCCTTAAAATTAATTTACGGATGGCGGGAGCGTCCCAAGAGAGGAGAACGACGCAAGAAGGCAACAGATGCGAAGGAAGGAACGACACACGACCTCAAGGAAGCACTGTGGGTCGCCTTATAACTAGCAGCAGCCCACCGGCAGTGATGTGGCGCAATGACAGGACACGCGCAGTGTATCCACACCAAGATGGTGTACGCGGTCAGCCACTGAGCGTCGTCTATATACCGATAAGGATCGCTATTTAGACAGGCAGCACAGGGTGATAGATTGTCAAGTACGTAACTTGCCTACGGGATATTTGGGGCTGACTATGCAAAGTCGTCGATGGTCAAGCGGGAGATTTTCAACAGATTATCCCTTGACTCGTAGAAATCCCCTGATCTGGTCAAGTCCTTCAGGTTGAAGGCTGCTCTGGCACTAACATTGTAGTTACCGGACTGTGCAGATCTGCCCTGGTCCAGCAGTTCAAGAACGCCGTGAAATTCCTAGGATACGACTTGCAAAAAGTCAAGCATCAAAGACGTCTGGCGGCCTCACTTCAGAGAAAAGTTTCGGCTTAGACGGTAGAAATGGATAGGCCCACGGATACGGTTATGAATCGGAGTCGCTGCCCGAGGTACTTATTAACTATGGGAGGCGATAACATTGAATGTCAATCGCAGGGCTTGCGTGACAGAGGAGGCAGTCGGATGAGCATAGATAGAGTGTTATGGAGGTATGATGGCCAGCCACGGAGAATTTCATTCAAGCCCAGACTCCAAATCGGATCGCATTATTTCCGGGTTGGTCGGTGATTACATCATACAGCTTCCTACTCCCGCCACACAGTGGCACACGTCGAACATCTTGTTTTGCAAGTCCAATGTGGCGAACATATCCGCAGTTGCCCCGAATCTCCCTGAAAAATACTCCTGATCGTATTGTGATACTTATTCTTAAAAGCTACTGTTACAGTATCGCGCACCGCACCCGTTCTCTAGTTGGCCCACCTTCAAATTAGATGGCCCACTCAGACCTTCACTCCAGTCGTTCTTCTCTGGCCGGCTAACTACCCAGACGGTTGAATATAGCCCGACCCACACACAGGTAGTGTAAACCCCTTCGGGGTCCACATACGTGCCGCATCTAGCGCTTCATTTCGTGTGGAGGGCACCTACGAAGTTCGACATCGCTTGTGTTCTCCCATGGAAGAGTTCTGGCAGGGTGATAGCGGCCGCTTCTCTCGACTTACCGTCTGCCCAGTGCCGCCTCCCAGTGCCACCCTGTATTCCACGATCGCACTCGATTTCTGATCTTGCTTCTAGGATCTCTTGCTGATCTGTTGACAAATAATGTCACGAAAAGGAATGGTGAGGGCACAGAGTACGTGCTCGTTCCGAAGGGAAGGGTGAAAAATGCGTCGAAGGACGATGTGCGATGCAGACAGGTGAATGTGGCGGGGCACTCTTTGGTACAGACCCTGCCTTCCACATTTGATACTCGGAAAGACCCCAAAGAAGGGCAAGGTAGGATTCACAATGAAACCTGGGAGAATAGCTCACAGGAATAGCCTAGGGTTCCGTGGTCGAGGGACCTGTGGATGCAACGGTCTACTGAGGTCGGACGAACCGTAATATGAAGAGAAAATGTTTAAAAAAATGAGACGAAGAAAAGTGTCGGCTTAGGAGCAGTGAGTGGATGAGCAGAACATGGACAGCACTGGCTCGGGACCTGAAGACTGCCAGCGACTATGCGCTGGGAGATAAGGTGCGATGTCGAGTTGCATATGTATACTAGATGGTCTACATAGATGATTTTACATGAGCTCTCAAGTGGAAAAGCGGGTGAACATGAAACTGCACAACGAACCCCGCGTAGAGTAGTAATTGTCGTCAATGCATACTATTGCTAGTATTAGGCCACTCCCTGGCCGCGTCCTCTATGGTTTGCAAGTATTTGAGCCTCACAGCAGCCTCCCTTGTCAAGGCCCAGTTCTTTTGGTGAACAGCGTCCTCTATCTCTTGCAATACAGCTTCGATCTTGACTGTACGTATGAACCATCAGCCACACAGTAATAATCGGAAGGCTGGAGGAGATGTAAGACGACAGATTGCAGACATACGCTTATTCGTATCCCTGATCTCTGTCATCTGCTCTTCGTCTGTAGCGTCCTCTATCTCTTCTCTCGCCTCCATGACCTCCATGATAAATTGCTTGTCGTCTAATTTATCCGTTTCCTCGAGGACTTCGACACCCTCTTGACCAAGGATATATTGCACGCGGGACACAGGGTTCAAGAGGACTTGATAGGCCGTGTTCACAACGGACGACAGATATCGGGCCTTGTCCGCCTTTTCCTATTGATTTCGTCCGCGGTAAGCTACTTCGTGTTACGAAGGCGGGAGATTTGAAGAAATGGAACGTACCTCCCCTCGCGAAGCCCAAACGTCTGGATGAATAAACCTCTGTACCTGCCTGAACTTCTGCTGTAGTTCCTTCGCGTCAATCAAAAAGGGGTTCGAATTTGGGTCTGTGTCCAGACCTAGAATTTCGTAGTATGAAACGTCTGGGAATTTGGACTCGATGTGAAAACACTTTGGGCATGCCGGTAGAGGCGTTGGAAGAGGGTTTCCGCAGGATATACACGCGCTCTTGCGTGGATTGGGTTTAACGGAATAAGCCCGTAAGGCGTGTGGTGATGTTGGTGAGGGTCGTGAGCGGTCAAGAAACAAGCCTGAGTGAGGTGGCGGATGGTAGTGCGGTAGAAGAGATGTGTGCCGGTGACAGAGAAGAGTCCGTAATGCTGGTCTGCAGCGATACATGGGGGTTAACTCTTTCGTTAAGAGACAGGTACAGTCCAGTCAAAATGAGACTTTATTATGAAGTCAAAGAGTCTTGTTGTGGACGAGAATAAGTTAGAAGCGAAGTCTTACGGAGGAATATTCATCAGAATAAGATGGATATTTCCGGCAAGAGTTGACGTCACTGTTCGAACTTCCGTGTATACACGTCGGCACGCCACAGTGGCCCTCTTCCGTTCTATGCCTCTACCACCATCACAGCTGCCACCACACTCTTTTTAGCCTCCTTCTTTCTCGATAATTTTCTCATTTCTAACCATCTCTCGGGCTATACCACATATTAACATTGAATGCCAACGTCCCATGCGGCATCTTCACAGGACCATGCTATGGATCAATACCTCTCTGTCCCCTCCCCCATACCACATGCGGACGACCCATCAGCTGCAGACGCCGCCCGGCTTCGTCTGCGACCGAAGAAAAGTATCCTCTCGTTGATTTCGATGCCAAGTTTGAGGAGATCTAGTAGGCGGCTCAGCAAGGCTTCGACTGCGTCCCTAGGCGCGAACTCGGATGCGGAAGGCAGTTGGGCGGGGAGAGGAATAGGAAGGGGGAGGGGGAGGGCTGATGAGGTGGTAGAGCGCTCTATAGGAAGAAGTGACGTCGATGGCGCTAGCGTGGTGACAGACTTGGTCAAACTGGACGACGGCTTGGCCAGGGGGCACGATAACTCGTACTTGGACGATGAGACGAAGGACGTGTATCGGTGGGCTATGGTCTACGAGAACCAACGCGGGTGAGTATTCCACCTTTTCCAAGCCGTATATTTACAGTATACTTTCTGGACGATTAGTTGCGTCAGCCAATGTGGCTTCCTTTGTCCATCTGAATCTTCTCGGGAGCTATGAAATTAACACGTCCAATGATCATCGGCCCGATGAGTTATCACAAAATCTGCCTCTTGGACGGATAGTGTGGTATATCGCTATGCGGATCCGACTGTTTGCTAGCTTAGAGCTCTCAAATATACTCTCTATATATAGCTCTAAACCTTGATATGTGCAGCTAGGCGTTTCCATGTCAGGAACCCGCCTCCATTTGTTCTTCAGAACCCTCTGCGTACCCTGTGTCATGGTTATTATGGATCGCTAACAACACATATTTCCTCGCTCACAGAATGACACTATTCTCAACAGCATACTACTCCCATGCTTCCCTCCTCCCCACCGATCCACCAGCCTACACCCTCCCCTCCGCCACAGCCTCCCGTACCTCCCCTCGAAAAACACAACCACTCATCAAACACCTCGAATCCTACCCCCTCCCCGACGGAACGTGGCGTTGGGTCTCCACTGCATGGATGATCGACATGCGTGACGGTGGCTCTGTACAACACGACGGTTTCGAATATAATTGGTTTTTTAGGAGGGGAAAGTGGAGGGCTGAAGTGGGGAGATTGAGTAGCGGAGGGTTGGTTAGGAGACGGAGGTGGGTAAGGTTGATGATGCGCCCTGGGCGGGCGAGAGAACCATGTCACGAGGGAGTGGAGCGTGCTGAGGAAGAGGAGAGGGATACGTTAGGAGTAGGGATGGGTGGAGAGCAGAGCAGAGTGAATATCAGTCCGAGTAGGGGTGGATCGTATCCTGCTTCTGTCATTGAGATGGATGTTGAGGAGGATCAGAGACTGATTCGGGAGGTGTGGCAAGGGGATGCGGGTGATTGGGAGAGATTGAGGAACCTGATGAGGGGGCTGGGAACGGATGGGAAGAAGTTGGAGGTGTGGAGGGATTGGTTAGGCGTTGAGGCTGAGGCTATTCCAGAACAAGAGACGACAAACGGTGATGTGAAGAGGGGGAAACAGAGACAGAAACAATGGACTGAGGACTCGCAGGTTTTACCTTCGGAGAAGACGAAGGCTGCGATGGATGCAAAAGGTTCAATCGCTGAGGGTCGGCCATCAATTCGGGATGTGGTTAAGGTGGTGCGAGAGAATGTGCGTGTTATTCCTCTCCTTTGAACTATTTATTTACATTTTCTGGCTTACGTTCCCGAAACCTCCAGGCCGAAGACATCTTAGAGTCGTTCATCTTCCCTGACTCAAGAGCACATTTCATCCGCATTCTGGCACGCGCGAATATACTTCCGGAGCTCATGAGTGGTCTGCCTCCAGATTACAAGACTACCGCGAGTGCCGTCGACTTTTGGAGCTACCTGGACGTGGAGGGCATGAAAGAGGTAGAAGAGCGGGTGCAGAAGACTTCTGATGTAGATTCTGCAGCAGAGGACGAGGACGAGACTGCACAGGATTCGAGTTAGAATTCAAGGTCTAATCGAATGGTACACGAGGTTTGTTTTATAGTGCTCGCTTGTTGGGGCAAGGTCACTGGCCCATCTGCTCTGCCAGTCACCAAAATGCTCAATCTTTTCGTTCCCCATTTTTGCTTGAATTTTTCCGGTGCTGCTTATATTACCTCACCCCCTTCCCATCATCCTTCTTCTTTCCATGATATCCTCCTTATGGACGATTGGCATTGGACAGCCACGATCATCGCATCGCACATGTACCATACACTACATACCCAGCATGAACACTCACAAACCTGGATCACTAATTGTAATATACACAGCTGGATATTATTTCTCAAACAACCCGAGTCGCAGTTCGGGGATGAACGCGTTCTCTAACTAGAACAGGTTTTATACGCTTATAACTTGCTGGTACAATGGCGGATTTATTACTTGTCAATTGGAATTCGTTTCTGCCAGTATGCCGCGCGAAACTTCTTATTTGTGTTGCCGCTCTTGAGCAAAAAATATCATGTGCATTCTCTCCTGTGCACACCAGCAAGCGCGTCCAAGGGATACAGACTCGGACGCCGCTACTACGACGACTCGCCTTTAGATATGCCCAAATACCTCCTGTCTCAGACATGCAACTTGTGTGATGATCACGTTAGAGCGCCCGCGACAATGAGAAAATGGGAGCAGAAAGAGCTTCAGAACCGTATTATGATGCGTCCAGCATGAAAATCGAAGTCGATACCTCTACGGTACACGTTCCGACGCGGAAGATGTCAGGAAGTAGAGTATCAAACACAGCCACGGAAGCTTTGTGGCGTTCTCAGAGATCAATCCATCAGCTCGCCTATCGGGGCGCTGCAAAGCGCCGGCCACAGTCGCTCTTTCGGAGGCCGCAAAGACGACAGCTCATCCTCCGCTTGACATAAGTACACATTAAATCTTCGTTGAACCCGTGCATATACCACCGTGTCATGATGTACGATATCGTCGAGGATTGACACCGTAAAATCTTCAGGCTGCTCAACGCGTTATGGACGCGGAGGACGACATATCGTTGAGTCCTCCCTCGCGAATATGTATAAAGAAATCAACCCATGACGCCCTTATATAGAATTGAGCAGGAATAGAACAAGTAGCTAGGAGCACTGACCTCTAAATATCGCGAGCGCGATGCAACGGACAGATCTATGGCACAGCTGACCGTGACGATCTGCCATTGAAACTTGGAGACCCCAGAGTCGAAATGGAAGCCCCGCTAACCACAAGCGCATTCAATACAATATTAGACGGTGAACCAAGCTCATAAGGCGAGCCTGAGTTGCAAGGAAACTTCACAGCAGCGACTACCACTCGCGGCGGGGAGGAAAGAAAACACGGCCAGGCGCCAAAGCAGCGACTCTCACGTCTGCCCGCCTTCACGGGATAATCCGATTCGGGGATGATCGGGATCCACTTGGTTCGGTGACGGTGGCGACTGGTGCAAGGCTGGTGGGCGACTGCCTCATCTCTGGGAAGAATAGCGTAACGGTTGTATCACTCATATATGTAGGTCGAGTTCGCACTGGAGAAGCACAGACCTCTTCCGCTTTAAATGGCACCCAAGATCACACTCGCCGCTGCTGAGCTCGTAGGCACAATGATCGAAACTCTGATCCTTGGTACGCTCGGAGCCTTTTCCATTATCTTGATGAACTGATCATTTATGTGCTTACACTCTGGCAGGGCCTTACCTTCTAGTCTTCTTGACCAATGGCTACTTTACGATTCGTCGCACAGATCCTCAACGTCCACGAACCTTTGCTACGACACTGAGAACCAGCCTTGATCCGGTGTGTATTGCTTCCGCAGTTATCTTCATTTGCATTATATCCGTGAGTAGAAGTTTAGAACCGGTATCTGGCTTACTCAGTCGCTCACGCTACTCTGTTGTTGAGCATTGGGTTCTGAATATCACGAGAATGTTCGACGCGTTTGTGCACGGTCAGGATGGTAGTCCGGATGCATTCTACAGAAACACCTCGGACGGAAAGTACGTGGCAAAGAGTGCTCTGTACGGTCTCGAGGTTATATGTGCCGACTTCATCTTGGTGCGTTATTCATCCTGTCCAACAGTGAACAATCCATTTTCCACTCATTTAGCTCACTTTGAAAGATATATCGGTTATATGTCGTGTGGAGTCATTCGTGGAAGATATGCGCACTCCCAGTCATCGCCACTCTAACGACATTAGGTGAGGTGGGCACTATGGTCAAAAAAGTGTTCCGAGCTCACGATTTGTCGACAAAGGCATGGGAGTGGCGATAACGTATCTGTTTAGTGCGGGAACCGTGGCAGGCAACCCGTTTGCGTCCATACTCAAGCCTCTTATCACAGGTTTCTTCTCCACTACACTGCTGTAAGTGATTGCCTCTATTTATTTTTCCCTACGCCAATGTCAGTGTGAATGGCCACGCCGATTTGTTCAGAGTCAACCTGTATTCATGCTGTACGTGCACACTGCTCTCAACTACGCCACAAACTGACCGTAAAAGTGATGCTCAAAGGCCTCATAGCATACAGGCTTTGGAAAAGTTACGCATCCGTCAGACAGTTTGATCTTGACCACCCCTCCTCGGTTCCCGTAAATCAGATTCTTCCCTTTTGCCAGCTCAGCGTAGAAATTAACGATTTTCTTATCAGAGAATCCTGCAAATTATCATTGAGAGCGCCGCAATATATACGTGCGTTGTCTGTGCATCTTGACTCCTGCCGCCACTGACATATGAAGCTCAATCAACTGGTTTACAAAGAGTGTGCACCTTGTTCACTTTGATTGCTTACCTCTGGGGTTCCAATATCCAAGCCTCTGCCCTCAACTTGGTCCGTCCCTCTCATTCGCCATCCAAGTCGTGGATTAACTGAACCAACCGCTCGTAAATTTCACGGCCTCCTTACCATTCCACACTAATGGAAGACAAGTCCTGTGATAGGCTTCGCCTTCTGTCTCATAACCGTACGCATCCGACTGCAAGATAGCACACATCTTCACTGCGCCGATTGTCCGAGTCATATCAACGAGCTGCCAGCAATGGAGTTCTCCAGAACACGCATACGTCATTCAGCACTCTCAATATCCTTCGCGGATGTCGTGAGCGAGTTTGGGGATACGTTCGACGAGGAGAGCTTGCCAACACCTAAGAGCAATCCGGGGGGTACACATCGAAGAGACGCTGCTAGCGAACAGGCTGATGAAATGGTGCCTAGGGCTTGAATATGCACGGAATTGGTTCTAAGTTATTTACTGTACAATAAATGGGAGGTTGTCGGTGTAACATTCAGGGTGCTATATACCGCGTGAAAAGGTGACATCTCATAGAGCCTTTGCGAGCACATTTCCCAGCTAAAAACGTTAACTGGCCCAACTGGAGGACGAAGAAGACTGTGCTGTGGGCCACTGTGGCGTAGTATCCATCCGGAACAACCCGAACTTTCCGTGCCCTGCAGGTTCGTGGTTGATCTTACACATCGTCGATGCCGGGAACGAATAACAGTTGAAAGTTTATGGCACCAATAAACTCGGGGAAAAAATGACATAAATGAGATTGCCAAAAAGAAGGGAAAATAAGGAAAAAGGAGAGAATATTGCAACTAGGGGAGCCAAACGACGTGAGTGGAGGATATATAGATGGATGATAGATAGACCTGAGAGAAGAGGAAAGAGTACACACGTCTCGCTCCGAATTCATACCTGAATACTGAGTCCGGAAAGATGCGTTTTGACGTAAATAGAGAGGAGAGAGAGATGGATGAGTTGAGAGAGAGAGAGAGAGAGATAATAAAAGGAAAGGAAAGGAAAGGAAAGAAGCGATGGGCGTAAAGAGAATAAAAGTCAATGAGAGCAGGTAAGTTAGTTCGGTTTGAAGAGTTCATGCAGTTGAGAGATGATACATACGTATGCTAGGAAGAAGATGAGAAGATGTGAGTAAAGAGCGTAGAAAGAAGCTTCGTGAGTAAGTGAATGAATGCAGAGTAGGTGGAATTGAAAAAGGGAACGGTAGGACGATTGTCCACATAAGGTATGCCCCTCGTTAACGGACCTGTATGTATGCGTTAATTTATGCATGCTCTAATGTGTCCATAGACGCGATGAGGGGATGGGATAGCGAATGATAACGCGAGGATAAAACTATGACGGCGAACAAGTGTTCATTGGTAATGACAACGACGAGAACGCGGGACGGTATAGCGAGTTAGTCTGCTTTGAGATATAGGTGACATCCTAGGAATGGACGAAAAGAGGTAGCAAACAACGAAACCAGGACCAAAAAATACCAAAAATTATTGAGGGCCTCTCCAACTCGACGGCGGTGTTACATGCCCCACCAACCCCCCACCACCAGGCGCCTTCTTTGGAGTCTGTCCGACGCCCTTTACCAAAGGATTCTGCGGCGAACTCGGTGCCGTCCTCGTCCTAGGTCTCGGCCCAGGTCTTCCACCCGCACCAGCCCCACCATTACCGGGACTACCCCCACCCGCGACACTATCCCTATTCGCAGTGCCAATCAACCCGCCCGTACTCTGCGACGTCGGCATCGGCGGCCTCATCGAAGCTCTCGAGTTTCGATTATCCGCGGAAGGCCCGAAGCTCTCGCCATATACACTCCTACTTCCCCAACCACCGCCAACCTCAGACCTGCTATCTGCACCACCGAAACCACCATATTCACTGCCTCCATAGACCGACCGCGATCCCGTGGGGAACATCATGCCCGGACCGCCCATAGGACCACCGAAGGACGTCCCGCCGGTGTGATGGGGGAACAACATCCCCTGTTGACCACCCATCCCCATTCCAGCGCCCAGCATGCCCATCCCGCCGCCCGTGAGGTCCGGCATGAGACTATTCCGGCTGGCACCACCACCTCCCCACCCAGAAACGGAGGATCCTCGTTCCCACTCATCGCCTGCCTCTTTCATGGCCTGCTGGGCGACCGCGAACTGGTATGCTTGTTTCGCGATGAGCATGGCTTGTTGGTGCGCTTGTGCGAATGCTGGATTGTTGGGATCCATGCCGGGAGCGCCTAACGGTTGGGGCGAGGTTAGTATCGGACTGGGCAGGTGAACGAGAGTTTTCTTTTTTGACGTACCCATACCGCCCATGGGCATTGCTCCCATCCCGGGCATCATGTTCATGCCCATACCAGGCATCCCTCCCATCCCCATGCCCATCCCCATGCCAGGCATATTCATCCCCTGCATCCCCATCATCGGGTTCATTCCCATCCCGCCCATGCCCATGTTGCCCATGTTCATGTTAGGCATACCGGCGGGCATATTCATACCGTTGGGCATGCCCATCGGCATGTTCATGTTCATCATCGGCATGTTCGACATGTTCATGGCGGGATTAGGACCGGGATTGAGGAGGTTCATGGATGAACCGTTCATGCCCATATTGAGGCCCATCATGCGCGGCCCCATGTTGAGAGGCTGATCCTCATCGTCCTCATCGTCATCGTCGAGAAGAGGACCTTTGCCATGGAGGACTTCCTTGATCTGGATCACAAAAAAAACTCGAACATCAGTACAACCGTCCACGGTAGGATAGGAAGCACAGAAACGCACCTCCATACCCTCCCTCGTCTCCCTTCTTCTCCTCTCCTTCCTCCTCTCCTCCGCCATCCTCTCCTTCTCCTTCTCATCCTGCACATCACCCTCCTTCTGCTGTGCCGTGCCCGTACTCCCCGCCCTCCCCCTCGCAACCTCCGTCCCCGCCCCCGAACTCGCCCCACTCCTCCTCCGTTCTCTCTCCCTTTCTCGCTCCCTCTCTCGCTCCCGATCAAGCTCCCCAGGCGCCGGCTCCTCAAACGACACGCTCGTCTTCCTCACATGCGGCGGTCTAGCCACCGCACCACTCCCTCTCGCATTCGCTGAAAGTCCACCAAGTGAACTCTTTGACTCCGCTCCATACCCACTATGATTCGACTTCTGCGACCACGGGAATGCCGACGAATTCGAAGCAGGTCCCGCGACTTCACTCCCATCCCTCGGCGTAATAGGAATTCTCCCGCTCCCGCTCAAAGATGAATCGCCGGTGGAACTCGCGGGCGAGCCATCACGTAGGAACCCAGAGCTACCGAAGGGACGTTGGGGCTGTTGCGGGTGATCGTACGAGTATGAGGGATGTGGCGGATGTGGATGTGCAGGGTGTTGTTGTTGTTGTTGTGAGGAATGATTTGGTAGGAAGGGCTGGGTTTGTGAACGGGCTTGAGGCGCTGAACGAGGCGGAGCGGGTTGCGAGGAAGAGGTGGTGGTGGTGGTCGCAGTAACGGCTGCAGTGGTGTTCAGATCATAAGATCGTTGTCTATGATGCTTATTCCTCAAGATCCCCGGCCTTGCCACACCAGCACCGGCAGCAGAAGCGGAACCTCCAGCCGAACTAGAACCAGAGATAGAGGACGAAGAGGCGGACAAAGACGACGAGATTCCAAGACCAGCGGCAGCAGCTCTCGAACCGGCCATCGCAGACCTAAGTTGTTTTTTCTCGCCTTCCTGCCTACTCGTGCTCCTCTCCCCATCCAATCGACTCGTACTCCTCTCCCTCCCAGTACCACCCAATCCCGTCCCCACCTCCCTTTCCCTCCCCCTTTCCCTCACAGCCGCCGTCATCCCCGTCTTCGCAGGATCCGAGGTATCCGGCGCAGAAGCAGAGGCAGAAGCAGACGTGGAACTATTCCCCATGATCCCACTCAATGTCCCCGCGCTCCCCGAACTCGCATGGCTGACCGGCCGACTCATCACACTAAAGCTCGGTGGTGGCCTCCTCTCCTTAATCGGCGTCGGCACGATCCTATCTCTATCCTCACCGCCATCCACCCCCAAACCAGGCCCGGTCGTCGTCGTGAAACCGTGCTGCTGAGCATCGTCGACCGGCGTATCGCCCAACATATTCCCAGACCCGAACGACGTCGCAGAAACAGACCTTGCATGCCCCGGCCGCCTCGGTTTCCCAAAGATCGACCTCGATTCGTTCGTCTGTGCCGGTACTGGCGCTTGGCTTGACGGTGCTGGGGCGGGAGCAGAGGTAGAGTCCATCGCGGAGAAATACGCAGACTGTGGCGTCGAATACATCGAGCCCGGCGAAGCCGTGAACGTATCAACCTTGAGCACCGGCGTCAAGCCCTCCCTCTTCCCATCCTTCTCCTTCTCGCGCGCGACCTCAGCTGCTGCCGCCTCCCTCTCCGCGTCTTTCTTCAGACCCTGTGCTCTCGTTAGTGCCGCTAACCGCTCCGTGACGCCCAGACTCTCCCGTCTCTGTTTCGGGACGATGACCATGCCCTCGTTCGGATCCTTCTCCTTCGTCTGCGCCTGCGTCTGTGGTTGTGGCTTGTCGGGCAACGATATGGTCGGCGGCTTAGCTTTGTCCGAAGCTGAACTGGGCGGTTTACCCTTGTCGGACAAACTCCCAGGCGGCGACCCCGACGAAGACGACGGCGAAGTCATCGAAAGATAAGCCAACGCCAATCCAATATCCTCGTCCTCGTCGTCGATCGCAGACGGCGGCGGCGGTAGAGGGACGGGTAAACGCGGGATGGGAGTCGTCATGTCGATCATGGAGGGCGGTGGGGGTAGGGGGAGCGTCATGGAGCGTTCTCTTCCCCTTGTCTGTTCTGTCGTAGGTGAAGTTGGACCGGGGCCGGTGTTTCCAGCTGGAGCTGGGGATGGACTTGAGCTTGACCCGACGTTGACGAAGGATCCGAGACCGGTCAAGCTCCCGAGACTTAACCCTCCCAACCCAGCGAATAACCTCTCGCCCCTCTCATTCTTCTCACCCTTCTCAACCTTCTCGCCTTTCTCGCCCGCTACGACCGTACTCTCCACATCCCCGCCCTCTCCAAGTCCTTCCCGCACGCCCCCAGACATCCCCATCCCCAACTCCGAACCATCCACCGTCCGCCCCGGGATCGGCCTCGCGAACGTAGACACAGGATCAGGTATCGGAATCGGTTTCGGAGGCGGCGGCGGTGGTGTTCGCGCTGTCGTCGGCGGTGGTGATCTTGCTGTTGTCGTCGGTGGCGATCTTCCTGTCGTCGTCGGTATCGGTGAGTGTGAGGGGGCGTGTGATTGTGAGCTCCAAGGAGGTAAAGACATGGATTTGGAAGGTGGGATGGGCGGACAGGGCTCTCCCTGTGCTTGTCCGTATCCCTGTGGTCGTGCTTGTCCCTGTGAAGGTGAGGGCGACGGAATCGGTGACCTTCCCCGTCCTTGCGCGGGCGAAGCCGATTGTGTCTGCTGTATCTTCCCCGCCAACCCTCCGAACAACCCCCCCGTCAACGCCCCAATATCGATCAACGGCCCCGTCGTCGCCTGCACCTGTTTCGGCCCACTCTGCGTCCTCGCTCTCGGTGCGCCGGCGCCGGCGCCTTCGTTCAATCGGGACGGCGGTCTCGGCATGAGCGCTCCGATTCCGAATCCACCGGTGACACCAAGCATCCCGCCACCAGTATTATTGTGTGCAAGGTTGGGGTTGGACCGATTCGAATAGGCTGAGCCGGGTCGGGAGGGGGGTAAGAGTGTCGCGAGGGGTGCGTCGTCTGAATCTCCTTCTCCTTCTTCTTCTCCTTCTCTTGTCTCCTCGTCGGAATCGGAGTCGGATGAAGAAGAAGAGGAGGAGTTGGATGTTGAAGCGGAAGAGGAAGATGAGTTGTGGAAGGAGGAGTAAGGGCGGGTGGTTGAAGTTAGAGGGCGGGGGAGGGGGATGTGTGAGGGATGGGGTTGAGGGCGGGGGATTGGTGCTGTTGATCAGGGAAGTGTGGAGGGGAAAAGGAAGGGAAGGGAGAAGGGAGGAAGGGGAAAGAGGGGAGAAGGGTTTTATTAGTGAATGAATCATGTGGTTGTGCAAGATGCGCGAACGGGCGAACGGGAGATAGGGATAGGAGCGGAGGAAGGTTACGTGGAGAAAAAATGTGGCGAGATGAACGTGTGGATGAGAATTCGAGTGCATGCATGCATGGGCGCGCATATGTCGATATTTGACACACACACACACATATATGCGCTGAAATGGCGAAAGCCCCGGATATATAGCGAGGAGGTGGCCATAGAACGGGCACCGTATCTGCTTTTCGGTCATGTCAATCGCTCTCGCCGTGGAAACAACCACAAGAAAGAGAGGAGACATGCATGCATGCATTTCGGCCCAACTCTGGGCAGTGCACATATCGTCCCAGTCCCAGTCCCCATTGGCGAGAGAGGATGAGAGAGAGCAAACGGACACCATCATCCGTCCGTCGTGGCCCAAACCCGCTCATGGACGAAAAGGCAAGGGAGAACCGAAGAACCAAAACGAAACCAAAACTCACCTCCACTCGTCCCCGTCCCCGCAGGCGCCACCGCCACCGTACTCCCACTTCTCCCAGTCGCCCCACCAACACCACCCCCAACACCAACCAACGCCGAAGTCGACCGACTCGCCATACCTCTCATGCCCTCGCTCCCACCCGCCCCATTTGTATAACTCGCCAACTGAGTCGTACTCTGCGTCGCCCCCACCCCACCTCCACTGCCCATCCCGCCACCATTCCCGCTGAAGTTGGTATTCCCCCCACCGTTGCCGTCAAAGTTGGCATTAGAAGTAACGTGGGAGTCGAGCCCATCCCCCCTACTCGTCCGATGTCCCATCTCGCTCGCCGCCTTCGCGCTCCGCTGGGTGATCGTCCGTTTCCTCGAGACGGGCCTCACCGTGCTTTCGTCTCTTGGCTCTCTTGCCTGTCCTTCTCTTGCGTCTCTCCCTTCTCTACCCTGTCCTTCTCTTCCAGTACCACCACCTCCTCCTCCGGTCGCGCCTTCCCTCCCATGTCCACCCATCTTCGCAACCACAACCCCAGCCATCCGCCCCCGTCCAAGAGGTACGTTATCCTCCTCGTCCGACTCCTCTCCCTCCTGCTCCCCACCCTCCGACTCTGATTCTTCCTCCGATTCCTCCGATGACGTCTCGTCCTGATTCGCGAATAATGGCCTCCCCTGCGGACCTCTCGCAGCCGCAGCCATCTGAGGTGAATTTCCTCGCCCAACCACAGTCGCGGCTGATAACCTCGGACTCACTCCACTCGCACTTGGCGAACTCGAAGCAGAAACAGGCATCGACGCACCAAGTCTCGGACTCGGACTATTCACCGGACTCCCCGCCGCGCTCCGTCTCGCCTGTGCCTCCCTAAACGCAGCCACTGATATCCTCTGTGCTTCGGACACTGAGGAGTCGCCTCTTGGTCGTGGTCGTGGTGTTACTCCTGGTCTATGGGTCGGGTTGTAGGACGATGAGGAGGGGAGTGGGTTGTAAGACGAAGAGGGGAGTGGGTTGTAAGAAGAGAGGGCGGACGGCGGACGGTCTGGAATGTGGCCAGGACCGGGGGAGGGAGAGCGAACAGAGGGTAATTGGGAGGTCGACGGTGCATTGACGTGCCTGAAAGATTTGAGGTTGAAAGAGCCGTCGGGTGGCGGTGGCGGTGGCGGGAGTGGATGTTGTCCAGGGGTAATAAAAGAGGATGACGTATCGGAGGGCGAGAATTGCGAAGGGGAAGAGGAGGGGAGGACGTTCGGACCGGGCTGGGAAGGTTTTGATTTCGTGCGGACGCGGGCCCAGGAGAAGAGTCCGCCCGAGGGTTTGGTGGAGGATGATTTCGTGGTGTGGGTTGTGGTAGAGGAGGAGGTGGGCGTTGGGGGACCGGAGGGGTCGAGAGGGAGGCGGGAGGTGGTCGTGGTGAGATGGGTGTGTGAGGCCGATGTGTAGGCATAATGACTAGTACCATTCCCGTCGTCCCTTGAACTCGTACGTGAATGCGAGCCACCGAGTGCGTGAGGTAGTGAACGCGTCGATTGTCCGCCGGGGGAGTTGAAGAGCGCGCCACGGGAGGGCACCGCGAGGTTGCCAGTCGATGACGATGAGGCGGAGAAGAGACCGTCCATGGAGGATTGGGAGCGTGGCGGGGGGACGACGACGGACGACGTGAAGCTGCTGTCTGGATCGACTGTGCTACGACGGGTCGTGAGCTGAAGTCTGCTCGAGGACGCATGCCCATGTCCATGGGGATCTGCTTGTAGTTGTGATGAGCTGGTTTGTTGGGGCTGCGCCGGCTGTGACTTTGCCTTGCGGAAGAGCTTCATCTTCGACTTTGACGGCGGCGACGGTGAGGGCGGATGGACGGCGAATGCGTAGACGGAGGAAGGGGAGGAACGAGGGTCCGCGAGGACATAGGCGTAGTCGTGCTCGACGGACAGCACGTCTTCTGAATCTTCTTCTGCGTCCTGCGATTTCCCGTTCTGGTCGTGCCCGGTCCAGCCAGAGTCTGCAGCGCTTCCGGCTGCGCTCGATCCGCTGTGACGATAATAAATAAAATAAAAATAAAATGAGATTTCAGGGATATCACGATGTAAACGATTTCGGTTCTGTGCACCTCTCAGCGTGAGCGTTCCCGTTCCTGTTCCCATCGGCTCCTGCCAGCACTTCCCCGGCTTCTTGCCTTTTCCGCGGTGTTCCTCTCTTCTCCCTCCGCCCGAACATCCCGAGCAGCCCTCCTGCCATATGTATCTGAATCTGTCCTTGCCTTGAACTTCTTGAACTTGTGCTTGATGTGTTTGGGTATGAGAAAAGTGGAAGAGAAAGGGAGGAGGGGTGCGTGTTTCCGAGACAAATCCAAGACTTATAGAACCTAAACGAATCACTTCCGGCACCCGCTCTCCCGCCGTCGCTGCGATTGCGATGCCGGGAATCGTCTCTGTTTGGGGTCTCGGGGCGTGAGCGTTCCGTTATAATTACTCGATGTTCTTACGTTTTACTTGAGAGTTGAAATTCAAATTGGTCCGGGTTCCATTTCCTTGTCATCATCGTGCCATGTGGAAAGCCCCTTTTTCGAGTTGAACAACGCCACGGTCACCGTTGCCGCCGTCGTCGAGCTCAGGCAATCCCTCTTGCTCGAAAATTCGCTCTATTCTCCAGCTATATTCCCGAGCGCGACCGTCGCACCGTCTTGACCAGCTATCATCCTCGGATTTTATTAACGTTACCCGCCTGCCTGCCTACTTGCCTACCCATCCAAAGACGCTTCTGCAATCCAATTGCAATTGACCTATCTATGATATCTACCTTCAACTTCTTCTCACTCCCCTCTCGACTTACCACCCATCGTCCCAGCCTGAGATCTAACGCATAGGTGAAATCCCATGCACGAGGTTCGCGTCTCTCACCGTTCGTTTCGCGTGGTTTGATTTCTGGGCCAGACTTGCGCTTGAGAAGGCGAAGGCTTGTTTTTGGATGTCGTTTTTCCGTTATTATGCCTTGGACCCCCGGCTGACCCTGACATGGACAGTCCGCACGGAGAACTACGTCGTCAATCCACGAACGATGGGTAAGTAACACCGTTCCCCACTCAGGAATGTATCCTCCAGTGGACGGTCCCTGCTATCGGGTGCCGGTGACTCCTGACCATTGGAGATGACGGTCTGCACGGATTCAGACGGTGACCTACATCGTGGGCCCACGACGTCCACCGAGTTCACTGTTCCGGTAACCTCACCGCTCACTCGGGATTCTTTCCACCAAAGCTTGCACTTCGCTCTTCGCGGTAACTTCACTGCTCATCCAGGATTATCACCCTTCCACTGGCAGTGGTCCCCCGTGACTCTGACAGTACACCGGTCACGTCAATATCGTACATAACGCAATAAGTAAAAGCCACGGAACGAAACGAAACGAAACGAAACGAACGAACGAACAGTTTCCCTCGTTCGAGTCTACCAAGCTTGCTCTCTATCCTTACATACACCGCTGCTAGCACGGAAATATTCACTCTCTAAACATCTGCATCAACGGTCACCGGTGACCACTCGTTGTAGACCATGTTCTTCCCATTGCCAAATTTCGGTCTTTCCTCAGTTCTCGTTCTGAGCTGGTATTGGTGCTCACGCACGCCATAACGCGCGACCGAGCTTGACTTCTCCCTTCTTCCCTTCATCCTCCTAAGCTCCTCCTCCATCTTTCATTGATCATTAATCATCTCGTCACGCTGCCCATGTGCGTCGTTATGGGACCATAACTGAACTCCGCCTCTGCCACGATAGAGCCATGAATGCTCGCGGAAATCTCTTTCACCGATGCTGAGAACCGATGTTCAGTTGATTTCCTGGTGTTGAGACCGTTAGTATCGAGTCGAACATTGAATTGGAACGCTGAACGCTGAACGTTGCCGAATGTTGAATGTTGAATGCGCTATGGCCTTTGATCTTGTGTGCCGCACTGGGTGCGAGATATTACTCTCTATGACGGCCACGCGGGCATACTTACAAGGCGAAATATCGCATCCCATTCCACTTCGTTCAATTTTCCGAGCGATGAGCGTGAGCTAGACCTGTACATCGTACACATGCATGGCCAAGTACTTACCCCCATGGTCCAGCCGTTCACATCGTCCTGCGACCTTCTAGCTGCACTCCTCATATTAGCTAGCTTCAGACTTCATATCGGCAGATAGAGTATATCAGTATCCCATCCCAGTCCCATCCTTCCCGATCCAAGTGTGAGTCCTTCCACGGGTATTGCAATATCACTTGGTTCGGCGATACTTTTACTGATGTACTCGTATACTTCTACGTTTACAGACACGAACGGTTAGGGTCGTCCTGCCTGTCAAATCTCAACGAATACCCCTTCTGCATGGATTTCATTCTACCCTTTGCTCCTTCATCAGGTCAAGCAAGTATCATCTTTCCCGATTCCAGTCAATTGTGAGTTCTTCCACTGGTATTGCAATATCACTTGGTTCGGCGATAGTACTACTACTGATGTACATGATTATATCCACGTTTACAGACACGACACGACACGACACGGTACCGCAGTTTACCGCCAACAATGCCTTCTTCTACATCAGGGAGGTCCGGCTTCACGACGCTCTCTGGATCAACGACCACAAACGTCGTAATCCGAAATGGTCTGCTGTGACAGAGAACGTTAGCCGGTGATTGATCCCTTCACGCCAGACTTCATATTGACCGAGGTGAGAGCGCCACATCATATCCCCATCCCCATCTCCATCCCCATCCCTATCCCGGTATCCATCCCCATTAACATTGACATCACTGGCGCTCAGGCCTGGTACTTTCGCCGGTCGGCCGTGACTTGCAATTGTGGGCGTAATCAAATCGTTGATTTTGGCTGGACGTGCGTATCTTTCTTTCTTGCTTGCTTTCTCTGCGAAATACATGTCGAGACACATAGTCACTTATTCAAACCCTCTATTTACGGTTGTACTACATAGGTCCACCTCGCCATTCATCGAACATAAAGACCCCCAATTGTAAATTGTATGCGTCCCGGTTCAAATATCGTCGAGTTTTTTTTTTTCCGATTTCAGTCCCCTTATAATATCTCTTCCGCTCTTCCGCTCTGCCGTCTTCCTCTTTCTTGCCATACTAGTACAGATCGCCCAACTCAATGTCGTCCGCCTCGCTTGTCGCCGAACACCGAACAATGTCATCTTCAAGCTGGACATTGTGGATCAACGTATTGGCACTGGTCAATTTTGGGACCCACGTTTTCGTTTGGTCTAGAATCGTCTATCTATACAAGTATAATTTACCGCCCACCCACTTACAGTACTCGATCTGGTCACCTAGTCGTGGTAGACTTGGTGACGTGGCTTGACTGGCCATGGCTACCCTCGTCGCCTTTCACTTGACCCCGACTGGCCATTTTCTCGATCAGGTCAGTACTGTCAGACGTGCGTGTCCGTCGTATCAACGAGGCTGCAAGCATGGGATAAGTACTTGAGTACTCAATCGTAATAGTATGCACCAAAACCTCGAGAGCTCTTGCAGGCTCCTGTGTGTTCTCCGCCTGACAGGAGTTCTTGTGGCGTGGCGCACGGCGCTTGCGGAGTAGACTCGGAGTCGCATTGTTTACAGACCACAGACCACATTTTTTGTGGTTTGTGGTGTTCTGCCGAAGGGAGGATGGACACATATGGGTCCCTTCAGGCAGCGTCCTTCAACACTCAGCATTCAGCCCTTCAGTCTTCAGTCTTCGAACCTCGAAAGAGGCGTACGAACTTCGTCCCATCTTCTGCCCCTCTCTTTCCGTCCTCGTCTGTCTAAATCATCTAAGCTGTCTTTCCTTCCCAGTATAGACCCACTAAACCCTCCTCATCGGAACTCACTTCCCAGCAATGCCTCCCCGTGAACATAAACACAAACACAAGCCCAACAAACCCAACAACCCCGAACTATCCCTCCTCCACCCCGAGGACCCCTCCTCTTCTTCCTCCTCGTCTTCCCTCCTCGGGCAAGCATCAGACCACTCCCTCCGAACCGCCCCCATCCTCAGCGGCGACGCCGCCTCGCTCCTCGGACCCGATCTCGTTCCCCAGCGCGCCGTATATGGGCGTATCCTCGAACAGGTTATAGATGGGGACGAACAGGCGGCGCCGGTGCAGCCGCAGGTGTATATTAATAGTAATGCGCCGTTCAGTGCGGTTGTGTGTGGCTTGCAGGTGCGTGTTTTTGTTTTGTTTTGTTTTGTTTTTCTTTGAGGATCGTTATCAATGTGATGGATTGGATACTCATACGTGTTCGATAGGGATCTGGCAAGAGTCATTCGACGTCCGTTCTTTTAGAGAGCTGTCTCATACAGGACGAGCGCCTCGGAACATTACCCGCCCCACTGAGCGCCGTACTGTGAGTTTCTTCTGCTTGCTTGCTCGCATGCATGCATGTGTGTGTGTGTGTGTGTGTGTATCGATTCTGATCGTCGCTTATGCTGACTTTCCTTCCTCGTTCTAAGGTTCCACTTCGACTCCGCGGCCGGCGGAGGACAAGTCCAGCCATGCGAAGCTGCGTACCTCGCCTCGCTCGTTCCTAGTCGAGCAGGTAGGGCCATGGCTCCGGACGTCACCGTGCTCGTACTGTAAGTCCTTTTCTTTTCTTTCGCTTTCCTGACATGTCCGTGCTGAACGATGGGCGGATGTGAAAGGCCGAATAATATCAATACCATGAAGAGAGTGTATGAGCCGTTACCGAACGTTAAAGTCGAGCCGCTTCATTTCGCGGCGAAGGATATTAGCGGAGAACGATTGTTGGCTATGATGAAAGTGGATGAGACGGCTCGTTCGTACTACCTCTTCCTTGCTCCCCTCCTCCCTCCCCTCCTCCTTTCTCCACGCTAACTCCGTGTCCACGCACACCAGAAATGCCACTCTACATGGAGCTGATCATGACCATCCTCCGCGACATGGCCGACGATTTCGATTATACCGCCTTCCGCGCAATGCTAGCGCAGCAGAAATTCGCAGGGACGCAGAAGGCGATGTTGAACCTTCGTTTGGCCCTACTGGATTCGTGTCTTAAGGGCGGGTCGGATGAGAACAGCGTTTCGACGCATTTTAGGTCGGGGGGGCTGACGATTATTGAGTGAGTGCTTCCTTGATTCTGCTACTTACATAACATAGGGCTTCGGTGTTCATGAGTGAATCATGGCTGATCTTCGCTTTACAGTCTTTCTTCGCCGTTTATGGACCCTTCGTCTGCGTGTGGCTTCTTCGATATTATTCTTGGTCTGTTCCTCGAGGCGAAAGTCGATACCGGAAAGCTGATAGGTACGCCCCGTACACTGCTCTGTTTAGATCAAACGCTGATCGGTGTATCTTTTGCTAGTCCTCGACGAAGCCCACAAAGTAAGCTACCAAACTCAACAAACCGCTTCCTCACCACATCCTTTGCTGTCTCCCACATCATACCATTACTTACCGTACCCTCCCTCTAGTACCTCTCCGACACCGGCGCCTCCGCCCGACTCACCGACTCCCTCCTCACTACGATCAGGCAACAAAGGCACCTGAACACCCGCGTCCTGATTTCCACACAAGAACCGACCGTCGTCCCGTCCAAGTTCCTCGAGCTCAGCTCATTCATCATCGCACATCGGTTCTCGTCGCCGCAGTGGTTAAGACATCTGTCGGCGCATGTCAGCGCGGCGCAGGAGAGGCAGGACGAGTTGTTTTCGAAGGTTGGTCTTTTCTACCTCACTACTACTCACAAAATCATCACTTTTACGAAGCGTTGTGTTCATTCTTTTTTCGCTGTATATTCGTTGAATTTATCAGGTCGTAGGCCTCCAAACCGGTCAAGCAATCGTCTTCGCCCCCTCCGGTCTCGGCGTCAAGAACATCACTGCCTTCCCCGGCGCCTGGGAATCCTATTCCGCTGCTAGTGTGCAGGCTCGTGGAGTGGTCACGCCCTTCGGTCAAGGATACCTGCTCGTTCGGTCGCGACAGCGAATTACGCTAGATGGCGGACATTCGCTCCTCGCTGTTGCGGGTAGCGTTCCTTCCAACGAGGGGACCACGATTGTGGATGAAGATGAAGGGCAGACGTCTAGTGACTCGGATGAAGAGGAGATGACTGACGACGGAGATGCATCAGATGGTTCTGAGTTGGATGTTCCTGGGGGCATGACGATTGCGGTACGGAGCGAGTACGCGCTCGTCCCTGCGACACAACGTCATGTTATACCGGATGGTATTCAGTCTCTCGCCGCCACGAACACTGGCAGCGCCTCTCCCAACGTTCCGAACGGCATCCCTCCCACCCTCGCGATCGAAGGTCCCACGTCTGTCGTTCAAGAGGAAGAGTATACGTCTAACGACGGAGACGGATCAGATGTCTTGGAGTCGGACGTGCAGGCTGTGAGCGCGCCGAACGGGATAATAGCGCACGATGGGCGCCAGTGGCAGGACCCTGAATTTGAGATAGCGGAAGGCGAGGAAGGTGAGGAAGGTAGTGGTATGGAGGATATATCATCGGACTCGGGCTTCGAGACTTGCGTTGATGAGGACGAGGATGGAGATGAGGATGAGCAGGAAGACACCCCGGTGGCCGAGACTGCCAGTATGGTTGAGGCGGCTGTGGCGAGCCCGGTTCAGTCGTTAGCGGTTGTGGGAACGACGGTTGCTGAGGGTTCAGTTCAGGCGATGACGGTCGTGGAGAGGACGGTCGAGGAAACCCCGGTTCAAGTGAGGACCGATTTGGAGAGGACGGTTGAGGTCATGGGAAGTCCGACGTCGAGCGAGCCCGTAGTGGATCCAGGCATGTCTATCTGTGACCTCCATCATCGTACAAGCCTGAACTAATTGTTACGAACCATAGTCCCCGTGCCGGTAGTCAAAGAGGACAAACCCTCCGATATACCCTCATCCAGTTCCTCGGCGGAGAAACCCGCTTTCACACCCACCATCTCCACGCAAGCGCTACTTCAGTTCTCTCCTTTGATAAAGGCTCTTGAGCAAGCACACTCAGAAGGACAAGATAGGGTGAACTGGACCACGGCCGCAATCATGAGCAGGAAGTGCGATCGGTCCGCTTTCCTCGGCAGATTCTTGGATTATCTGCAGGAGGCGGCAGCGGCAGGAATCGTTGAGTATGGAGGAAGACCGGAAGCTGGAACCGACTGGGTGCGGTTGACGAGGACAGATCCGTCTCCTCCTCCTCCTCCTCCTCCTCCTCTGTCTCCTCCTCCTCCACCGCAGCCGCGTGCGGTGGAGACGGTGCATACCGATGTGGAGAGGACCGTTCAGGAAAGTCCGGCCCAGGCGGCGACGGTTGTAGCGAGGACCGTTCAGGCGAGTCCGGTTGTGGACAGGGTGGCCGAGGAAGGTCCAGCTCAGGCGAGTATCAATGCGGCAGACACAGTACAGGAAAGTCCGGTTCAGGCGAAAACACCGAGGCAGATTGAGAAGAGTCCTGATCATGCGAGGACGGTTGAGGTCATGGGAAGTTCGTCGTCGAGCAAGTCCACAGCGAATCCAGGCATGTCTATCTGTGACCTCCACCATCGTCAAGCCTGGACTCATCTTTATGGATCATAGTCCCAGTGCCAATGTCAAACGGACACAAACCGTCCGATTTACCCCCATCCAGCTCTAGTACGGTTCAGGCTATAGCAGGTTCGTCGCTGAGCAAGCCCGTAGTGGATCGAGGTACGTATATCTGTGTCTTCACTGTCAGACAACCCTGAACTGACCTTGAAGTATCATAGACCCAGCGCTAGTATTGAAAGAAGGCAAACCCTCCGACATACCTTCGTCCAGCTCCTCGACGGAGAAGCCCATTTACATACCGACCATCTCTGCACAAGCCCTGCTTCGGTTCTCTCCGTTGATACAGGCTCTCAACAAAGCACAATCGGAAGGACAAGGTAGGGTGACGTGGTCCACGGCTGCGAGTATGACCAGGCAGATCTCTAAGACCGCTTACCCTGGCAAATTCTTGGTTTATATGAAGGAGGCGGCGGCGGCAGGGATCATCGAGTATGGAGGAGATGCATATCTTAGAACCGATTGGGTGCAGTTGACGAGGACAGCTCTGTCTCCACCACCGCCGCCGCCACCACCAACATCACCTCCGCCACAGCCGCGTGCGGTGGAGCAGGTGCAGGTGCGGTCGACGAGGACAGCTCTGTCTCCTCCTCTCCCACCACTACCAACATCACCTCCGCCACAGCAGCGCGCGGTGGAGCAGGTGCAGGTGCCGTTGGTGGGTCAGTTTGGTAGCAGTCCACGCTCCACACCGGCAACCTCCAACCCGCGACCCGACCTCTTGCGATTCAATCGACTGGTCGATATCCTCAAGAAAGCTCAGGAGCAAGGGAGTTCTTCACTATCCTGGTCCGTTTGCGAACAGTTGATGAAGGTTTTTTCCGGCCCGCCGGCTTACTCTACCGGCTTATTCTTCCCTTACCTTCAAGACGCCAAGAGGGCCGGGATCATCGATTTCGGGGGGAACTATAACTCGAGCAACAACTGGGTGCGGCTGATCCACTCAGATCTATCGTCTCTCCCACCTCGAAATTTAGAAGATGAGTTCGCTCCCCTACTACACGCTCTCCGGGAACAGAAGGCGGCGGTGAGGAATAGTCCAAACTGGTCAGAGACGGCCGCGATGGTCAAGGCTCGAGACCCTTCGGCTTATACAAGTGGCCTGTTCGTGTACTATGTCGAAGCAGCTGTGAAAGCTGGGGTTGTGGTGAGTGGTGGTGCTGGCATGGAGAAGTGGATACGGTTGGTAGAGCCTGGGACCGCGACATGAAAGACGCCACAGTGTGTATGATGCCCTGTTCGCTGTATTTATTCGGCCACAAGCTCTGACCGTTCAAGTGCTCATAAGTCCGCCACTACTGCATTGTGTGTTCTCGGGTTCGATTTTCCATTGATATCCTCCTTTGGTCATATGTCGAATTCTCCCGACCTCGCATACATGTAGGACAGTTTCATACTTTTCTTCAGTATATTTGAATACATTTGTGTACCTATACAACAAAATCTCGTAGCAAGAGATGGTCCATCTGCATCCTATACCAATACAATCCGTTCAAGTCCATGCACGAAAGTCCGCCGACGTCCCTCTATTCTTCTCTCCCGTTACCGCCTCCATTACCACCACCCAGCCCCAATCCACCCGTCACACCCCCAAGCGCGCCCCCAGCCCCACTCGCCGCTCCACCCGCCGTATTACCCACCTGTCCCGTCAACCCACTCAACGTGCCCCCAACACCACCGCCCTGCTTTTGACCGCCCTGACCGCCTGTAGCACCGCCGGTCACCTTTCCGAAGTCGATACCTTTGGTCTTGCCTGCATCGGAGTCTTTCTTGTCGTCTTGGCCGAACATCTTGTTACCGCCACCAAGGGAGTCGCCGAGGCCTCCGAGGCCGATGCTGCGGTGGACGACCACGAAATTAGTGGGATAAAGGGAGATGGAAAGGATGTCGACGAACCTGCCAAGAAGCTTGTTGAGGCCTAGAGCGTCGAGGATACCATTGAGGATACCACCGAGACCGATGCCGTTAAGAATGTTGCCCAGTAAGGTCAGGACTCCATTCAGCACGAGCCCAACACCTCCTACAATCTGTGCCAGAGGTTCTGTAATCGGGAATTCATACCATTAGCCACATTTGGACGAAGGATTAAGACGAGAGATCACATACGGGTAAGAGCATCGAGCAATGGCCCGAGATTGCTCTTCGCATGGGGCATATCCTGGATAACATTCTTCGCATTCTCGATCGTCTCGGTCACCTCCCCAGTCAACGTCGCAAGTGACTCGGCGAGATGCTGCTCTTCTGGCGTGGCCTGATGGTCCGCCGCCCGTCTACTCGACTGCTGCGAGACCTTTCCTCCTGGGTCGAGGGCTTTGATACCACCGAGTGTCTCTTGGAGGACGTTGTAAGCGGATTCGATGAGCGGTCTAACGTCCTTGACGAGCGCTTCTTCGTCGAGTTCCTCTTTTTCTTGATCGCGTTTGGCACGGGCGAGTCTCTGCGGCGGAATGTCATGTCATCACTCGCAATGAAGGTTGTTTCAAAGACGGGAGAAGATGGATTGTGATGGATGTAGCAGTAATCGAAAGAACAAACCTCGGTGATCAGCTTCAACAATGGCTTCATCCTGTCGAGTGCTGGATCGATGACGTTCGACATCTTGACTGCGAGCTCAGCGTCCTGCTTACGCTGGCGTTCCTCGTCGTTCATTTGAGAGGCTTGTGAGCCCTGAACGGAGTCGTGATCGTAGTCGGACATTGTCGTGTCTAATCTAGCGACTAAACGAAGAAATGATAAATATTAGTCAGGTCACGAAGCATGAGCGGAGGAAGGAGATGTGACAAGGGAACGAATGGGGGAGTCAAACAGAAAGAGTGCGAGGACGTACATCGAGTAGTGAGGCTAGAGAATGTTTTGTTTTGTGCAGAGGATGCTCTGATATATGTTGAGTGAGAGCAGGCGGAGCGAGGTCAAAGGGAGATTTAAGATATTCCTCGCCTCCAAACACTTCTTAAATACTTACATCACCTACGCCTCAACCAAGCCTCAACGCAATGGAGTGGATATTGTCTTACTATAGCGGAGCCACCGAAGTGGAGAAACGGTCATCGAAAGTCTCGTCCTAGCATTCGAATCTCCATGCCTGGGACACAAACGAGGAACGAGCATCAGAGGTAGCCTAGACTCAGCTGCAATTGAACCGTAAATAGGGGCGAGGATACGCAAAAAGACGTCACCGTTTCCCGATACGTGCGCAACTACACGGTCAGTGTGGAGATCTTGAGGAGATGAGAGGATCCTGGGAGGGACGACGACCGAAAGAGGTTACGAAAGGATGTCATAGGCACCACAGGGAGACAATTGCAATACCATCGCCAGCAAGGGACTGAAGTTCATTGCCCTCGTTCCCAAGGGGATCGATGGTGTAACTTAGGCTTATGGCTTGAGGAGAATGACGAACGTCGTTTTCGACAACAGAGACAATCCCTGGAGAAGTTCAGACAAAATGTTGATCATGAATACGTGTGCATTGTTACGCTAGCGAATGAACGGGGTGATAGTAGAAATACAACAAAACGCGGGTCCGCCAAAATCGTCAAACAACATCGAGCTCAACATCCCTTATAGACCACCACGAAGACGAAGAACTGCAGATAAACGGCGTCAGTAAAAGAACTAGCTAAAGACGATGACGAAGACAACATACCTAAGTGAAGGGTGCTCTCCTTCTGGATGTTGTAGTCCGAGAGCGTCCTCCCGTCCTCCAACTGCTTCCCAGCGAAGATAAGACGCTGTTGGTCCGGGGGGATGCCCTCCTTGTCCTGGATCTTAGCCTTCACGTTATCGATGGTGTCGGAAGACTCGACCTCAAGCGTGATGGTCTTGCCGGTCAGAGTCTTGACGAAGATCTGCATACCACCGCGAAGACGAAGAACGAGATGGAGGGTGGACTCCTTCTGAATATTGTAATCCGAAAGAGTGCGACCGTCCTCGAGCTGCTTGCCGGCGAAGATAAGACGTTGTTGGTCGGGTGGGATGCCCTCCTTGTCTTGAATCTTAGCCTTCACGTTGTCAATCGTGTCCGAAGACTCGACCTCCAAAGTGATCGTCTTGCCAGTGAGCGTCTTCACGAAGATTTGCATACCACCGCGGAGACGAAGGACGAGATGGAGGGTGGACTCCTTCTGGATGTTGTAGTCCGAAAGAGTGCGACCGTCCTCGAGCTGCTTGCCGGCGAAGATGAGACGTTGTTGGTCGGGAGGGATGCCCTCCTTGTCTTGAATCTTGGCCTTGACGTTGTCGATGGTGTCGGAAGACTCGACCTCAAGAGTGATGGTCTTGCCGGTCAGAGTCTTGACGAAGATCTGCATACCACCACGCAGACGAAGAACTATGGACAAACAATAAGAACGGAGAGGGCACAGTCGAAGGAGCAAGGGAACGTACCGAGATGAAGGGTGGACTCCTTCTGGATGTTATAATCGGAGAGGGTACGACCATCCTCCAACTGCTTGCCGGCGAAGATCAAACGTTGCTGGTCAGGCGGGATGCCCTCCTTGTCCTGGATCTTAGCCTTGACGTTGTCGATGGTATCCGACGACTCGACCTCAAGAGTGATGGTCTTGCCGGTGAGCGTCTTCACGAAGATCTGCATACCACCACGGAGACGAAGGACTAAACAACGAATCAATCAGCAACATGCGTCAAACAAAACCAAAGACGGAAACTAACCGAGATGAAGGGTAGATTCCTTCTGGATGTTGTAGTCGGACAAGGTACGGCCATCCTCGAGCTGCTTTCCGGCGAAGATAAGACGCTGCTGGTCGGGCGGGATACCCTCCTTGTCCTGGATCTTGGCCTTAACGTTGTCGATAGTGTCGGAGGACTCAACCTCGAGCGTGATGGTCTTGCCGGTCAACGTCTTCACGAAGATCTGCATACCGCCACGAAGACGGAGGACGAGGTGAAGGGTCGACTCCTTCTGGATGTTGTAGTCAGAGAGGGTTCGGCCGTCCTCGAGCTGCTTGCCCGCGAAGATCAGGCGCTGCTGGTCGGGAGGGATCCTAAATTAGGCGCACGACAGTCAGCGAACTCGTCGATAAGACAATCTGGCGACCGCGAACTCACCCTTCCTTGTCTTGGATCTTAGCCTTGACATTGTCAATGGTATCAGAGCTCTCGACCTCGAGAGTGATGGTCTTTCCGGTGAGGGTCTTTACGAAGATCTGCATGGTTGTGGGATGGAGAGCGCGACGAGCGTGTAGTGGGTGTATGTGTGAGGGAGATGAGCTATCGGTGGCCGAATGAGGTCAGACGTTATATACTCCCCGGTCGGAGTTTGAATGCACCGCACCCGAGTAGCGGTGACTCAGCGAGACGCAGCGCCGGGTGGCACCGGAATTGGAAGGAAGGATCGAGAACAAACTACATACGAGTGGCGATACACCGTAAATACACCTTCCTGTGGTGCAGAAAATTGCATCTACTCCAGTTCCTGAGTGAATTTGAACTTGCAATAGGAAAACCTCTCAATGCGGCAGACTAGACGAAGAAACGGGACTACAAAGGTAGGGTTCCTTCCGCTGATCAATGAAGTTCAGCAGGACAGTACGGATCGCAAGAAATGATACAGCATGCAGATTCGGAGCCGGCATATCCACAGAGGCCAGTTTTATGAACAGGAGTTAACGCTACCTGTTCCGCAGGTACAATAGTAGAGTACCACAAACAGAGCCCAAGGAACTGCTCAGTCTCCATCGTCGAACCATAGCCGTATAGTGAGATCCTTCTCCATAGATGCTGAGGCTACAATCCTTCGCGTAGGATGTGCCTAGACATTACAATACATCCTCTATGAGTAATTTCCATACGCGATGACGAATAAGCTACCAAGTAAAGATACTCACCGCTACAGCGATCACCGTATCTGATACGTCCCATACCGGCGCCGAATGACCAACCACATATCAGAATCCGCATTGGCAATCGCCGAACGGGTATGAGCTGTAGAAGGAAGACATACCGCGATGTCCTTCGAGCGCCTGCATGACCTCTCTTGACTGTAAATCCCAAATATACACTTTAGCGTCCTCGCTCCCACTCATCACGTACAGCCCGCCGTCCGCCACGATGAAACACGCAGGCAGACAATATGTTCTATTCGTGTGGGAGGTGTAGGTCTTGACGCAGCGCGACGCTTGATAATTCCACAGACGGATAGTCGAATCTTGGGTGGAGACGAGAAGGAATTTGGAATTGGGGGAGAATTGGACGTGAGAGCTACATGATGGAGAACATTAACATGGGCTGCTACGCGAACAGTTATGAAGCATACCAGATGGGATTGTCGTCATCGACTAATGTTTTCAGACACTGGCCAGAGTCAGCATCCCATATACGACTGATGTCATTTCAGTCAACGGCAGAAATATTGAAGGGTAATTGGGACGTACATTAGACCGTCCATAGCGCAGGAAACAATAAGGGTACCGTCATGATTGAAGGCGACGGCAGTGACAGGGTCAGAATGTGCAGGCAGAACTTTCAGCGATTTGCCTTCCAAAGCAACTATATGAGAGACACTGACGGGCCACAAAATAAATAGAGTAGACACACCTCTTGCGACATCCCAGACACGCACTGTCTCATCAAACCCGCCTGAAACAAGTAGGTTGGACTTGGGATTGTAGTTCACGCAGAACACAAAATTCGTGTGTCCATAAAGAACCTTGACCTCCGTTCCCTGATACAAGCTTCAACATGACGCAGGTCAGACCAAATTATGAAGAGAAAACGCGTACCGTCTCCATACTCCATATTCGAATAGTCTTGTCATCCGACGCAGAAGCCAAATATTCTCCATCGTTCGACCATGCGATATCCGAGATACCCTCTGTGTGCCCCATGAGGGTCTTCAGGATCTCTCCCGAATCGGTGTCCCATAGCTTGATGAGCTTGTCGGAGGCTTCCCTTATATGACCTCTCTGTCAGACCAGCCTTCGGACGCCGCTCCCCTCTTCCTTGACTAAAAGAAGACGATGGACACAAAATGGGACATACCAGCAGACGCGAGCACATTGCCATCTGGATTGAACTTGATGGAGGATATTGACATGGTATGCCCGCTCATGACATACCGTGGTTTGAATTTCGGCAGTCTACTTCGAGAGCTTGGCTTCAAAGATGCGGATGGTTGCGGCGCCGGTCCTGATGATAGAGGGGGCATAAGTGAGGAATGGGGCCCCTGAGCGTAGTCGCTGTTTTCGATAGGTTTTGTGTCCATAGCAAAGTCGTGAACGCCATTTGGTGGATGTTCTCCGTATGAAGGTTTCGACGATGGTATGGCATGTTCATCCACATCCATATCCATGATGCACGAGAACAAGACAAGCAAGTGGCGGAGGGAACTAGAGAAGAGATATACGGGCCACAAAGAGATTCTCGGCTGAGAGGTCGCGCCGACAGTTTACAAGTCGCTTTAACCCAGTATTTCCCACGCTCCCATATTGGTCAAAGCCCTCTACTGCTTCCGTCGATGCCCATATTAGGATATTTACCCGATCAAGCCCCAGAGCTCACGCGCCACAGACTTTTGGCATCCTGATAGCGCCCGGTTGCCAAGTCTCCCTATTAGGGGCAGGATCTAACATTCTATCGACTCTACGAAAGTTTTATCTACGACAAAAAAACCTTCCCAGACCAGTCTTGGTCTATGCACCCAGCTCCAGGCAAACCCCCATGAAGTCCACAGGATTTTATGCCATTTATTTTGGGAGTTGTGAGCTCTTTATCTCCTCGGTCTCGACTGTCGCCGAAAGCAACTCAGAAGGACTTCGAGGACCATGTGTTTTCCATGCGCAGCGAGAATATCGAGATTTGCCTCGAGATATGTCTAAATTTGCATCATACGTGGAAATTCAAGGGCTCGGCCCGTACTATCTTACTGCCCTCCACTCGCCAAATGCTTTTGCTACCAAGCTGTCGAGCTCCTCGACGTTCTCTCCCCCCTTTCTTCACCCTTCCGAGTCCACTTCGCCCCACTGGTGATCGTTGATTCATGCCTGAGCACACTTAGGAGGTTCTTGTTGCTTTTGATACATCTTTGATGCAAGGATTACCAGAGGTTACTCTATCGTCGACGACAAAGTCAGGGGCATCGAATCAACACTTCGTACCAGGTGTAGCTATTGCTAGTGCGTCCACATCCCCTACATACGTGCGGGAAAATATAGACTAACGCAGTTTTCATCGTCAAAATAGCCGCCGTCATGACATGGATGGTGTACGATATGATTCTAACCTTGGGCGATGAGGTACGCTTTCCGTAGTTATATCACTACGCCCTACTGTGCTCACCGAAGTAAGCAGCACGACATTATCTGGAGGTGATTTTCTCACACGACACCCTTGTTTCTAGTCACAGCTCATTTCCTGTCTTTCGATTTTGACAGTGGTTCATGGACGCACCTTAAATCCCTTTACATAGCATTCAGGGTCCTGATGCTCGCATCCCAGATGTTCGTCCCTAACTCTTAATCCTTAGGTGACTAACTAAACAACTTCCAATAACTGCCAGCTCGGTTACGATGCTTTCCATCAATCTGGACCCGACCAACATAAAGGTCCTGTCATGGACGCAATGCGAAGGTCTTGTAATTTGGCAGGCCGTAGCAGGTTTTATCATGCTGTGTCTCATGCAAATTATCGTGACCTTGCGAGGTAATAGCCTCTCCCCACCATGTTCCTCTTGCCTTTATCTTCACTCTTGAGGGTGTTGCTGAAGCCAACTGTGTTTGTGATTATAGTACGCTCGCTGTACCGGAACAACCGACGGATGTCCAACTGCCTCTGGATCTCGCTCATACTGGCGATAATATTGGAAGTAATCGTATTTATCATATTTAGGCCCAAGCAATTCTTCTGCACCTTTGGGGGCGACCTACCTGTAACACAGAGGTATGGTTTCGGGTAAGCCTTCCCATTCAACTTCGGTTTTCCAAATTATTGATGCGACCTATAAACATGGATTTATAGCCTGTTCGCGCAGCTGGCATACGACTGCATCCTCTTCAGCCTCTCTATATACAAGTTCCACACTTCCCTTCGGCCTGTGTGGAGGAACGCTCCTCTCGTGACGAAGTTCATGCAGCAGGGTATTTGGGCGTTCGCTCTACCTACCAGTTGGGTAACCCTTCATTATTACATATACGCGTGCGGTTTCGAAAAATGTCGCTCACTACGCTCTCTTCTCTCAGTTGCAATAATCGTAAACATCGCCTGCTCGATAGCCTATGATGGACGATATGCGCCTTACGCACTGCCGTACGCTCCTTCTCCACACTCCTTGTCCAGCTCATATTCGCTGGCTTACACTTTCCTGGGCATCCAGATGGCTCAACGCCATGGTCGGCTTTTCTGTGAGCAAATTTTACCAACACATCTACCGCCACGTAGAACTCATCCTCTGGACAGGGCTATCGTTTGATCCTTCATACGCACCAAATGCTTATGAGCGCTCCAATTAACGCACCTGTTGAGCTCGACTCGCTCAGTATCCCAGATTTCTATCCATCATGCCCTACGGCTTCTAGCCACGAGTGTCCTACATCTTATAGCCACGACATTGATCCGCGTGAGTTCTCCATTTCCAGATAAGAAGTCCAAATGCACAGATTGCGTACTCATTCTTTATTTTCGTCCTCAATTCCTGCTTGTTTCACTCTTTTGACACATCGGCCGCCCCCGCTCACTCGACACTCCACGCTCTTGGTCTACGTCTTGAACGAACCACAGCCTACGACGTTAGACGTGCTATGGGGATCAGCTGCCCGTCCGAGTTTGAAGTCGAGCATCCGGAAGGGGAGATCATAGACGAAGTACGAGGACCGAGATTTTCGCATCCGATGCATCAAGAGCCGTGACAGATACCAGCTTGTAATTGTGCGTTTTTCCGTGCGCTAGTGTGTATTCCTACCTTTTGGACAGATGAAGCTGCTCGCAGATGCATTTCGTTTCCTTGGAGACAAGCTTGCTTTGTGCGTGTCTAGCTGGGCGGTGATCCGCACGATGTTGAGGGTCAAACGCATGGAAGAGTGATGAATCGTGCTCTACCCATCATTCCCATCCTTGCCCCACTCAGTACTCATGCTTGAACTTTGCAGTAGCTTCGCCGTATATGCTTGACGCCTAGGGTTCGGGCTATTTTCGGGTGCGGGCTCTGCTTCCCTGCTTGTGTTCGACCCTTTGGAGTAAGTTTACTGTCGTATGCACAAGTCCTGGACACTTTGCAGCTGGCCATGCAGACTTGAGGCCGTAGCACGGTCACGCCATGCCGGAAGGGTTCTGGAACGGCGAGTCATAGCCGCTCTTTGCACACGACGATGGATATAAAGCGTTCATGCAACTTTTCGGGCGCTCTTCGTCTTTCGCTTTCTTGCTTTGACCCAGCTCTGTAAAACTCACCTGTCCTTTCTTTCTGTCCATTTTTCATCATGTTTGGTATCTCTCTTGCGCAGACCATCTTCGCTGTCGCTGTAATCCTGAATGTTCTTGTAGTGAACGGACGTGAGTTGATTTCCTCAGCACCAACGATCACCCTGTGAGGCACCGTTCCGACAATTTTCTTTTCGTAGAGAGCACCAATACTACAGAGTCAACCTCATTGGTCGCCAGTTCCAGTGTTGCGACCACCATCGTAGCGTCGTCAACGCCAGTGACCACCACGGACTCGTCCGGATCTACCACTATCATCAGCGCTACCTCATCTCTGTCGGGATCACAAGCCACTAGCTCTATCACCGCGAGCGCGAGCACCTCGATCTCCGTCACTTTTCCCACCAGCGTAACTCAGACCACGGCAAGCACAAACAGCACTGCTCTATCCTCCGTTTCCACGTCCGTCTCCCTCAATTCGACTGTCGTTCCCACTACAACATCATCCTCATTGTCTCACCCTACGACTACTAGTATCGTCGCGACGACATCTCGCACCGAACCCGTCGGGTCCTTCACGAGCGCGCCTCCGCTCACGACCTCGTCTGCATCCTCCTCGGCATCGAGAAGCAACGTCGCGAGTGTTGGGGCTCCTCAGACTACTGTCTCGGCGAGTGGAGGTAATACGGGTGCTGCTGTCGGTTTGGGTGAGGGGATGTCGAAGGCGGGGGTGATGTTGGCTGGTGTCGCGGGGATTGTGGCGGCGTTGGCTTAATCTGTGGGATAGCTTTGGCATACTGCTGGTCTCGCTTTGGACGGCCCAGGTGCTTCATTGATATAATAGGTGTTTAGGATATGGGATAGTTATCTCTAGGGCTTTCAGATGATGGACAACTTTTCGAACGGACTAAGACTTCTACTTAAAAGTAGCTAGTTACGATACCTTGGACTGTTTTGTTGTGGCCTTTGTGGACGTTTGATTCTTTGGGTGCGGCTTTTCGGTTACCTTTGCAATCACTGTTCCAATTATCTGTCGGGAGCTTTCGGGGAAAGAGTGTCGATGTGATACCCGCGGAGTGTGAATAGCTGAGTGGCGTATGATCTATCTGTCGCCACACGTGATTTTTATAATACACCCATGTTTATTGAACGACGAAAACTACGCTAATCAGAACGCACGGCGAGAGATCACTTGGCTGGGATAACAAGCTTTGCGACGAGCCCTTCATTCTCCACAATCTGCTTCTTCCAGTCCTTCTCCACCTCGCCCAAATCCCAATTTGCAGAGTAATACCTGCAGCGCCAGATCGTGTCAGTCAAAACACTCCCTGACGAGATCGCCACAGGAAAACAAAACTTACCGTCCTGACAGCCAATCAGCTTTTCCCGAGGTCAAGTACAAGAACGTCGCAGCAGGCAAAGCGGCGGTATCGAACACCGCGCCGGGAGGCATGATACCTGTCGCTCGGTTCGTGTCGGTCTCGACGCCACCGGGGTTTACTGAGAAAGCGCGGATGTTGGGATATTCTGCGAAAGGAAGGGTAGGAATGAGTTGGGGATGCTGCAGAACAAGACAGGATATTGACCTATGGTGATATATTCGATGAGACGGCCGATGGCGTGCTTCGAGAGGCAATAGTTTGAGGCGTTAGGAACCCGGACTTGGGCTACGATGGAGGAGACGGCGACGATGGACCCCTTCGTCTTGTTGAGATGAGGGATAGAATAGCTACGGATATGATTCTGTAAGTCTGCGTGTTAAGTATCTCGGAAGACGATATTAGCTCACTGTACTGTGTTATACACTCCGCGCAAGTTGACCTCGATCGTCCTATAATATTCAAACGCAGGCCAGACGTCAAAGCTTGGAAAACGAGACGATTATCGTGCAAGTGGAACTGACCTCCACCATTCATTCGGGTCCATCTCCGCGAGAGCTAAAATATCAGATGCGTTAGCGAACGTCAAGTTTGGAGCCCTACGCTCGGTATTTCACTAACAAAGAAATGAACGTATACATACGCTGCGTCCATGAGTTAGCCATTCCCGCATTGGCGATGACGATGTCGAGCTTGCCAAACTTCGCCACAGCTGTGTCCACTGCTGCCTTCACTTCCTCAGGAACCACTACGTCCGCCTTCACTGTAAGGATCTGAGCTTTGGGAAGCTCTGTCAAGATCTCCTTCTTCACGCGCTCGAGGTTCTCTACAGAGCGAGCGGCGAGAACTAGCGTCGCTCCTGCGCGAGCATATTGCCTCGCCGTCTCCTCTCCGATACCTTGCGAAGCACCGGTGATGAAGACGACCTTGTTCTTGAAGGCTTGCGAGGCGTAGTGGATCTTCGGGTCGATATATGGGTATACACTGAGACATGGCAGTGGCGCAAAACGACTCACATTGATGAGTTTGAATTATCAGAGGTGTGGAAGAACAATTTAAACGCACTCGGTTCGATGGGAGACACCTGGGAGTGCTGACTCGTTCGCACCGACGGGTGCACCAGACCCTTCGAATTTCGATTCCCCTATGGTAATTTGTTCTTCTGTTCCTGCCATATCTGTAAGTATGAGCCGAGATTCGAAAGAAGAAGGGGGCAGAGAGAAGAGTGGGAAGGCAAGATGTTATCAGAGCTTTCGAACCCCGAGTTATATACTATGAAGCCTCGAGGCCTATACATGCCCTTTTACGCTGTCCATGACATGAACCGATTGTCGTCAGCTCATTGACACGCATGCTCTTTCAAGCAATATTGGCGTCCTAGAAGGCGATTGGAACAGTTACCGTACCGGACTTATGGGCTAGGATAAATTGGCAGGATCACAGGATTTGTTCATCGGAAGGCAGGAAGATGCCATCTTCTGCGACCCTGACCGGTGGGCGGAGGACGATCACAAACAGATCCCGAACCCGAAAGCCTAGCCTGAGCGCCTGGGAATGATGGTGCATGATTTGTGCATATGCCGCAGTGTACGGTTCGGTGAATTTAAGCGGATGCCCTTGTTGTTATGCCGCATCAGATTACTTCAGGAAGCTGCACGTACCTCGATGAACGGGGGGAGCAACCTGGAAGTACTGGGAGGACTTGCTGGGACGTGGCGGTCATCGAGTATAGGCAAACAAACAAAGCGATAAAAACCAATAAAACCCACAAAAAAGACGCGCGCTCTGCGCGCTCCGCTACAATGTACATCAAAACACGATCTCACGCCCCGTCATCATGCAACTTCACCGTCGGAGGCGTAGGCGGATAGTCATAGACTGCAGAGCGCGGAGCCAAGAGGCGCAACCAGGCCCAACCATGACACCGTCGATCGTCGAGACATCACACGCTCCAGCTCAAGCCTAGTCCGACGGAAAGAACCATGAGCAGAACATTTTCCTGGATATCATATAGCACAACTCACGCCCTTTCCAGATCCATAGTAGTCCTTATCGCTCTGGCCGTCTGTTTGCGCAATAGTATCGATCCGAATAGCAATATGTTCGCCCTCATGCGAAGGAGAAGCATTGAACGTGCTCTGCTGCGGGTTGAACTGTCGAGCGACAGCCTGTAGTGGGACTGACTGCGGTGCGGATACGGAGCTGTTGGGGTTTGACCGAGTGTTGCGAATGTAGTCGCGGCAGTTCAGCGTTGCAAGCAACGAGCTGGTAATGAGGAAAACTCTCAGCATGATATGACCCAGAAACGTTTGAGAAGATTAGTTCGCTCACTTCGTGTACACTTCACATCCAACCCATATGTGTAGTCGTAAGAATGGCTGGAGACACGCATGATGTATAGTTCACTCACAACGCCCGACTGATCAGAGGCTTAGTCAGTAAGAACGAGTAGGCTTGTGCGAGAAAATGGCGCACGCATAAGATAAAAGAACATGTAAAGATACGTGTCCGGCCAAGCTTTCAGCTGAAGACAATATGAGTGATATTTAAGATGATGTTCTGAAGAAGGCTAACCGTGATGACCGCGAACAGAGCGTTAACGCTAGTCAACAGACCTGTATTCGAGCGAAGTGAATCAATAACGCCAGTGTAGATAGCAGGTTCGGTGGAAGTTACCAGTATTGAGAGAGAAAGTAACCTGATGTAAAGCATAAATGGATATGCGAGTGACGATGGCCGTAAAGAAGAATTCACTGACCAGCCTGTTTATCATGCCGTCCGTTTTCGAAAACCCAGTTCTGGAATGATTCAGCAATGAGATGATCGCGCAGGTGATAGCCACGTCTGTAGAGGAATACGGACATATTCAGCTAGTGCGAGACGGGACAACCGAACTTGACATACCAGTTATAGCTGCTCCTAGGTTGGCAGCGAGTGTGAGAGGCTGTAGGGATAGAATCAATGCGCGCGTTATGTCCACGATTGCCAGTGTGACTAACATCTATCGCTGGCAGTTGTGTCACAGATTTGAAGTGAACACTGATACAAGATGGTCAGAACTCCGCTGACGGATAAGTAAAACGGATACGCACGCGTTGCCGCAATAAGCTACGGTTTACCATAGGCCGTAAGTACCGGCTCAGGACAGCAGAGTTATTAGAGCACATACACATGAGAATGCCTAGAAAGCCACCATGTTTAAGTAGGGTACTGCGGGCAACGAAGAAGTGAAAACATACCGAAAGTTGTCACACTGCATGCCGCCTAATATACAATCAGACGTATTCGTTGAGCACAGGTCACTGCAGCACGTAGATGGAAGCGGGTTACTTACCACAATTCCCGTAATTGGAAGCCCGTACCATGCGCCATGGGCCACTGTAAACGGGTGAGATACATCTGCCAAAACTGTTAAGGGAGACACCTACACCTCCAGATCCGATAAATGAAGAACCTATCGAACGATCAGCCGTGATCCAAGAAAGTCAGATGAAGAGAGAGCGCCTACATTTGAACAAAGAGAGCGACGAGTCCCCCAAATATGGCCTGAATAATTAGGGGTCTGGAAGACAATATGAACGAGCAATCCCAGAAAACTGAGAAGGCGATACGAACGGGTTCAGAGTGAGCATTATGGTAGCATCGTCGTGATTTGATATGCTGTAGAAGTACACTGTAGCTCGGTGAGATATGGGCGTTGAATCGACAGTGGGACAAGCAAACCGGTCGCTAGAAATGATGGTTTCAGACTTTGACGGCGAAGAGTAGAGGGGATATCAAGAGACTGACCTGCGTTCAAGCACTGCTGGCAAGTGTCGAAAATCAAGACCAAGATGACCTGTGTAAATCTCTCATGAGCCGGACATATAGCCGATAAACAATCATTAGTGCGCACTGCTGTCTTGATTATCCAGCTATCCTTCGATCCATACTTGCGGAAATAAAGCCATACTTGAAGGCAGCCCACTATCATCTTCGGTCAGTGATATACCTAAGATTGAGCAAGGGAGACACACCTCCGAACAAACTGTCGACGTTGTTGATGGTGAGCGGGTTAAAAACTAATCAGTAGCTGCTTAGATACAAGTTAAACGGTTGTCCATACACTGAAGTGATGACCAAAGCATCGAACAAGAGCCCGAGACTACACAGCCAACTGATCAGCGCGACATATGATGTAGATCCATGAGGGCTGGAGACATACGTCGTGTCGTACACAGTGGTTCCCATTCTTAACAGAGCGAGAGGGTACGAGCAGCAGGCGAAACTCAACGGCGGACAGTGGCCCTTTTAAAGAAAGAGTGTATATTTTCTGTCGTTCCGGTCGCGAGCAGGAACTTGGCGAGACATCAGGCGGTGTGCCGTGAGAGCATATATACATGCTCATTTGAGGCGAACACACAGGGTGACAACGTCCGGGTCTTACGTATGGATGGGGCAGTGCGCGCAAGTCGCCGCCTCTTCTCTTACCCTCTTTTACCTCAGGGAAGGGGGTACGGCATTGAAGCCTGATACAGAGCAAATCCCCTTTCAACCTACACAAGAGGTGCGCGGGAAAAGAATTCCGCACACTGCTCAGCTCTCGGCTAAAAGACAAAGAAGCACCGAAATGAATTCGCAAAGGGAGCGGTGCTCTGGGGTCCCTGCAGAGAGTCTGTGTGGCACTGTGGCACTTTGGTGGCACTCATTCCGAGCCTTATCCCAACATGTTCACGAAGCAGGTGTGGTCACGGCTGAAATGATGCAATAAGAGACCCAGTATTCACGGTACAGGATCGTGTGCACTGGGTAGAGAAAACTAGGCAAATTACAAAAGCAGAAAGCGGCACAACACTATTTCTGTAGAAGTCGGAAGTAGTGACCTATGCGAGAAACCTCTAGTCAATTCTTCCCGTGTCCTTTCCGGCTCAATACAGCGACAGGCAAGAGCCCTAAGGTACACCATATGAGTCCTATATTAATTCAGTGGCATGGTAAGATTCGGAACACTGATTTTATAGGAGAGTTGTGAATTTTCGCACCTCAGCTGTACTAGCAATGGATCACACATCCACGATGGCACTGGTTGTTGCTCCGTGCTCGTGACACTTGCCGTACACATGTCTGATGCAGCAATAAACAATCTGAAGGAGTAGGAAGATCAGCCTATGCAAAATAAGTTGAGTTTGGAATAAAAACAACCGGGAGAGGGTGGTGATCACAAGTGTCATCTTTGCGGAGAGGTGGTTTCGTTGGAGAAAGAAGTGTGGCGTGGTCATATTGGTGCCCACATCCTTCGTGCGTTATGCAGATCACACGAGCCACTACCATTAATATCTCCGGTAAGTACATTATTACAACTTTATTCTCGTATTGGGTTGTACTAACAGACAATATCATATCCATATAGGTCGGAACAACGATGCCATGCGGTTCTTGCGGTCGCAGCGATGACCCTCTTTGCCAGGATATCGGGATCACAATCGGGAAGTCCATCAAAGTCGAATCTAAATGCCCGCTTTTCTACAAGATCTCGTACGCTAACGCGAATAGGGGAACTATCGCGACACCGTGCAGAAACATACCGATCAAGTGTCCGCTGTGTCCAGATATTCCTCTCCATCCGCGCACTCATATCTTCCGAGGAATATGGAGATACAACATGGTTGAGCATATCCGTACGCGAGACTGAGAGTATGCTTCCCCGGGCAACTCAAATAACCGTGGTTGTCTTCCCATACCCGCTGGATTATGGATCGACAGTGTGGAGATTCAGCCGAAGGAGTATGTATTCTGTGGTATTGACGCGTCACTCATTCCCCCTCATTTTGACCATATCTGCGAAACACCACGCTCTCCTGTACTTACCTCCACTCCTTCTGGCGGCAAGCGTTCACGAGCCTTTACGGCTACTACAATCGATGTTCCCGCAAGCAAGCAGGCTCGCCATTACTGAATGTACTTACACATAAAAACGGACTGGACATTTTACGAAGCTTTGTACTTACGATGACGTTTCTTCGTGTATTACCCATAACCTACCGTAGTCGGGCTCACTCGTTGTGTACAATCCTATACAGGGCCACATCGTGCTACCCTGCTTTCCTTCTTTCGCCACTGCTTGTCTGGACCAATGACCTAAGTATTATGAAATTGCTGTTTCCTGAAGGACCCCGGATGTATGCCGTACCCTCCCCCCCCTCTAAGCGAGAGCTAGGCGACGACCTTCAGATGTCCGGGATTTCTCGACCGCGCGCCTCTTGAACCTACATAGTAAAGATCCCATGGGTTTCAGAGAGAATGGTTCAAAGTTACATTAACCTGCCGATCACCACGGATTAAAGTCCCTGTGATTCAGACGTTGAGGAGTATACTCTTTACCAATGGCCGTGTTTGAGGTAGAGGATGATACTGTATGGGGACAACGTGCACGTTGCCTTGGTTCAAACTGTGTACACGGGCGGAGCCGCCAACCTGGCGCATACAACGGAGTTCGCCGACGAGCTTGACGTTCCTTGTGGGGGTTTGTTCAATAATTGTTGGATAAGAGCTATCCAGATCGACAGAACGACTCACTGCGCAGACCTTCCTATCATTGGAGCCACATTCCTCTCGAAAGCTAAATCCCCACGGCTGTTTTAATGTCGCCCGCTAGAGTCACTGAACCGGTCGTTTTTACGCCAGAGGGCGCCGTATCAATCTCCTACAACACTCTTGTCTCCTCTCCACTCTCTCTAACGGACGCCATCGGTATGTCGATCCAATCCTTCTGTTGATGCTACGGGACTCTGAACTGTACTGGCGATATTCAACGATTTAAGAAAAGGCTTTCGGATCTCATCCGGATTCCTTGGGGATTATCGTCGTTCGTGATCTGCCGGCAGAATACAAGACCTACAGGGAACGGCTTCTGCTTCTCTCTAGTGATTTCGCCCATCTCGACGAATCCACGAGAGAGAGTTATGCTGACAGCAAAAGCAGCTATAGGTATAGTGCTTTCCATTAAACCGTCTTTGTATGCTTCTCCAGACTGAATTGCTACAGTTTCGGGTGGTCGCATGGAAAGGTCAGTGCGTTTATCGTTGTCACCTTGGCGCATCATGGACTTGCCCTCATCTGGTAAACCGTATAGGAAATCATGAATGGGAGGCCAGGTAGGCACCTCGATCTATGTGTTGTCAGCTCTTCGAGCTAACGCCACTGAAGATACGCTCAAGGGCTCGTACTATGCGAATCCGGTCGTGGACAGTCCATCTGTATCCGCGGATCTTCAACAACAGTACCCTGAGTACTACGGCACCAACATCTGTACATTGAGTCAATGTTTTCTATTGTCGGTGGCGTCCTCTTTGATACATTGAATACGCCACAGGGCCAAAGAGCGATGAGGCCGGGGTAGAGAACTTTGAATCGGCGTTCAAGGACCTTGGAAAGTGAGTGATAGAGAGCTACAGTAGTCCGTGGCACTCAATCTGCATCTAGATTTATCTTCGACGTCGGATGCAAGCTAGCAGGCGCTTGCCAGCCATTTGGTTAGTTATCTGTTGTCATCCTAGAAAATCATGCCGAAATGTTGACTTGATCTTGCTTCAGCTTCATCACACTTGACCGACTCATCACTCTCACTCGCGAAGTTGATCAGCTCCTCCCAGACTACCAAAGCTCGCCTTCTGCATTACTTTCCTCCATCTCCGGAGAATCCTCTCCCGAAGGAAGATGAACCCATTGACAGCTGGTGTGGCTTCCACCTCGACCACTCGCTTCTGACTGGTCTTTGCTCCGTAAGTACACATTGTCGTCCTGAAACCCCTAACTAAGAGCTTCATGCGCTATATTCCAGGCCATGTATCTTGAACACAACCCGCACGCTAAACCCAGCATAGTCTCCGCTCCCTCTCCCTCCTCCGGCCTCTATATTCGTAGCCGCGGGGGAAATCTAACCAAAGTCTCCATTCCTGTCGACTGTCTCGCTTTCCAAACTGGCGAAGCCCTTGAGCTAGCCACGAATGGTCAACTTCGTGCCACTCCGCATTGCGTTCGTGTTGGTGATGGAGGCGCGCACGCGGAGAAGGTGTCCAGGGAGACATTTGCGCTTTTCATGCAGCCTGATGTGGACCAGAAGATCGGGGAGAGCGAAACGTTTGGGCAGTTTAGTAAGAGGATATTCGAGGAGCACTATGATGGCAAGTCGGAGGGAAAATAACAAACGATCGTGCGCCAATGTAGATGTAAACACTTGTATTTCTCTTAGTTATCAGGCTGTACTGTTTTCGTATGGGCATAAATTGGGATTATGCAGATGTTAGACACTTCGTGGGATCGTATCTGCAAGACCTCATACAACTCGGGTGTGTCCAACATAGGCAATAGGCTTGGTCAACGATCAGAAAGTGGCATACTTTGTCTTACTCTTCTGAGGGAAACATCTCCTCTTCCAACGAGAGGATGCGATTGCCGACTGACTTGCACTTTCCGTGAGGTGAAAGCTACCGACACGACGTCCCGCGGTATCGGGTAAGAAAGGTGTCAGATCCTCACAGAATACAGCTTGAGCACAAAGACAGAAGACAGTCCCATTAGGTTAATATGGTCTCGAAAAACACAGTTTGCCATAGAGAGCGTAAGCTGAACAAGTCGTCAGGTGATGACAATTGGATAAATTAAACGTCCTCTGAAGTGCATATTGAGCGTCTAGTGGCATGGGCGTCCTGGTTCTCGGAGCCAGCATCGAAACAAGGGGACCTAGCACGAAATATACGATGACATTCGATTTGACCATATGGCGTACTATCTGGCCTTACTGGCTCGCAGCCCTGATACACCCATGGAAAGTTTGTGAATGGCGAAGGATCCGTAGACCGCAAGCGGCTGTTCGGGTGGAAGGTTCATGCATGCAATATCATATCATAGGTGGTGCATACAAAGAGACCAGTTTTGTGTAGCGAGGCAGAGCGAGCAGCAGAGATGTATGCGAGAGCCGAAAGGGAAAAGGTCGAAACGGAATGACAAGGCGGCCTTCACCGGTTCTACATGGATTAATAGAGGCGGAGGCAGATTGAGATGAGCCAGGTTAGCCGCAAATCGTGACTGGAGATACGCACCTTGACGAAACCGATGGCGGCAGACTTCTCACGGAAGCACTGACGGCAGAGGTCAAGGCCGTACTTGCGGATGAGACCAGCCTGGTGAGCGCAAAGGCGGCTGTACGCGAGGAATTGAGGTACGGCGATTTCGTTGGATACAGAGCAGGGAGTGTAATAGTCAGATGCATTTCCTAGGAATTAGAGCTGGCCTGAACGCACCATTGACGGCTACCCTTTCCGAACTTGCGGGGGCGAGAGAACCAAACGGCGTCGTGGGTCATTTTGATGGAAAGGGCTGGCAATATTACAATTCACCAATCGTCAATACGTGGCGGGCAGCAATCACGCTGGAGCACCAAGACATACCTTACCGGTATCGAGTTCGTTGGCGTCGACAGTGCACTAGACGATGTCCTCGACGCGCCAGAGGTTTCGTGCTTATGTAAACTGTACAGTACCAACAATAAGGTTTGGTGATGTACGGCAAACGCCGTCATAACTAACGAACGCCCATGGCACAGGCGTGCCACACAAATATTCGCTGCTTTCTCTGTTTTAAATGTACGGAGCCAGAAAATCTCTCAACCACACTACCTAAAGGAGGAAGAGTCTACTGTCCGTTATTTGGGGTAAGGAGGAACGCGCGCCGATCGGCTGTGGTGGCATCCTCTGAATGTGTGGCACCTTACAGTCGGATGCGGAGAAATATATGGGCAGTACCATTAGAGTTCTACAGATGTCGACGACGACGACAGAGAAGGAGAGTCGTAATGTAGCGAGCAAGAGCATCACAGGCTATATAATACAAACGTGTAGGAAAAGAGAAGTCATGCTAAAGCGCAAATATATGCGGAGTACAGAGAAACGAGAAGTACTATGTATATCCAAGACCATGCAGTATGCTGCAGTGATTATATGTAGAGTGGGGTGGCATCAGGCCTCGTAAGCTTAATATTACATACAAGACAGCAGACAAGCAAGGTAAAAATCAGGAACAAACGTAGGTCCCAGGAGCCAAAAAACTCTACAAAAAGAAAGTCATAAAATCATAATCATGAATGTGACGAAGACGGACGACCGTTCGTCGACGCCGAACACGATCCATCCGACCTCGAGCGCCGATGCGTCAACTGGACAGCTGGCGTCGTCAGCGCACCAGGGAGCACCGAGAGCATAGTCGCCGTGATACCGCTCCTCTTGAACGATATCCTCCTCTCTCTACCTTCACTCTGCCGGGAAGTCGAACTGAGAGAAAGACGCGAAGGCTCCTCCAAGTCCGAGATCACACTCCAATCCTCACTAGGTGCGCCTCCAATAGATCCGCTGGGCGGTGACGACAAAAGTTTGTCGTGATCAGGAGATTCGTCTTCAGTATCGCCTCCACCACTACCACCGGGGCTGCCACTACTAGGGCTGGTTCCTTCCACGATGACATCGTCGGGGGAGACTGCGCCCTTGACGAGCGAGCGAGCATATTCAAGATCACGGTAAATCGCCTCGATGGCCGTAGCTACGCCGTTTTCCTGTGCAAGCGGTCTCAGTGCCAGATCTGCCACGATAGAAAGAGGGAAGACTTACAGAACGAATAGCTTCACCAATCACCTTCGCCCGAGTGATTTGCCTCTCATCAGTAGTAGCCGTACCAAGCGCCTCAGCCAGACTTTCGACAGTCAACTTCCGGACGCCACTTCCGACCCCTAATGCCTCCACTCTATCTGCCCAGAAAAACTGATCACCAAAGAAAGGCTTGATTATAGTCGGAATTCCGGCTAAACCACAATGTAATAATCAATACCCCGACATCAAGAAGTAAACGAAGTCGTGCAAAGACTCACCACGCAAACTGGCCCCAGTCGTCCCAGCCCCACCATGATGACAAGCCGCATCGATCCTCTTGAAGAGCCAATCGTGCGGCACGGAAGCCAACGGATATATCTGCTTCGGCAGAGGTTCCTCAGGCTCCGCCACCTCCGCCACATTCTTCGTCAACCTGTCTGACCAGCCTTTCGACAAAATAGCATGAACGCCAGATTGGACGATGGCCTCGATGACGGTGCGAGTCATAGCCTTGGGATCGGAGACGACGATGGATCCGAACCCGATGTAGACGACCTTCTTGCCTAAGGCGTGGGCGTTGTCAATGAACTCGACGAGGTCGGGTGGTGGTGTCCATTTGGAAGCGCTGGCACTAGCATCTTCAAGGAACCAATACCCTGTCACGCGGATCCATTCTGGCCAATCCAGAGGGGGTGGAACGACGGTCGGGCTGAAGTTGTAGAGGAATGGGATCTTGTGGGGTTCCATCTTGTCCAGAGAGGTGCTAGGAAGGCCGAGGATATTTCGTCGCCAACGGTTGATCTGGCTAGCGGTTCCTCTCCAGAAGACTTGATCGAACATAACGTAGGTCTAGAGGGGACAGGGGTACGCGTAAGTATATTTTGGTTGGTTGGAAATGAGGGGCATACCATGTAGTTGTAGCTCCCGCCCATCTTCCGTTCTGGCACGGCGAAGGCGTGAGGATAGGCTCTGCAAGACCAATCAATCAGCCAGTTGGCCATACTATGCTGCGTGCAAGCTACATACCTTGTCCGTGACCAAGTCATAGTAAAGGCTCTAAAATACGGTATCCTCAATGCTTCGGCGATATGGTAGCCCGCCATCGCGCTCGGACTTTCGATGAGCACGTCCGAGTCCTGGCAGGCGTCCCAAGCCGTCTTCAACAAGTCATCGATCCAGCCTCGGAACTAAAAAAACATAACCAATCCTCCGCATTGAGAAACCACACACGCGACCGAAGTCTGACAAAGAGTCAAGAACGCACCTTAGCGACACCCTCCCTCAAGAACGAAACCGTAAACGTCCCATTCTCCACACATATCCGCATCAACTCCGCCGGATCCCCACCCACATACCCAAATTCAATACCATACTACTCCACGCCACGCCACACAACCCAAAGTCCGTCAATGAATACTTCGATACCAAGCGGGGTGCAAAGAAAAGAAAGGACTCACCGACTCGACCCATCCCTGAAACTCCCCATGCGTCGCGATCTTCACCCTATGTCCATCCCTCATCAACCCCTTCGCCAACGAAATATACGGCTGCACGTCCCCCCTCGACCCAATCGTCAAAAACGTAAACCTTAAACTCTCCTTCGGCTTGAACGTCAAGAACGTCGAGCTAGTACTCGTGAACATCACAGCCGGCAACGAATCCGTCATCGACGGCCTCGGGTCCGCCCCCGACCCCGACCCCGCCGCCGTCGCCTCTTCCGAATCCCGCAACGGTGCGAATTCTTCGAGGAAGAGCGCGTCGGGCTTCGAGCGGGGACTAGCATTGACAGTACCATTGAAACTGTTGTTAAGCGGACTGCTGGAGAGGGCGCCGGTGCCAGTGGCCGTGGTCGGGGTTTCTGCGTTGGATGTGGCGGCGGAGGAGAGGATGCGAGCGCGGACGTCTTCCATTTGGCGGTTGAGGAGGTGAACGAACGCAGCCCTGCGGTCTTGCAGGCCGAATTCGAAGAAGAGCTCCTCGTGGCCTTTGATGATGAGGACGAGACCGTAATGACCGAAACGGAAGGCTTTCGAGACTTCGGTGGCGAGGATGTCGCGTATGGGCAGCATAAGCTAGTTAAGGCCAATGTCAGGATGCTACAAATATGAAATACGTAGATGACCAAAGGAGAGAGAACTCACCCTCGTCTTGGTAGCCAACGGCCCCGTAGCCTTAAAACACAAATAATTCGACGAGATATACAGCCTCCCATAGACAGGAAGTAATCGGAATATATACCCCGGGAAATCTAGATAATCGCAATCAAATTAGCACACCGACAGCCGAACGTCACGGTAAATAAAAAGGGGAGAAAGAAAAGAAACTCACACCCCAACAACCTCTCCCTCTCATCAAACGCGAAATCATTCCTAAACTTCCCCGCCATCTCCGCCTCGACCTCCCAATCCGGCGTCTCCAGTATACTAAACGTCATATCTCCTCCTCCTCCTCCACCTCCCACACTCCCAGCCAACTGCCCACTCCCACTACCTGTATCACCACCACCCGTATCACCAACAGCCGACCCAGTAGACGTATAAACCTCCGACACGCCCTTACCCTCCATATCCCCCTTCCCCTGCTCACCGCCACTACCACCCACACCGCCACTCCCCCCTCCAACTCCAAACGGACCCACAAGCGATTTCCTCGACGGAATCTTCAACCACGAAGGAACCCCGACGCCCCACGCAAACGCCGAAGGCCTCGTCCCCGCCGTACCAGCCGCACCCCCATTGTTACTGCTGATCCCACTACTACTCGTGCTCATGAAGCTCCCGCCCACGGGTGGCATGCTCAATGCGTCTGCAGTCGTCGCGGGCGGATACGTATGTCCATGTGGATGGAGATGAGGAGGAGTCGGGGAACCGGTAGTACTAGTAAGACCCAACCCTCCACCGACTCCAATGGTAGACGGCGTCGGCGTAAGACTGCCCACACTCTGCTGTAACCCCGTCTCCGACGCACTCTGCGGCAACATAGCTGCGGAACCCGGCGAACCGCTGAGCGGCGGTGTCGACCACGGAAACTCGCCCCCAGCGCTAGAAGGTGGGGGTGACGAAGTGATAGGGATGAACGACTGCGAAGACCGTTTGCGCACATGTGTGAATTCTTCGCTCGTGTCGAGGTCGGGGGTGACGGCGGTGGCGGGTGCCGAGATCGTACTACGCGGTGTTTGTGGCGGGACTTGGACCTGTGTCGTTGTTGTTGTTGTTGTTGTAGGCTCCTGGAACGGTCTCAAGAACGAAGCGAGCCTGAACGGACTGCTCGTCTTCGACGCCACCGCTCCCCCTGTTTGCCCCTGCCCGCTCTGCCCCTGCCCAGCCTCCTCCACAAGCCTACTATTCCTATTCGACTGCGGCGGACTCCTCGGACTCGTCGTATCAATCAACATCTCCCCACCCCCACCCTCCTCGCCCTCTCCGCCAGCAAGCTCACTCCTCCTCGTCCTGAGCGAATACATCGCGATCGCGTCCCTGATCTGTTCGAGCGCGGCGGGGAGGTCGTGAAAATACGCGAAGAAATAAGAGTCGACGGAGAGTTCCTCGGACGCGCTCAGGCCTTCTACCACTTTGATTTCTATCGTCTCGCTGAAATCCATAGCGGAGGACTTGTCGACGTCGATGATCGTCGAATAAGGAATGGCTATCTAACCGATATCAACCCAACCCAACCCAAGCCATGTCAAACGACGATGCTACGTGAACGGTGAACGGTGAACGCGAAAGGACGGAAAAAGACAAACCTTGACACTATCCCCCATATTCTGCGCCTTAAAAATCACCTTCCTAATACTCTTCACCCACTCCTCCCTACTCGGCACCGAATCCGCCGTCAAATGTATCGTCTTCGCGTTCGTCCTCAATCTGATCCCCTTCTCGCCCACGGGCTCACAAACGATCGCGTACCGGAGGTCGACGACGCCGTGCGGGAAGTACGGGTCCGCGGAGGACTGGTACCATGAGAGGACGTCGTTCTTGAGGATGAACCAGTGTTTGATCCAGCGTTTCGTGCGTTGGGCTTTCTTGTAGAGCGAGCCGGATTTGAGGACTTGATCCTATGGGTGGGTAAGTGAATGAGTAATGTGAAGAGTCGAGACTGAGATGATGTGGCGCGTACCTCGCGTGAAGGCATATGGGCGAAGAAGCAGACATAGGAGTTGGTGAGGTACATAAACCCCTGAAGCACTAAACACACACCAAACAGCGTCAAGAAACATTCTCCGACGAATAAAACAGCACAAGCACACTCACAAACCGATCGCAATAACCAACACGGCATCTCTATTTAAAAAAAAACATACCCACCGCCACGACTCAGATCAACGCTCTCGACGGACGCCACACCACAGAAAAGCACGCACCGGCAATAACCTCATTAATCCCACTCAACTCAAACACATCCGCCAACTTCGCCGCTAATCTTGCCCTCCGATTCACCTTGACCGTCTTCACCGTCGCCACCGTCGCCAAACTATTCGTCCTCTCACTCGCCATCCTCGCCGCCGTCGCCCCGATCTCGTCCTCCAAAAGCGCGCTCATAGGCGCCCTCGCGTCCTCCATCGGATGCATCCCCTGCGGACTCGCGTGTCCTGGTCCGGGGGTAGGCGCCGCTTCGAAGTCCTCCTCGAGCTCTTCTTCTTCTTCTTCGTCAGACGGGGACCGTCCGATTGTGTCGGGGGAGGTGGAGACGTTGGGTAGTGAGGGGTTGAATTTGGTCGAGGCTGCGGTGATGGGGGAATAGAGACCGAGTTGGGAACCTTGTCTGCGGGACATGACGACGGGTCGATGGATAGCGTGTATAGACGAGGCCATGGCCTGACCTTTCGGACGATGCGTATTCAGGATCGGAAGGCCTCGTAGATTGTAGTGCAGTATAAACATACCTGGCCGTTCATCCTCGTCGCTGTCCGAGTCTACCGGGTCTAGGTTGTTCGGCAATGGGTCGTCTTCATTATCCTGGTCTTCTTCCCAGGGAATGGCTTGGAGCGCTTGGATGAGCGTTTGGGTACCGGCACGCATCTGTCAAGACGAACATGATGAGAACGTGTTCCTTGAACTGCAGAGAGCGAACTGTCAAACAGGATGAGGGACTACAAAACACGAGAAAGAAGATGGTAAGCTGGAACACGATGATCGAGCGCAGGAACTGGGTCTGCTCGTTCAGCAGAGTGCCACCATCACTGCGACTCTGCATCAGAGCGGTGACAGGATCAAGACGCCACCTGATGCTGAGAGACCTGCAAGTGTGCCGACTATAACATCATATCTTATTGAAGATGTGACTCCTGTAAAGGCTCTGTGCTCGGTAGTGCTTTACAAGTCGGACAGTTCCCAGCAAGTACACGCAGAGGAAGACCGTATGTGGCTCCTGACTGGCATTACCACTCACAAGACCTCTTGACATGCAGTGGTGCTGGGTTTACCATCTAGGAGAGGAGGTACTGATACCTTTGAGGGACTCCGATGTGACCCCCAGCATAAGAGGTAAGAGTACACCGGTGCGTGCACACAAGTATATCGGGAACTGACCAGAATACAAGGTGGCGAAGATCATTGAGGGTGACTGGAACCTGACCCCAGGCCAGATAGAGGGTATCCCAGAGAGCAGAACGAAGACGCATAGAACGAACAAGCACTTACGGATCCATCACCGGTAAATGGCTGAAGAGAAGGTCTCCTCGGGGGTTGTGTAGGTGAAGGGGGTCGGATGAACGGAGACTCGTCAGGCTCAGAAGGAGTGGATGGAGTCGAGCATTTCGAAAGGGACGAGGGACGAGCTTTGTATGCACACATGATGAGTGCATACCAAGCGAGGAGGTGCCTGGACAGTACGCACCATCATCTCCCGGCTGCTGCTTCTCCTTGCCCTTGCGGGTAATGGAGAAGACGCGGCGTGGACTGGTCGGCTGCTTTGAACTCGGGCCCTGCTGACCTCTCCGTTCCAGGGACTTGCTTCTGCTCAGTTTATCTGCCGTCTTCTCCATGACGCGGCGCACGACGTTGGACCTGTCCTGTGTGGCGGCGGGGTCGTCTGGGGTAGAGGAGGTGGAAGGCGCCGAGGCTGACGCGGCCAGTGAGGCAAGGGTGGGGATGGACATCTGTGACCGAGACAGTCTGGACATTGTGACCGTCGGTGAGTGACTATGGACCGAGGAGGATGGGAAGGGGGAGGCAGGGCAGGAGAGCAGGCGTTGGAGGTGCTGTACTCGGAATACGCAAGTCCAGTACGGCGCCACCGTGCGCCAAATGCGGCAGCACGGGAAACGCCACCACGGGTTCTGGCGCCACAGGGCGCCACGACGCGCACTGGCCGCAAAGTCGCGTTTTCCAACTGTTGGAGGCGCCCTGCCTGCCCTGATCCTGCCCGTCAGCTTCAATCCGCCGTTTCTGGTTTTATAACTTCTCTTTTCTTCTTCTTTATCTCATCTTTCCCCCCTTTTTTTACCTCTTCAACGATGCGCGCAATGCGGGGCGAACTCTGTGTCGGATTTGCCACTGTGCTTTCGTCCGTTTTATCTCCCGATGTTGAGCACACGAACTGCAACTTACCATGACGTCCTCGTCCCTGCAGCTTTGCTTCTCTCCTCTGCCTCATCTTCATGCATGTTCGTACTCTATCTTACCTCTTATCGTCTCTCGCATGACTAACCGTGCTTCTAGGTTGGACAAATAAGCACGTCCAGCGTACCGCGTCACATCTACATGGTAAACTTCCCCTTTCATTTTGCTTCCGATCATATACCTCCGTTCCTGACCTTCAACCCCAACATCAACAGGCAAAGGTCAACGTCTCATTATACGGGTCCGTCGCTCTCTCTTCTCCACATCATACCCCCTCCTGAAATCCAACTTCAACTTTGCTCTAGTGCTGGCCTCGAAGCCAGACTAGGCGACCCCATCGGAGGTCTCTACACCTCCAACGCCTCCGCACCCCTCCAAGCCTCCGCCGGCCTCCGACAGTTCTACGAATTCGGCCTCTACTCCTACTGCGGCTACGTCGACGCCGTCAACGGAACATGTACGAACAGCACCACCGCAAGACGCTACGAGCCCTTCGACGCCCTCACGGCGGACATGATCGCGAACTATACGCAGATCACGGAGGCCATCATCAAGGGGACGAGTTTCCAGGACGATAACTACCAGGCTAGTACATCCAAGGCTGCCTATTACCTATTATTATTGGGAACGATATGTGCGGGGCTGGCATTCTTGACGTGCGTAACACCACCTTCCTTTCATTTTCTTCCGCCACTCCCTTTCTCCATCCTGCATCCTAACATCCTAACATCCCTTGGTTCCCATCCATGTGTGCAGTGGCGTAATAAAACACACCGTCGCCTTCCTCTTCTCCGCCTTCATCTCCATCGTCGGCTCCATCCTCCTCCTCGCCGGCTCCGCCCTCTGGACCGTCATGCTCAAGAAATCGCAGGACATAAATAACATCGACGTCGGCGACACCGATAGCGTACCGTTTGGTATTACGGTCGATGTGGGGCAGGGGATATTCTTGATGTGGGCGGGTTTGGCGTGTTTGGTGGTGTCGATTATTCCGTATATGATTAGGTGCGTTTTTTGTGTTTTTGTGTTGGAGTCTGCGTTGCGTTTCAGGTCTGTTTTGGGATGAAAATTTAAACATGCTGACGAGCGACGTGTGATTATGATTGTAGCTGTTGTACCTACCGGGGATAGAGATCCCTCACCTCACTTCGGGCTACGGACATACATACCTCAAACTAGTCATCCCGGCCCTATCCTCCGAGCACACACCCCCTCCTCCCTCCCCGCCCTTCCTCCCCACCTCCTCAGCTCTCCATCTATACAAGGCTACCCACCCTTAATGCGTGTGATACACGCCCCTCGCGACACCTCAAACATAAATCCGAAATCGGAGTCTACGCTCCACTGTACCATTTCCAGCCCCGACAGACGATCGCCCTTTTTCTGTGCTATATATTGTATTTTTGTTTGCTTCTTCCTTCTTTGTTTCTTCGTCCTTTTTTCCTTTCTCTATTTTCGTTTTTGTTCTACCTTTTTCCTCTTTCATGTAAACAGATCCGAGATCTGTCTCTTCCTCATTGCTCTTTGTTCCTTGTCACTTCTTATTCCGTTCGATTTAACACTCCACCCTTACACTCGAGACCTACACCTCCCCTCGCCCCTCACCCCTCGCGCTTTTTTACCTTTTATTTAACGACCCCCCGTCCGTCCTGAACTCACAACTCACACCTCGGAAATTGGAAATTGGAACGAGCTGCTACGAACCTTTACTTACTGACCCTACGAAGCCTACAAACATACAAGCGAACGGACGCTGCTTTATGATTTATTGCGATGATGATGGAATTTAGATGCTTTGGATTGAGACGAGTCACGATGGACTGGAACTGGTGTGGATGGTGTGCTTAGACTTTGGATGGATTCGGATGGGCAAGGAATTGTTGTAGAATGCAGTATGTTTCGAACCTTCGGTCTTTAGATGTTGGTCTTGTTGGAGTGATTCGTTCTCGTCGACGCCTAGAATATGGGTAAGTGATGTGTTTTTCTCTCTCTGTGTGCTACCTCTCTGAACTCTGAGTTCCATACAGCTTAACTTAGTGCACCCTGCGACTCCGACTCTTGAGTCACTTATTCGTGCTCGACATGCCTTGCGCCACCGAGTGGTTCGGCACGAGGGCCATACCGTGACACGCACACGGCGGAGTTTTGAATTCGAATTCGAACTTGGCCACCTTCCTGGTTCGCCGCTTTTGCCAGTGGAACGTCCGAACGGGGAGGTGACTGGCAATGGGCACAACTCTGGAGCGCATATGTATCCAAACCACCGCTGAGGTCTGAAGCTGCAATTAGGCTCGAGAGCCTAATATCAACGGTCGCTTTGCAAGCCTCGACTCGGAACGAAGTCCGTTGACAATGAAGTGTACAAGTCCGGCTTGAAATTCATGAACAAAATCATACCACTGGCAATCCCGACGGCACAGATCATACATGTAGCATCGATCTTCCTAGCTGTTGGCAAGATCCACTTCGAACTGATCTGTTAACGCCGTGTGGACTCCCTAAGTACCAGCCGGACATTGACGAAAAATCATTGATTGGTGGTCACCGAGGACGGTCAAAGCGTGCGTTCAGTGCTCATCATGCTTGCCTCTGTCGAATATATGTACATGGGAGTTTGCGCGGGACGTTGGACCGAGAAGAAAGGACAGTGGTGTTGAAGCCCATGACACGAATACGATAAACCTCCATGCTTTCCACTCGTGAACGACTTCTCCCAGGACGATCCTGTAGCGGAGGTAATGACCATAGACTGAGAAACGCGGAGCGTGTCCACAGAGCAGAAGCCAATCCCAGATTCACCGCCATAACATAGCTCAAGCCTAATAACACAAACCCACCAAACCCTTCAGCAACAAATCCGCATAAAACTCGAACACATAAATCAACCCAAACGACCCAAACTCACCGCTTTCGCCTCCCCATAATAGTCCTTATCGCTCTGCGCGTCCGTCTGCGCGATCGTATCTATCCTTATAGCGATATGGTCGCCATCATGACCATGACCACCAGGAGAACTAGTGAATGTGCTGATATGCGGCTGGGGGAATTGTCGATTGACGGATTGGAGGGGCATGGCTTGCGGGGCGGAGAGGGAGCTGTTGGGGTTGGTTGATGTGCCGCGGATGTATTCGCGGGAGTTGAGGGTGGCCATGAGTGAGCTGCGAGTGCAAGTGCGAGTGCGAGTGGTGTTGGATGAGCGAGGCTGAATGGTAAGGTGTGATGAGGATGGTCTACGTACTTGGTGTATACTTCGTGCGCGAGTCGGGTTCAATATGATTAGATTGCTTCTGTAGAGGTACGCTTTGTGATCACTTACATCTCCCAACTGAAAACAGGTATGGTCAATGAACGTTAGGATACAAGTTTAAAAAGTGACATACGCATGAGGTAGAACAGCATGTAAATATATGTGTTCGGCCATACTTTCAGCTGAAGACGAGGTCAGTAATATAATATACGGTGACGTCCCGACAAAATCTCACAGTGATGGCCGCGATGAGAGCGTCGACGCTTGTCACCAAGCCTGCGGGAGCGTAAAATCAGCGTTGACTTCCCATAAAGAGCGCATAGAATATGGAGACCGACCAGTGTTGAGAGAGAAAGTGACCTGAAACAACGACGAAGTCAACACACAAATTAAGACGCGAGTAGTCGGCGGGAAAGACCTACCAGCCTATTGATCATACTGTTGGTCGTCCGGAAGCCCGTCCTCGCGCGGTTCAACATGAAGATGATCGCACAGGAGATGGCAATATCTATACCGTTGAGGCAAGGAACAATCAATCCGTACTTTTCGCAAACTTAGACGAAAGGGTCTAACATACCGGTTACAGCTGCGATCACATTAGCAGTCGTCGTGAGAGTCTGTAAAGCAACGATTAACGAGAGACTTATGCGCGCCGTAGTAGACACACTGACTTCTATTTCTGACAACTCCGGCACTGTGTCCAATGCAACTCTAATGTGGTAGAACAGTCAGGTCCGTGTAGAAGGAGATATCCAGACGAGCACGCACGCCTTCACGAAATAGGCTATGGCAGGGTAAGCCGTCAGAAGCTCAACATAATGAGCCATAAGAACACATACTTATAAGGACCGCTGAAAGCAGGGGAGATATTAGGCAAGATCATGAGATTTGTGAAAGCTGAATACTTACCGAACGAAGCCACAGTGAGGACCGCCTGGGTTCAATCACACAGACGAATGAGGTACAATCTAACAGCTCAAAAGAAACGCAGTACTCACCAGAAACCCTGTGATAGGATAACCGTACCATGCACCGTTGGATACTACATAACGATAAGACGCGGCTATCGAAAGTTACTCGCAGACACGCTTACACTTCCAAATCCTCCAAACGAAGAACCTGAGGAGATGTCAAATAGCGCCAAAGTCGGACGAAGAAGTATCACTCACAATTGAACGAACAGGGCAACTAGTGCACCAGGTACAGCTTGTGCGATCAAAGGTCTACAGAGAACATGAGCGGATGTTTAGGAAGACACGGGCGCAAGGGATGGCGAACTTGTAGAGGGTCAACAGGATAGTTGGGTCGTCGTGACCGGTGACGACATAGAAATACACTGTACGGAGTGTTTGTTAATGACCCGATGTGGGATAGTGAACTCTTCGACAAGATGCATCACCAGTCGCTAGAAAGCTACTGTTCAGAACTCAGCTTTTAACAAAGACGAAGGGCGGACGGACCTGAGTTCATTGCCTGTTGACATGTATCGAATATCATGACCAACGCTACCTGCCAGCGTGCACACGACCATGAGCCAAACACACCCCGAGCAGGGGATATCCTCTGACAGAACGCACCGCCGTACGCATCACCCAACTATCCTTCGTTCCATACTTCCGGAAATAAAGCCACACTTGGAGGCAGCTCACTATCATCTTCGGGTTAGCGGAGAAGGCCAAACGGTCAAGCAAGAAGAACTCACCCCCGTACAGTCTAGTGGCCCCACCGAAGAGGTTGAAGAGATGATGAGAATATCCGAAAGGCCGGCTATAGCATGAATGTAAAACGTACAGAGTGGTGAGGACCACCGATTCGAACAAGGGCCCAAGACTACAGAACAAGTCGATGAGCAAATTAAACTAAGCACAACAGGATACGGGGCGTACGTCGCATCATACGTCCCCATTCCCGAAACCTGGAGGAAGAGATGAAGAAGAGGGAAAGCAGACGATACCCAAGCAAAGCGTCGGTCTTTTACAGGGAAAGTATTTGGACGTCGAGTTAGCCGGTGCTTCCACGGCAACAGAGAGGTGACAGCTTTGAAAATGTTTCACGCACTGGGCCCCGCACAAATGTCAGAAAAAGCTAGTCCCAACCCCGAGCGAAGTCATCATACAAACATGCACGGATCAATGACGGATCTGTCTGCGATTCCCCGAGAACATGGCCGAGCTGCTGTCAAAGCCACAAGCTGAATCTGAACGACCTCGATTCTGTCCCTCCTCTTTCTTCTTCTCGGATCGGTCATATACATGCATTAAATATAGGCCAGTGCGAGGAAAAACGGCCAGAAACGAGCCAAGTCTCACATAACTCTGAGAGGTTCTGTATGAGGTCGCGGCCAATAAAACAAATCCGGTAAGGCTAACTCCGGCCCAAATGTTTTCAGATCATTGCAACATGACAGTTTTGTCAATTACGCAGATGATCCTGCTAAGTATGACGGGTGGAAAAAGAGTCTGGAATATTCGCCAGTGCTGCGGCCGAGATTCGAAATTCCACCGGGGTCAGATTGGATGGCCAAAGCTGAGGAAGGAGCTATTGACAATGAGCCGAAGGAGAGTTTGATGAATCTGGTTAGAGGAGCGAGAAACATTCGGGATAGTCAGAGGTGACAATTCGTGAATCGCAAAAATGCACTGTCCCGCGATGAGTGAGTCGAAGTGCAATCATGAGGCTAGCCTCGTGCTGGCAGCAACAACTTCAACAAGAAATCCCTCGGTGTTCGCCGAGCACAAATCTCACGGCACCAGGTCCATCTTGGGTTCAACATCTCCTTTCAAATAGGGTCCACGACCCACACGAAGACAGATCTGCGTCAACCAGAGCCATGATCAGGTTTGCAGTACGTATACGGTAGGTGATCGCTTTCAACCGTGGGTGCCACTCACAACAAATACCAGCAGCTTATGTCCTCGAGCCCGTCAATGGTGGGTGGCGTGAAAGAATCAAGGGCGAGGATCCAATATATCCATTCCACTTCATTCCATAAATAGAAAACACAGCAACAACAGAATAATCGCCACCACAAGCGAGCAAGGTATACATTCCGCGACCATTCCTGCCATTTTTCGTTCGCCGGTCGCCACTGCTTAGCATTAGCACTAGCCTCACACAGACTGATACGCTCCCGGTGCTGCTTGAGATTGTTGGTGGTGGTTCGAGGACGGCGGGGGAGGCCCGGGTGGAGGACGAACGGTTTCTGGTGTAGGTTCGTCGACGGTTTGATAGCCATCTCTTCCTCCTGATGTAAAGCCCCCTGGCATGGACCAGACTGATACAACGGTTAAGCGCATGAGGATGTGGCCATAGAGGATGAGCGGATGAGAGCATCGGGTGATTCGGAGTATGTGCTCACCAGTTGGTCCAGCCACGTCTCCACCACGAAGACCACCTATACCTCCGAGATTGGAGAATTGTGCGCCTCTGGAGCGGAGAGAGCTCGCAAACGCAAGGAATGTTGGAGCCTACACACATGAACACGAATATAGTGCCAGCGGTCCATGAGTTAAATACATGAAGAATGGCGATGCTAGAGACGCACCTTGAGCACCAAGATGAGAACATTGAGCAGCTTTATGAACCAGTTCTGTTCATTCCTGAGCATCCATGCAAGGTCCGCCAATGCAGACGCGCCCACTAGGCCTGTAAACTAAGCCTCCAAGTATGAGTACGTGTACGCGGGGTTTAGGGGGTTTAGTTTGGTCGAATGTTAGATACTCACTACTTGAAGCGACTGGACTGCTTCAGTGTTCTCCTGAGCATAGATGCCGAACAAGAATATAGGGAGATTGTATGCAGGTGCGGTGAAGGGGCTGATCACGAAGGACAGAACCTAGGACGTGTGAGGGGTCGGGCTCGTCGCGACGTGCGTGCGAGACATGAAGAATGAACGGACCGTTTCCATCAATACGAGGCGCGAGGGGTCAAGAGCTTGGATAAAGTCAGCCATTGTAGTAACAGTATTGATTGGCCGCTCTCGTCGATGTCTAGGGTATCGGTGAGGGTTGAGAGCAAGGGTATAAAGGCTGCGGGAAGTGAAGTGAAGTGAACCTGTGCAAGTCGCGCCGGTGGCAAAGCGTGGGAACCTCTGTCGTTTGTGGCGTACGCAGAACCGACTCCACTTTTCTTGTCTGCTCTCCGCAATGTACTGTACAGCACCCCACATCACCGCTAACTCTCCACCTAGCCCTATCTAACTTATCGCGTTGAGGCCATCTTTCGAACATTACTACTATGTCTCAATCGTCTTTCTTTGACACCCAATGGTCTGCAGACTCAGTAGAATTTTGTCCTCACCCAGACGCCACGGACATTTTTGTATGCGGTACTTATCAGCTCCAACAAGATCCCCGTCCGGAAGTCGAAGAGGCGCATCCTGCAGACGACGACTTGGCTGAAGAGGATCCGTATCCTATACTCGACATTGTGGGCAAACCTCAGACTAGACTAGGCAAATGTCTCGTGTTCGAGACCTCCTACGAGACGGACGAGTTGTCAGTTCACGACCTTCCCTGTCATTTCCTTCTTTACGCTAATAACCAGCTGCAGTAAGAATATACAGGAATTCCCACTCCCCGCCATACTGGACATGAAATGGTAAGCATACGTTTTGTTTAAGTTTCTAAGTCCTCGACTTACTCGACACGATCCTGCACAGGTGTTTCACTACCCAATCTCGCAGTCCGTTACTCGCTATAGCAGATGCAGAAGGTCAAGTTTCGCTGCATGACTGGGACCTCGAAGCTGTACGTATCGCCTCTTCGTACCATGCCTACTACCTACCCCATCTTCCTCTCAACATGACCATTTCCGGAATCTCACAGTCCTGTACATACAGAGAAGCCTGAAGCAATCGTCCGTGATCAAATGTGCTGAACAGAGCGTGCTCTGTTTATCGCTGGACTGGTCGAACAGAAGGAACCCAACAGAGTAAGCCGTCAGTCGTTGTCTGCCGATTCAGTGGTGATAACGCAGGTCCGCAGAGAAATGTTAATGCAGTTCGTGATCTCGGTTCTTTAGTACCATGGGCTCGTTGGTCGTATCGCTGTCGAATGGAAAACTCGCCTTGCTTCAACCGAATCCAGATACTGGTCTCACTGTCACCGATACATGGCACGCTCACGACTACGAGCCTTGGGTCGCAGCTTGGGACTATTGGCACACCGACACCATCTATTCGGGTGCGTTTCAACTCTGGATTCCGCCACAACTATACTGTGTCATATGCTGAATTATATCTCTGCTTCGTAGGAGGGGATGATCTGAAGCTCAAGGTGTGGGATATCAGGCAGGGTTTCGAGAAGCCAGCTACGGTCAACAAACGGTTAGTCAACTCTTTTTAGTGGGATACAGTAGCACTGTGTCTATCTCGACATAGAGCTGAATCATACATAGGTTTGAAGCAGGCATCACCAGTATACAGAGTCATCCACATGTAGAACATATCTTCGCAGTCGGGAGGTTCGTCCTTTCGCTATACCCCGCAAACCTGATGCGTTACACCGTGTTGTCACATCCACAATTACGCATTACTGGCGTCCATTTTCCCTAATACACACGCACAGCTACGACAACACCGTCCGCCTCTTCGACTCCCGCAAGCTCCTCACCCCGCTCACCCAAGCTGACGTCCACGGCGGTGCCTGGCGCGTCAAATGGCATCCTGACCCGAACCGACAACACGACCTCCTCGTCGCCGCCATGCACTCCGGCTTTAAAGTCGTAAGCTTCTGGGACATATGGAAGCCTAAAGAAAGACAGGCGGACGAGGAGTGGAGTGGCGAGCGACAACCGCCTATCGGGGAGAAGTGGCAGATCGCGAAGAGTTATGATGAGCATGAGAGTTTGGCGTATGGGGTTGATTGGAGCTATAGGGGAAGCGAAAGTTGGGGGAAGAATGGGAGCGTGGATGAAGAGGGCAGAGGAAATACGTTAATCGCGAGTTGTTCGTTCTATGATCACGCGTTGAGGACGTGGAGGGGTTAGAAAGGGTGGTATCTTTATTGTATCTTGCCGCATGGAGCCATTGAGGTATTTCTTGATTAGAGTTTGAAGTTGCTCGACCAATGTATTCTACGAGTATGCAGTATACTAGCCATTGTATTTATCAGACCGGTTTGATCTGCCCGTCAAACGGGTGATGCCACACAACAGCCTGAGTGCCACACGAAGTTGATGTTGGAAAATCACATGCGCGCTTTGCCCCTGTTGGGCAGTGGCCCTCTGACGCATACCACAAGCTTTTCTACTCTTCCCTCTGTTGTGCTATCTTATACCCCGCTGTCTCGTTTTATCTCGGAAAGAACTAGCTGGCGCTCGCCATGACCGCTGTGGAGGACTACCTGCTCAGCCTCCCAGACTCCCATCCTCTTCAAGTCGCTATTCGAACATATACCCTTGCACTCTCCCTTTCCCTAGGCCCCGCTCTCCTTTCCTTTCTCTCTTCACGGAGAACCAGACTATCAGATTCTAAAGCAAATCTGCATGCGCTCAACAAAATTCTGAGGCGCGAGTTCGGGCTGACGGGCTTTCCATTCGCGATCACTGTGGCTGTCGGGGGAGGAGCAGTCCTGCAGGCACTCTGGAGCCGCTTCGAAGAGTTCAACTTGGACGCTCTTTCTCCAGATAAGTTTCCGGCACAACTGGCACCACAAAATTCATCATCGAGGCCATGTAGACATGCTTCTCGAGAGACAACAACCCTCACTCGCCTGAGCACACTTAAAACATACCTCTCGTCTCTCCCCGCAATCCACAAAGCCTTCCTTCTTAACGCCTTCCCTTGTCTCCTCAGCATCCTCCTCATGCAGTCACGTCATAGCTCCTCACATACACGTAAAGCTTCCATCCCATGGACCGTACCCATATCTCCCACTTCGAAGTCGCAAGGGAGGACGAGCGCGACGTTGGATTTGACGTTGATGTTTGTGGTCCGAGCGGTGGATGCTGTGGTGCAGAGGATTGTGTTTAGGCGCTCAGGCGAGAATGATGATGGAGAGAGCAGTCCGAGGGAGGACGAGGAGAGGAAGAAGTGGAGGCAGAGAGTCACGACGAGGATAGATGCGATGTTGTTTTGGGCGAGCAGCGCAAGGTCTGTCATTGCTCTTCGTACGTTGTGGCGTTTGTTTGTATTCATGCAAATCATCAATCAAGAATCATGTGGTGTTTCTTCTACGAACCTGAAAGGTAGTCCATATTTTCAAGGTCTTGGAAGCATATGTCTTAAATTCACATATTTTTCCTCGCCCGATAGGCTACCAAGGTCGTATGTCAAGTGGTAAGTTTGGGCCACATCAGCGCCACCTAAAGCCGGGACGAACGTCTAGCCCTAATTCTGAACTTCGCAACATCTTTCAATACTTGATCTCAGGATATCGTCCTTAGCAAGTATCGACCCTCGTCTCTCCGCCGCCCTACGCTCCATCCGCGAGCGCACTTTCTCTTATGTCTCTGGCACCACCTCCCTCATGCCCAGTCTCCTGTCCACACTTTCTCAAGAACTGGGACACTCTACCTCCTGGGGAGATCCATCGCTCGTACCCGCCTACGGCGGACCGAAAGCCACTGAGGCTTGGCGTGCATTATGCGTATCAGGAAGGAATGGTGTAGGTGGAGTTCCTTGTGAGATCGTGCACGGGAAGATGAGAGGTCTGGGCGCTGTGGGCGGGAGTTGTACACGAAATGTTGCAGTACGAACTGCGTATGCATTCGTCGAAGCTTTGGCTTTATATACTCCGGTATTTGTTTCTCTATATCACTTTCAGGCGTTCATATACACATATCTAATATTCGAGCCAGGTCCATATCCTCCCTATCCTTCTTACTCGTCCCTCCCACCTCCTCCGCCCCCACCGTCTCTTCACCCTCCTGACGGGGATACTCCGCTCCTCAACTTTCCTCTCCACCTTCGTAGCATCCATATGGGTCTCTGTCTGCTTCACACGCACGCTCGTCCTCGCTCGTCTCCTGCCTTGGATATCGCACGACTGGTGGGACGGTCCGTACGGTTGTGTGATGATGGGTTCTTTGATGTGTGGGAGCAGTATCTGGATCGAGAATGGCAGGAGGAGAGGAGAGATGACATTGTATGTTTTGCCAAGGGCGGTGAGGGCTTGTTTGTCGAGCGGATGGTTGAGGGGCGGGAGGAGTGTGAAGGTTGTGGAACGGTACGCAACGTTCTTACCGTATAATTTGAGGTCGTGTCTAATTGCTCAGTGTTGCATTCGTTAGGATCGCATTCACGCTCTCCCTCGCCTTCCTTACCGCCGCCACTCACGAACCAGAGTGTCTTCGCGGCCTCTCGCGCTGGACGATCGCGTTCATCATGAATGGCCCGAATGCAGGCCTGTGGAAGAGGCGAAGACAGGCGAATAGTACCGTCAGCTCGCCGAAATCTGAACCCCGTGGGTTGCCTCCACCCGCAGGACCGTCGGAAACAGAGTCAGCTACCGGTGGCAATAGTGAGGAGGGTAAGGCGGTGGGAGAAGGGAGTTGAGGTGCGCTGTATTGTGACGGTGGGGGCGTTGGGATGTTCGTTGGTTACTCTACCTATACGAAGGCTAGAGTCATAAGGCTTGAACCGAGCGGGAAATTGCAGGTTGGTCGCCAGCCTACCATTGTATCCGCCTCGCAATATTGTTGTACGGTCCCACATACACGCATGACATGAGGACATTCTAGAGACCAATGGAATGGATTTGTACAAGAAAATCGGTACGATGGGTGGTGTAGCACATTGCTTTCATCGCAGGGAACAGAGAGAGAGAAGACGAGACCATGAGAAATGAGGGAGGGTTCATGGGGGAGTGCTTCTCCTTGGAAAATGAGGAGATCCCTGTATATGGATGGCTGAGCTCGCAAGCACAATCAGTGAACGAGCATAAATGAAACAAGTAAAACTCTATAGAGGACTTCGTAGACAATAACGTCTAGGCCCCGTACGTCCCGCCCTCGAGCACCACCTCCTTACTCACAACCAACCTCAACCCATCGTGCGCCGGTCTCAGCCACACCGGGCCCCTCTCTCCTGCCTCTCCCTTCAGCACATTACGAGCCTCACGATCTGCATCTCGCACCATGCTCAAACCTCTTCTCACTACCTCCGTCATGCTACCCTTCTCGCCACCAAGCTCATGCTCGGATATTTCACTGCTGAGCACACGCTCGAGACTTTCCCCAATAGCGACCCACTCATCATGCCCCACATAATGTCCAATATCCGTCACATACGTCCTCAGGGCTCCCATTCTCCTCGCAACGTTCACCGCTTCAACGATACCAAAATGCGCAGTATATGGAATGAGGTGGAGACAGTCGAGAACGAGGACTGGGTACGGTTTGCGCTTCGTCGTCGTCGTCGTCAGCGTAGATGAGGTTGGATCGGTCTGAGATTCCGAGCAGGTGGAGAGGGAATGCTCAAGGAGCGCCCACGTCTCTTCAGGGATGTGATTGCCGTCAGAGATGTAGATAACGGTGTCTTGGATGTTGAACCCAAAGCAGAGGTAGGGTTTGTTGGAAGATCGGGGTTGAAGCCAGCCGTGCTGAACTATTCGCACCGACATAGGGGGTTAGTCTGCTGGACGCAAGGACGGTGAATTGTATGGGGAAAGGCTTACCTGCGAGGGGCGTTATGGTGATCCCTGTCTCTAGGATCTCAAATGGGATGCCATAGTCAATGATGTGCCATCTGAAGGCAGCGACCTGGTAGATATACCGCGTGTGAGGATAATCCATGGACTGTGCGAAAGCAAAACAGAGAGCTTTGGTGGACTCACATCACCACCACCCGTTGCAAATTCCTTCGAGACGAGGAACGGGAACGCTCGTTTGACTACGGAGAAGGTAGCCTCCGAAAGGTATACGTCTATGTGAGTTTGAATGATGCCATCTTGCGTCCACGCTACAGAGGACATCAGAGGCGTGGTAAAAGCGATTAGACATCGTGTGCTCCAACCGACACGGAACTACCGTACCTCGCAGATCATCCAGTCCGTTCATAGCTGCAAAACACATGCGGGTGTCAGCAGGATTGATCTAATAAGACAGCATGATAGGGACGTACCGTCGGCATGGTCGTGAGTGAGTAGTATCGCGTCTATCCTTCTCATTCCATGCTTTGGAAACCACTCCAACGCAGCCCCTCGGAAATCCTTCCCTACGTCAATTACAATCGTCCTGTTGATCCACAAACATCGGAACAAGTCAACACCCTTCAGAGGCCGATAATCATGGTGGAAAGTACGCACCGTTTCACACCATCCCTGTCGACGATCCTGACCGCCGCAGAGGTGTTCCTTCTGAAGTTCATCTTCCCTTCAGGCGTGCCGTCAATAGTAGACAAACATGTCCGACACGGCTTTTCTTCATCATTCTCCGAAGGTGTGAGACAAGAGAGGTGGGGGACGCTGCCCGATGCGCCCGTTCCGAGGAATATGAACTCAACAGCACTGCTAGAGTTCATGACCGGTTCTAAAAGCTAGTCACGATACGGGGGAGTTTCTAGAGATCCACTTCGAAGTGCTGGAGAGGTTACTGGGAGGAAGAAGATGGAGAAGTGCGAGAGCGGCATCGTCGAAAAGGGCAGGATGATATAGGAAGTCGTTGTAAGCGAATTCCAGTTCGTCGCTCACGAGATTCCCACCGGAGGCAGCAAATTGACATCGGAGGCCGGGCACAGACTAGGTATGATAACTTAGGAGTAGCAGGTCTCATATAGTGCTGGTGGGCTTAACCATGAAACGAGAGAGTAGATGGTGGTAGACAGCAACGACGAAACTGCATTTAACCGACGCCGGAAGACTGAAATTTGAATGATGCTACAACGCCACTCAAGTATGTGTGGCCCAAATATAGACAATATTTTCTTGCAATCTTGAAAGGCTCTTGCCCCTGAGCTGACATGATCCAGCCCAACCCTCGAGGTGTGAAACAATTATTAATAAATCACACCTAGTAAGTATGAACAACGACCGTCGCAAGACAGAATATGAGAAATTTTATAGCGTAGTATATACTTAGAACGACTCGGCCAGCAAAGAACCGTGTCAAACTCATCTGAGAAGATAAACCGCAAGTGCTATCGCCATGCAAGACAAAAAAAAAAGAACGAGTTCATGTCTCTGTTCGAACGTTCCGAAGAAAGGGGCCACAGCTCTAGCGTCCTCACAACGAAGCACATACGAATATTCCAGGGCTTGGATCCGGAAATGCGATGGTACTAACACTGGTTCATGTAGCTTCTGCGGATCGAAAGTTCAATCCATAAGGGCTTGCCTTATCTAGAAAATAAATCACAGGACGGGAAAATGAATGGACGATCGTCATACAGCAATGCCCACAAAGTCTATGCTTGTGAAGCACCACACTAGGGCCAAGTTTGAGTGAATTTAGCTACATTGGTTATATAAATATAGGCAAGCATCATAACTCGGAAGTCACCTGTCAGCCGAACACATCTAAACACCATACGTCCATCATGTACCCTCTTCCATCCTACCACCAACCTCGTTACCGCGCAAGTCATCTCGTCCGTCCGTGGCACCGTTCGTGGCTAAATACACGACATATCCGCATCTCAGTACAATTTCAATAACGGACTCACCATGTCAGGAGGTCCTTAAATGTCTGGACCTTAAGGTCGAAGACTGACAGAGTAGCGCATTAACCCGACGTGGATGCCACAACTCTGTCGGAACTGTGGCTCAGAGTGGTGCTGAAGCGCTCACGTTTGAGGGTATGAGACTTCTCTTCCATGGCACATATGCTATACCCATCGCATCTCCTCGCGCCTTCGTCCATCTTTCGATGACTTTTGGAGGCCTGGAGGAGGAATCGTGGTACTTGTCTGCGACGAAAGTTAGCCCTCGGTCTACGAACGGCTACGCTCACCCGACGTTTCAGTTCTCGATATCGACCATTTCTTCCTTGCCACGTCATATATTCTTCCCCGCCATGATATGATCAGCGAGAATGAAGAATTTTCCATCTAGAGGAAGAATGTGCCAGTGGAAAACACTCAAACGAACCGGCGAAACGTCAATTGCTTTGATGGCATGATCCTATGGAAGAGTTGTTGGGTTCTTGAGGCGCCACCTTCTCTGCTCGCTGCTGTGCGACGTTCTCTATCTTGGAGGGTGAAAGCTCCGCTCGCATCCCAGAAGGAGCTCTGAGTCTTGAGTGCCACTTCATGATACATCGGTGATGTCTCGAGCGTGCTAGTGCGGTCGAAGCACAGCTTGAGCACCGTTCACTTCTAGGCGTGGATATGTTTTACTGTAAGGCTAGAAGTTGCTGGAAGTATGTTTGTTTTGTCAAGTTTTGTCCATGTGGTATGACGAGGGGTACTTACAGTTGACACGGCGTACGGAGGCCTCAACTTTGTATCAGAGAGCGGAGAACGAGTGCCATCGCCCGCTGTGTGCATCCGAAATTGCTGTGAGGGACCAGACCGATGATGGAGTGTACATGAAAAGCAACGTTGACGAGTTGCTGGCTGTTGCTGGTAAGTTACTAGCTGCCACATCTGAATTTTCTTGTGCCACAGTATGGGATGACGTAATGACAAACCTTGACAAGCTACATCACGGAAATCTGCCGAGTCTTGCAAGCTCATATATTTCACTCGCAAGGTCATATATGAGATCCAATTGCTCAAATACTACTACAACAAGTAAAATGGGTTATTGTGCTCATTCACATATTGCAAGGTCTATAGCGAGGGCGCCCAAGTTACTACATGCTCTCGAAATCTGTGGAAGGGCTCATCGTTTCAGCTCAGGTGGTCCCACCGGGGGCCCATTTTGACAGCGTAATCAAGCAGTCAACTTTTTCCACGGACAATGGTTCCGTGTATTTGAATAGGGCTACATTACACAGTCGTATATAAGCATACAGAGGGACGAGCAAGGGCCGAGGTAACAAGTACAGGTGGGGTGTTACACAGACGGGACAGCAGACAAGAGATGAGACGAAAGAAAGTAAGAAAAATATGGTAGGTTATTGGGATCATCGGAGAGGAGATGCGAGTGTACGTAGAGGTGCTCAAGATGAGGTACTAAGGTAAGTAGTTGCCCGCACACGACAGCGCGTCGCGTGCGACGTTCAAGTTCACGCCGTACATTGATGATGTCATCCCCAAGTCCGAAGACGAAGCACAGTGTCTGCTTCGTCTTGTGTGGAAGGGATGTAGGAAGGGACGAAAGCGATTACGAATAGAGAAATAGGCTAGGGAGACGAAAAGGAACGAAACGAAACGGATGCAACAACGTTGACGGACCTCACCTACCACCATCGCGCAGACACGGCGCGCTCATCTCGCGAACAGTCCAAGGGCGTCGTGTAGCGTCATGTGAAAGAAAAGAAGGCTTCGGCCAGCGTAGAGTAAATGCTGAGGGTGAAGACGAAGTGGCCAACGAAAGCTTCAAACTTCGCAAGAAAATCATGAGTGCGCTGGCAAGTCCCACGCTGAGTCCCAAACTGCACTTCTTTGGTGATGCATCGATTCCGGCCGAACTCGGCCGGTCTAGAAATGGGGCTGATCCCAAGCCAATGCAACATTCTGTAGCTTTTTAAGCTGGAACAACCTGTTTCAGCGTAAATAAGTGTTTTCAAGTGCAATATAACTGCACCTAACCCACGGCCACCTTCCGCCACCATTTATTCGGTACAATTGATTGTAAGCGTCGGCGGCGATCCGTGATGTAACCGTGACGGTCTTGCTTGTTTTCGACCACCATGTTCAGACTGTTTTCGATGACTAACTGGCAATACTCCAACCTGTGTATCACCTCATGCTTTGCCTAGGTTAGTAGATGCCAAGCTTGAGGGCTATCTTGGAGCCGTCGCAGTACTGTTGAGGTGGCATCGCATGCCAGTAACCTGGTGTGGGCGCTGATGGTGCCAGCAAGCTGCGAAGATCCTGCTTCACGCTCACCCCTATTTCTCTTCGACCGACTAGGAAGCAAAATAAGCTGTCTCAGTCTATTCGGATCTCCCGTCAACGCTGTGACACATGGTGCTGCGTTCTACTCAGTATTACCTCCAAGCCTATTCAAGCTCGGAAGCACCAAGACACACTGTTTACCAGTGTCGTAGGCCAAGCTCGCAGCTCATCCTATGCCAGGCCCGTTCAGAACGGCTGGTCCAAGGAGACAGTGACACCGTATGGACATGGTCTGCATACGACACCGTAGCACATGTACATATGCAGCTGGCTTTCGTAACCCCATTGCTGTGGTGATGCCATCACAGAACAGGATGGTCGCCCAGCATGTATTGACCACATTGCGAATTCCCTCTCTCTAGAGTACTCATTCCTCCGTCCGGATAGACGACACGGTATGGCCACCTCAATCTCACTTCGGTATTACCGTTCTTACTGACACGCATGTGTCTTGAAGTGATCGAAGTATTCTAGGCATAATCGATTCCAACCGCGCCGGGGAATTGACCACCAGCGCTGTACCTACTTGGGCCCCGAAAAAAATGCGGATCAGGATCAGTGTAAGAGCCAAGTAACGGCAGTGTTTCGCCCAGGCGTAGTCTCCTTGGTGAGGTAATATATAAAGACGAGCGGCAGTTCCATCCCACCCCAACCCACCTCCTATCCGCCTCCTTTTCTCGTCGTTCTCATCATCAGTACTTTACCCACCTTTACATTCGCCGTCACTCATTCCTCCTACAAAGTCACCGTCTCACCGCCTCCGAACAAATGTCTCCCTCCTTCACCCAACTCGTCTCAGTCGCTCTCGCTCTCGCGGGCTCTACTCTCGCTTCACCTACATTGTTCGCTACCCGTGCCTCACCCTCTGACATCGACTCCTACCTGAGTGCTCACAACACCGTCCGTGAGGCTCATGGCGCCGCCGACCTTGTTTGGAACGATACGTTGGCCACGGCTGCACAGAACTGGGCGAACGGATGCGTCTTTGAACATTCTGGAGGATCTCTCGGACCGTACGGTGGTTAGTGGTTACAAACATTCTACTCATCGATCTATTTCTTTCCGTTTGTGACCCGTCAATCTGATTTTATTTTGACGGTTGTATTGTTGGTTGTAGAGAACTTGGCCGCCGGTACAGGCGACTTCCCGATCGCCTCCGCTGTAGGCGCTTGGGCTGCTGAATCCAGTTAGTGACGCTCGCTCCTCACATCCTTTTTGTTTAATGTGTTCTGAATGCGGTCGGATATGATTCCAGCTCAATACGATGCCAGCAACCCTCAGCCTTCGCACTTCACTCAGATGGTGTGGAAGGCCTCTACCCAGCTCGGATGTGCTGAGGCTCAGTGCGCTATTTTCGACGAGAGTGTATATGGCGTACGTTCATCTTGTTTCAAGATTTGTATTCCTGGTGGCTGATTGATATCTGATGGTCGGCGTGTAGCCCACGAGCTACTATGTCTGCGAATACTACCCAGCCGGCAACGTCATTGGGCAGTTCCCGTGAGTACTACATGATTGTTCATAGGAGTGCCGGTTGCTGATTTGACGTCGAACAGTCAAAACGTCCAGGCCTAAGATACGTTGTTCACCTTGGATAGTTCGTATATCGAATACTCTGGGCTATTGCGAAAGAGTGCGACCCGATGGACATGTTTCTAGGACTGCCTAGTTGCTCTATTTGCTGTACTCCCTGCATGTTATAACAGTTAATGTTTTATTTTTTGTTCTTCAAACATCTCTCGCTTCCTTCTGTCGGTCCTTGACCATGCTCAGTGACCAGGACCCAGAAATTGTAGACATTCCCCCAAGTTGCGATTGTCTCTTATGCGTTTATCAGATGACTGTGCCACAACCATGAAGGATGATCCTGACTGTCGCGCTTCTATGTCGGGTGTGGCTTTTTACGCCACGCGGAGATTGTCGGATAAACGAATGCGAATAAGACGGCGAGTCGCGCTCAATGTTTTGTCGCGCTACATGGGTGGACACTACACAAAGTACACAGATACAAGAGAAGTTTATGCAGCCTGGATGACGTGAGAGATAACTTTGGATAGCTCTGCGTGCAAAGCGATATTTCCTTCGTCAGTGGAAGTATTGGTTGAGGCAGACAAAAAATGAACGTACGAGGAAGGTTGATGTTCTCCTGGACGACTGTCGAGACAATTTTGTTGTCAGGGTTTGGTGGGATCTCGACCACACCGGTGGCATCCTGGGTCCAACCCAACTTCGAGATGTATTCGTCGAGACCAGAGTCTAATGCGAAAAAAATACATATCAGAACGATCAGGCTGTACACTGTCATAGGGATTTCCCAAAATTGAAACTAACCGCTCAAGCTCAGATACGTGCCAAGCCTCTGCTTTCCTATCCTCTGGAAAGCAGCCTTCACACTTCTCACTACTACCTCCCTGATAGAGTCCTCGAAGCCAACCACCTCGACTGTATAATTATCCCTCAGCGACTCCAGTTCATCTGAGCGGTAGAGAGCCCAGAACGCGGGGAAGCGACATTGCTGGAGAAGGCTGTGGAGAGATACGAGGTGGGGGAGAAGAGCTGGTAGAGGGTCCGGTTCGTCGAGGTTGGTGGGTGGCGCCCGATCATCGAGAAGGGCGATTGAAAGATTGAAGTCGGGGAACGGTACGGAGGTAAGCGCTTTTACAAGGATGTTGATGATGACATCCGGGTTATAGAGGTCTTGGTTAAATTGGTAGCTGAGCACCAGACAAATGACATTCAGTATGATAAATGAGAGAGTCAGAGGTTCAGGGCGCACAGTTTTAAGATCGCAAGATTGGCCAGACAGTCATACTCTTGACTCCGGATCTGGTGATACAGGTAATCCTCCAAAATGCCAACATTGGAAGGATTATAGCGGTCTGTTACGACAAATCGAATGAGGTCAAAAGTTCAGTTCATGCGTCTCTATGTAAACAGTTATGTACGCACCAACTCCCGAAACAAGGTTTTCGATGAGCTCAGGACGTGTGGGAGGCGTAACCCAGTCAGCAGTAGCAGAGGACATCTTTTTGGGGAGATATGGGGGGAGTCGAATGGCTTTTATTGCTCGTCGGTGGTAGAGAACTTGGAGATACACGGTGTGAGCAAGATGGCCGAAGCAAAACAAGCTTGGGCGGTTTCTCGAAGGGGACGGCGCCAACGGCTCGGGGTTTACCACGTGGAGGGCGAATATCCAACTTAAAGTCAATATATTTATTCGCCGTTTCTTCTTCATCCTGCTACATGATCGCAAAAAACACATTCCATCCCAGAGTTTGCTATCATCTCTGTCACGGTGTGATCAGTTTCCTGTGTGCAGGTTATGGGATATCGCTAGTCATCCAAATTTATCGTCCACATCCAAACTCTGATCCAGCTTCAGCCTTCAAGAGGCTCGAGTACTTACTTACCTCTGGAGATATTTTGTATGGGTCCTTCACTCTGAGATAGAGCTAGGTCGGACATATAGCTTTCATGGCTACTGTTGCGGCTCTTTCATGAGAGGAACGTCGCCCGCGATTGCCCCACCTGCTTCTTCGCTATCCTAAGCTACTTCAACTTGTGCATTGTATGAGGCAGTAATTCAAGGGCCCAAAGACTCTTGGCGCATCATCCACGATCTATATTCAAACTGTGAGGTTTTGTATCGCCTCTGTTGACTCAGCCCCTTGACTACTACGACCAACTACGACCTAAGACCATACGTTCCTTCCAAGGCGTATACATCTTCGACCGCTCAATGAGACCATCGCGTTTCGCACCCTCCAAGCCAAATACTGGGGGGAAGATTGGTCCGTGGGTTTTCTTCTGCGAGCACGAACCGTCCGTCGCGGAGCTTCAGATGGTCTATCGTGATTATATGAATAGTGAAAGCTCGTGAACGGCGCTCGGTGGTACTGAGTAGGCCCACGGTCTCAGATCGTAGCGAGTGCGATGTTGCAGCGATCGATCCAACGAACATCCAGCTGTGTTGGACGCCGAATCGACAGATCTCATTCTGCAAGGAGTTAACTCTGCGGCGGTGGCACCACGGCGGCCCACCGTTGGCATGTTTGCGTAGCGTAGTCCTTCATCGTTCACTCAGTCTCAGACTTAACCTTCAGGAACGAAGAACACTTTACACAAACACAGTAGCACCGTGCAGGGCGCAATACTCACGACTCGTGGGAGGGTCGCCTGGAAAGCGACAGTCAGGCAAGGGGACCCGCACCAAACCATCTCAGGAATCGCACCGCACTCATCACACTTGAGCTTGAACACGCGAACCAAAACTAAAGACCGAAAGAAAGCCAGCAAGCAACAGAAATAATTCTCGACGAGCGTATATATCTACAACAGAAGGGAGGGGAGGCAAGATCAATCAATACAAGCTAGGTGCGACCAACCGGATTGTTACAGACGACCACAGATGAAGGGTACCGTTCCGAGTGAAGAAGCGAGATAGCCAGCACGAAACGAGAAAAAACGCAAGGGGGGTAAAAAAGACACAAAGTAGACGGAGTCACAAATATAGAACAGGGACAACGAGAGGCAAAGGAGGGAGAAAAAGGGGGCCTATCCACAGACTATTTAACAACAAACAAACGAGAAACGGAACAAGGAGAGGGTAGAAACAGACAGACAAGCAAGCAAGTAGGTCAACAGTGTTCGCGAACGGGCTAAGCTAAAGTTGGGGAGAGCAAGGAATAAAGGGGGGAAGGCGAGAGCGGCGGACTAGTTGCGAGACGAAAGGGGTGAGAAGGTTCCAAAGTAGCACACAGAAAAGTATCACACAGTCTAAGCACAAGGCTCGAGGCCGAATAACTACAAGGAGGAGCGACGATATGATTAAACAGATGGACTAATGGCAGGGTTGATTGGGTTGTTGGTTTGGTGTACGATGCGGGGGGAATGAGGCAATGAGAGTGAAGAGGTACGCTGTACAGATGACAATGTGGCAACCAAGAAAGTGTTCACGGAAGTGTCAACAGAAAGCACAGAGAAAAGGGAAAACGAAGCGACATTAAAGATTGCGGGGTTTGAATACAATGCGCCATGGGATGTGATCGAGAGGGAGAAAAGAGAGATGCCATATTCATAGTCCCCGAACGTCGACGAAGGCCAACGCCGGAATAGCATAGTGAACAGATGGATGAGACTTTACGCGGGCTAATGTAAGTGGTATATTGCATGGAAAGCATTGCGACGATGATGGCGGCGGCCATGCATGACTTGAAGGCATAGAACTTGAGGTCGACGACGACGGCGACAACGCCCCATTACATCCCGTATCCAAAGGACGAACGGGAGTAAGGGTCGTTGATGGTCGCGGCCATCCCAGCGTTAGGGAACGAGTTGACGCCCGCGAAAGGCGAACCGTTCGAGAACCCGCCGTTCGCCAACGCCGCCTGGTTATGGCTCGAGTTGCCCTGGAGGACGTAGCCGTCGATCGAGTGCGAGCGCATGGTGTGGAGAGGGGCGTGAAGACCGCCGATAGCTCCTTGCGCCTGCAGACCGCCGCCGTTGGCCATGGGGTAGAGGCCGTTCTGACTGTTGTACACGTCCGCGAGGGGATTAGGTTGTATGTGGCGGCCGGCGCCGTGAGCGGCGTGAGGTAGGCCTGCCATGCCTTGGCTACCGAGAGCCATGTTGACCAGGGCCTGCTGATTGTGGAAGCCTCCGAAGTGGTCCATCTGCTCGCGCTGGAGCTTGTTCTGGATCCGCTTGCCATAAGGAGTGTTGCGAATGAGGGGCAAGACCGGTCTGATGCCGTCGACAAGAAGGGCGCGTTGCGCGGGCTCGGCGTAGTCCAAGGCAGTCTACGACAAAATAAGTAAGCCACACGCTCTCCAAATAAATGGACAGAAATAACGAACCTGGACGCAGTAGTTTCCGTACGAGTCACGAAGAAGTTTCTCCAGCCTTGTGCGGTTCAGGAGCTCGTCGATCAACATCTTGCGGGTACCGTGCTCGGCGACACGGATACACTAGACAAACCCAATCAGAATACGAACGACACGACGGAGGAAGAAAAAAAGGACTGACCTTCTCGATGACATTGGAGCTGAACTTCTGAACGGAGAGGGCACAGACGTTGCCAGTGAACTGCCGGATGACGGCGTCACTGAACCTGTTGTCGTTGAGGTCGAGGATGTATTGAACGACCTAGTAACGGAAGGATCAGACTAGGTACAAGGTAAGAAGTAAGGAACAGAATGAACGTACGTAGTTGCCGTACGGGTCCTGAACGAGAGTCAGCGCGTTGTACGTGATCTCATTGACGAGCTGGATACGCTGATGGTCCGACGCGTGGTCGATACAGCGCTGAAGGACGCAGCACCCATGACGGTGAGTCGCAACCTCTACACAGTTGGCGGCGACCGCGTTGTAGATGAACTACAGCCAAAATAAATCGTTAGGCGCGAAGAAACCTCCCAGAACGCGAAAACGGAAATATACCTGGTTATCTTCAGGCGCGAGCTTGTTGAGACACTTTTGAATGACATGGTTCCCGTTCAGATCCTTGATGAGCACAACAACATGGAGGCTGAGAGCGACGATGATGGAATGAATCTGGCCATGGTATCTATGATCAGTCTGCGTCGCGGCAAGGGCCACCCCGTAAGTGCCAGAGGTGGGTAATAGTTCGACGAGATTGTAACTCACCTGTCTGCGAGTCGACAGGAAGTCGATCATCTTCTGAACAGCACGGGTCCCGTGCATGTTGAGCGAGATGTTGACGAGATCTGTAGCGACCGACTCGCAGATGATGTTCCTCTGCTCATCCGTCGAGTACTCGAGCAGCTTCTGGCAGAGGTAGTTGCCAAAGGGATCTTTACCACGGAGGACGCGGTCAGAAGGGACTGGGAAACAGGAGCAGTCGAGCGGACTTACCGGTCATGAGATCTGCGAAGTGGCCGAAGGTCTCGCGGAAGATCATATCCCTATGGTCAGGGACGCCTTCCTCAAGCTTCTTCTGAAGATACCGACACCCGTGCTGGTCCTTACACAGGCTAGGAATCTCGCCGGCCAAGTCCTCAAGACGAGTGCCCGCGAAGCGGTTGACTAGAAGACGAAGGGTCGGTCACTATGCATCTCGGACACAAGACATAAAAAACTCACATTCGCGGTCCATCTCGCCCCGTTTGTGCTTGGGACCGTGCAACCCATTCATCTTGCTGTCTGGAGCGCCAACGCGACTACCAATACCAAGGCCGTATCGGGACCCATGGTGGTGGTAGAGAGCAGTCGAGCCAGTGCCGTTCGCACCGAGTTGATCCCCGTTCGCGCGATTGGGACTGAAGTTGTACGAGTCGTAGCCATCGCCGTTAAGCCCGGCGCCCAAACCGTTCTCCATACTATACACGGACTCAACGCCGTAAGGTTGCTGGTCACGATATCAGCAACAATCTGGAAGCGAATAAGATGGTAGATGACTTACACGAAGAGGATCATCATAGCTGGATGACACCGAGTTGAAGCCCATCTGACCGTCGTACTGGCTACCCACTCGGGAAAGCGAAGACTGGAGCGTATCGCCGTTGAGCGGGCTATCGAGATGCGATCCCAATCGTCCACCCATAGACTGTCCGTCAGGAGTAAGCGGCGTTCCCGGCGCCTTCATGATGTGCGCCGCGGTCGAAGGTGGCAAGCCTGTGAGCGGGGTTCCGGGGACAGAGCGAGTGGTGATGGACAGGCCATCCGTAAGACCGGGTGGCGAGCCACGACGCGAACCAGGCATCTGACCGTGCGAAGAAAGCCCCTGAGGCATGAGTGGCGTGGCCGACGCTGAAACGGATCCCATCATCTTGCCGTTGAGGTCTCCCAGACCGAGATGGAGGGCTGGGTTTGGGGCCAGGCGACGGCTGGGCTGGGAAGAGAGCCCCTCTGGGTTGGGAGAACCATTGAATTGAGGCCACTCTGAGGGAGCGTCACGGGAGTCGGGCTGACGTTGTCCGAGGGAGCCACGAGGAGGCGTCTGCGAAAGGGGCGCCAAATCTAATGCGGCTGAGGACGTCGACAGCTAAAACGATCCTGTCAGCCGAGGCACGGAAGCTGGAGGTTACAAAAGCTAGCTGCATACCTTGTTGAAGTTAGACCCTGCGAACCGCTCATCTGATGTCGGCAAGTTGCGCATGGCGTCTACAACGGACCATCAGCGACTCAAACGCGTGTAGAGAAAAAAAACACAAGTCAACGCGAAAGACACGCACTGTGCATCTCCTCGTCGAGCTGTTCGTCAAGCATCATCCCAGCGTTGTACGGTTGGGCATACTTCTCGTCCAGCTCACGTTGTGCCCTCTGGTTCAACATTTCATGGGACGGCATGGGAGACCTTCTCTCGCCGGCCAAGGAAAGGCCGTTAAGGTGACTGGCCAAGTCCTCGTCGTGGCTGCTGGCCGAAGTACGCCTACTAGCAGGCATGCTCTTCGCACCAGCACGAGCGTAGCCTGAGCCAAGGGTGCTGCCGTTCGTAGGGGCGTGGCTGGAGGGCATCTCAGGGGAATGAGTGATAGGGGCGTACGTAACGGACTTGCGCTTGTCGACAGCAGAACCGACAGCCTTGGAAAGGACGTCGACGTCGACACCACCGTGAGCAAAGTGGGCGCGATGGTTTGGCGAAAGGTCGTCGTGGTTCAAGACGGCATTAACCCGCGGTGGAGTGGTGGGAGCGGACATGGCCAGGTGCTGGATGTTCCCGTTGCCATTGGGATCGAGCGAGGGAATGGTAAGCATGAGCTCCTGTTGCTGCTGCTGTTCCAGAGCGCGCATCTGGTCCTCGAACACCTTTCGGTGAAGAGCGCGCTGACGTTCATGTTCGCGGCGCTTGAGCTCAACGTGCTAATATGCTGTCAGCACACGGAAAGAGCTTACGAAAGCCAATGCGGACGACTCACGGCGTGAAAATCAGGTATATTAGACCTCGCAGACTGATCCCACACCGACAAATGAGCACCAGAAGGAAAGCAGATGAGAATAGACAGAGAAGACGCACAGAGTCAGCCAGATCCAGAAAAGCTGGAGGAGTCTGCTTCGTCTGAGCGGAGGAAGGGGGGCGAGTATCAGTAGGAGAAGTGGAAGGTTCGAAGTTTGTGGCCATTTGAGAACGGTATTAGGGTTTTCGTTTTGTCAGAAAAGAGTCGGTACAGGACAGCGAGCGAGAGGGCGAATGAACAAATGACAGAGGAGGCTAGTTTCACAAAGGGGGTAATCCTGTTGTCCAAATGACGCGTGAGCAAGAAGCGGGCGGTCGCGACGCAGCAGAAAGGGCGTACCGGGAGGGCCGATTTTAGTCGAGAAAAGACTGGTGATACAATGCGGCTGTCGACAACGTTGAGCACGATGCCGGCAACGACGACGACAACGACGACGGCGACAATAAACTCACCGGTATTTTTGAGGAAAGCACCGGGAAGGGTACGAGGTCGACGCTGCTTTCGCTGGACGGCCGTCTGGAAATATATGATGGCTCAGGCCCCGCCACGCGCGCCCGAACCCTAAAATCGCCTTCATACTCCGCCCGGCCCTCCCCCCATTTGGCAATTCGCTTCGGCCCCTGCACACCAGATCTGCTCTCATTGTCCGCTTCCGACGCCCATTTACATACGAACAACACCGTGTCTGCCTCCGTCCAGTCCACTTCCGCGAGCCCTCCAAAGCTTTTTCCTTTTTATTATCTTTCTTTGTTCGAATAATCAACGCCGGCTCATCCCCAAATGGGCATCCTCACCGCATGCTATGAGCCGTCAGCCTTCCCCATCAGCGGGAATTCGCACACCCTCGTTAGACATCCTTCTCCACAGACCCTTCTTGCAAGCCGAGCCCGCAGCGGTAAACACCGTCAAGAGCGCGTTCTCATCGCCATGTCGACCTCTCTATCAGTTCATGTAATGCCCCCGCGGCTCGTCTTCCGTCTTCTCCTTGCTTCTTTCCACCGTTCAACTCACCCTGAACATGCCCCCATCTTTGCTCCCCTTTCTCTATCTTCACAAATGTGCTCGTCATATGTTCATCGCGGCCTCGTCCGGATGAGGCTCGTACGCACTGCTAACCGCGTATATACTCTTATTTTACCGTATGCTCTACAGTCAAGGTCTCAGACTGATGCGGGGTCGACTTTCACCCAGCAGAACGCGTTGATCCGGTACCGCAAATGAGACCATGTACCATCCCGCGTTCATATCCCCACAAACGCAGCGGACGTATTTGGTCTAGTCAATCGACGCGTCCCAACTCAAACCTGTCCGTTGATTTCGATTATAACCCGGGCTTGTGTACAAGAGCACCCTAGAGCACCCCCGTCTGGCCCGCAAAAACACATCACCATTTCCCCGACCCCGCCTGATCCTCCTCCCCTCAGTCCTCCCTGCCTTCTTTCCCTCTTCTTCGTGCGTCAAGGCTCAAAATACCGCACCGCACCGGAAGCAATTCTCGCCTTCTTTCAACCAACCGATTTTTACCGCTCTCCCTTCACGGTGACGCTGATCAACATGGCTTCGCGGCCGGAAGGGACGACGCGTTCGAGGCCTCGAGGCATGAAGAATTCGAACAGAGGGACAGAAATTACGGACAGACCGCCCTGTGTGCCTGTTCTTGTACGTGAGACGTACGTGTGCGGTTCTGGTTCGATGATTGCTGCATAAAGTGTATTGACCGGTCGACCGACGCGCCGCTAATGCCGTCCTCCAGTGGGCTTGCGGCGGGCCCTTTGTCTGTGTCATGTTTACTGCACTTATCTCGCACCCTGTTTGAGGTCGTGCCACAAGCATGGATATGCAGCACTTACTCAGACTGCAGTGTGCTTTGCTCGAGTTTCGCTGCCTCGCCGACGATATACGGCATGGTGTACGGCCACGCCGTTAGCCTTTCGTACTTACTACATACGAGCTCTCAGCGTGTTACACAACGCAAAAGTGGCACTGCCGTTATACATATTCCGACATACCACGGGGCAGAAAAGAAAGGAAGCGAGTACACGAGTCTCTCTCCTTCCTTCCTTCCTTTTTTTTTCCGTGCACACTGTAAATAAACATCTCGTAAACGCCGGATGACAATGGATTCGGATTTGGGATGGTGCAATGGCACTGGTTTGTGGGCCGCTGGGGTCCGACGAGGAGTTCTGCAGTCGACGTGGCGCCCGCGGCGGTCAGACTAAAGCCTCAAAAGATACCGTCCGTCGAATTGAATTCAGGCCAAAGCCAGTATGTAACGGGGACGTCGTCGTCTACGACTTTGAACAACCTAGCATCCATCGAATCTGTTTCCATGCACCCTATAGAATATTTCTGGGCACCCTCCCTCATATTCCTGAAGGCCCTCCCCATCCTTTGCGCTCTCGAGCATGAGAGAGCAAAGAAAATCCACGATAAGTTACCCAGCACGGTCTAAAAATCAAATAATACGTAGCTAGCGCACACCGCGGTTGCATAAATGAAAACAAAAGACAAACGGTCCTCATCCTCCAACCCGAGAGGAAAACATAGAGTAGTGTACGAGTATCAAGCAAATATTCCGCTTTCACAATCACAATCCACCCACAACAAGTCTCACTGAATCGGCGCGGCCACCCCACCGCCTCCAACAACCTCTCCACCATGCCCATCGGGAACTTTCTCCAGCTCCTTACCGATAGCTTCCACCGACGAAGTCTCCGTACCGTCACCACCGGTGTCGCTTCTCTCGTCACCAGCACCATTGACAGCCACATCCCTCAACGTCCTGCTATCCGACTCTTCCTCCTCCCCATCCTCATCGTCGTCTGCATCCACATCTCCATCACCCTCCGCTATCCCATCCGCCCGAGACCCATTCCCATCCCCCACACCCGCCACAGGACTTCCTCCTTCCTTGCCCGCATCAGTGTTAGTGTTCGTTTCGGCTGTCGAAGTGGCAGTGGCAGTAGCAGTCGTCTGAACCTGCACCTGCGACGGATACCTTGACCTCAAGAACCCCGAAAGCCCGCCGAAGAACGGTTTCGACATCTTCGAGAGCGAGAGCGTATTATAATAATGCGCGTCCGTGTTTGATTTCGAAGTTGGTGTTCCGTCACCACTACGCTCGGCCTCTGGGTTGGATTCGGTCGCGTCTGTGAGGGTGGAGGTGGAGGTGGAGGTAGTGGACGAGATAGAGGTTGAGGTTGAGGTGAATGAAGCGAGAGTGGAGAAGATGGGTGTAGGTGTGGTGGGTGTGGTGGCTTCGTGGGCTGGAGGTTCTGAAGATTCGTGGATGGTTTCTGTCGAGGGTGTGGCTTGTATCGAGGATGCAGGTTGCGGAGGGAGTGGTGTGGATGGTCTTGAGGGGAAGTCGAGTCCGAGGAGGGATGAGACGGGTGAGTCCATGGGTCTTCGCGCCCTACATGACCGAGAGCGATTGTAACACGTAGGTTGAGATACAAAACTTCTGTGAGAAGAAGGACATACTTACATTCGTGGTGCACCTTCTCCGTCCGTTAGCGTTAGGAGAAGGTTCTTCAGGTTCGGTAGTGTGTGGCGCATATCTAGGGCCCGTAAGTTCCGATCTGACATCAGCTGAAAGTTGTATGAAAAGGTCGCCGTCAATCATGATGTAAAGCAATATCAGAGTGAACACCCATACCAACTCGATGTTCTTGTTGAGAAGAAACACTCCGTACTCAAACCGATATGTATCCACTCCTTTCGAGAACAGGGGAAACCTACGAAAAGTCAATATAGGATTGGTTCAGTCCACCCCAACCGTTGAGGACGAACCAAAACAAGGAGAACTTCGAACGTACATCCTCGGTCCTACCATCGCCGAGATCCCATCCCTCACCAGACTCCTACTCCCAATAAACGTGACCGGATATACCAAAGCCCGTCCAAGATACAGCGCCACCAGATGCACCACAAACGCTGCATACCCCAGCGCCGTCGCCACCACGTCCTCATTCACCTCTTTATGCGAGGGCAGAGAAAGTGGCGGTGCGGGGTCGTTCGTGCCGAGTGGTATCGGGAGCGGAACTGAGAGGATCGTGTAGAGAAGATCGGGGCCGGAAAGGAGGTCGATGGGGAAGATGAAGGAGAGGGTAGCGATGAGGGATATGCGGACGGGATTGAGGGTTTTGTGGAGAGTATCGAGGCGGTTTCTAGATATCATATTTATCAGGATGAGGGACGAGGTAGGCAGGTTGAGCGCACAAACCGTTCTTGAGACAATTCCCCTTCGTCCAGGTGTTCCATTTGCAGGTCTTGCAGGTGAAGATCTCGTGCACGAGCAAGTGCGTCTCTCCGAGCCTGGATAGCTTCGCGCCGAGCGCGTATTCGTTCTGACACTGAATTGCCATTTGTGAGGGGATATTCGTCAGAAACCATGTGCCTTGGTTCACCTATGACGAATACGTACTACTGATGCACTCAGTATGCACTGTCTCGGTATCTGTCTTCCAATCCTGCACCCGCATCTCGCGCTCTGATATCTCGCGAACCTACCCGCAAAGCGTGATCTACGAAGTCAGGCAAACGTACATAGCTCGTAAGAATGACTGGACACGGGACATACAAGTGGAAGGATGCCATCTCCGAGAAGTAATTTGTCGATCTCACGGACAATCTTGGCTAGGGACCGCTGTGTATCTAGAATCACGGACTGCATCGTCGCCAGTCTAATCGTGCCACAGTGCCACACAAATGTCAGCAATGAAGGACATGTCTTCGCAACAAAAAGAGTTCGCCGAAGATGAAGATAGCACGCACTTCACAAGATCTGGCCATCCAACACTCGTTCTTATTCCCTTCTTTGAGCGGTGTATTCGTTCAGGTGAGTGTGACCGTGTAGGCGATGTGACATGGTCAGGATGGTTTTCAGATGATGCTTTCGAGACGATTAAGTCTCCTGCACTTCGAACTTCTGGGTCCTCATGTGATTCAACTCCAGGAGAGGCAGAACGGTTTGACGTGCGAGATAGTGGCGGCAGGTAATAAGCTTGGCCAGGAGGTGAAAGAGTGAGGACAAGCGTGTTCGAGGGGAGTTGTGACGGCTGACTGGCAAGCTACGTGACGATGAGCTGGGCAGTTCATTCGTGCCTCATCCAAGAGCAGCCAAGAATAACGTACCTCATCCGACAGAGGCACCAATTCATCCAGATTCACATTCCATTCCTCCAAGACCTTCCATTGCCCAATACTTCCCTTCACCGTCTCCATTGGAGCCTTCCACTTGCCTTTACCCTTACCCCCGCTTTGCATCCCATCCGGGACCTTTCCCCATACCTGGATCGAGACCTTCCTCGCAGCCAAATTCGTCCATTTAGCGACGTCGTATCCCGAGCGCGGATCAAGAGGAAATGAAGGGTTTGTACTCGGATGGTGAATGTCGGAGATGTAATTCGGTGGTGTGGGTATTGAGTGCTGCGAAGTGGGTGGAGGTCCGAATTGGCGTCTGTAGGGTGTTTGGGGTTCCGTTGAATGGAATGACGGGAAAGTAGCGGTACCATTTGAGCGAGCGACATTGGACTCCGTCTTCCGACGCGGTTTTGACGAGGGTGTTACTGGTGAAGACGGGTTGATAAGAGATGGAGCTTGCTGTTTGTATCGTCTCTGTGAAGAGCCATCCAGCGAGGGTGATACACTACGCAAAGGACTCGATGCTCCTGAGTCTGGTGAAGAGCTACGAGGCGAGCCTGGTATCTTGGCATGCCTTCGACGGCGCATCTCCGGCGATGGCGGGTCATCCGGTAATGCACTCAAAGTTACGAATGTCTCGGCCAGACGGTCCTGCAAGACCTTCTCTAAAGCTGTCTGGGACGTGTCCGGCCATAGTGCGCTAGAAGTCGTTGATGTGCCGAAAGGAAAGGGATAGTGACTGCTAGCAAGGGAGGCCATCGACGTCGTACGTTGCCGATTAGGCCTAATAGTAGGTCCTGAGCTGGATACTGGATATGGGTGAGAATGAGGTTTCTCGAGACTAGGGCTCCGTGCAAGCGTATTCCCTCCCAGCATTCCCGATGACATTGTTCGTTTCCGCCCCCTATAGTCCAGTGTTGAGCTACTAGAGCCCCTTCGCTCCTTCGGTACACCAAAATTGTCCACTATTGTCCCTATAGAGTTCGTAGATATCCTCCTCGATCGCTGCTTGAAGAGTGCGACATCCAGGTCGTCAGAGAGCTTACCGAAGGCGGTGAACTGTGATTGTTCGGCGGGTTGTGAGAGGGCTGTCGTGAGGTCATCTCGAGCAGGAAAAGGAGTCAAATTCTTGATTTGTATGCAGCTAATGTGTCGCAGGAGGTGTTGTCGTGTTACAACCTTTTGGAAGACAGGATGAGGCAAGCCGGGATTGAGCATGGAGGGTCCTCATTCACATGTGAGTATACAGACGTACTTGGGAACCTGATAGCTCCTCGTAACTATGCTCCAACTCGTCCGCATCTGACATAGAGCCCAGATTTGAGCTCGACATGGGTGTCTCCAATCGACTCGGAGTTTCTATTTCAGATGAAGTCTTGACCTCGGCTCGCCTGAGATTTCAGGAAAGGTATGCCAGCAAGGTATGAAGTGTTTAAATGAGTGACAAGCAGAAGTTCATAGATTAATCTGTGATTTACACGTATAGGACGTTGAAATGGCAGTCCGATATCGTGGGACTTGAGTAGGAGAAGGTACTGGCTTAAGTATATGGTCGACGTCGCGAATAATGTCGAAGGCGAGCGCCACACGCGATACGGGAATTGCCTTTCCGAGCGCCGTGCCACCGTAGCAGAGAGCTTGGTTCAAGTTTCTCGCCATTTATTAGAGTATTAGCCTCTCTCATGCACTAGCTCGTAGGTACGCTATGTCGATCGTTAAATAGCTGTGCGGCTACCAGGCTCTGTTGTAGACTTAATACTTTGGTGGACCAACTAGTACTCCGTGCTAACATCGCTACCGGTGCTGAGCCCCTGTGGCGCCGATGAAACAACGCAGCATCTGAACTCATTCTCCATTGAGACCTTGAGACCAGCCTTTCACGTGGGTATGTATCAAAGTTCTTCATGTTATAATATGGGTTACAGTATCCGTGCTTTTGGCCTTATACAAAAATCATATAAAAAAGGTAGGTACGAGGTAACTTACATCCTGGAAGACTCCATACTGCCAGATGGCCGACAGGAAGAAATGCGACCTGTTCTATATATTTTGGTCAGTACTGGTCCATCAGTAAATAATTGTGCAATATGAGTAGCTCTATACTCCCTTGTGTTATATGCCAGACAGGACACACCTTCAACACCGGCTCCTCGAAATATGGAGCATGCACCTTCCTCTCTACCTCCCACCCCTTTTGTTCCCGAATGTGCCCCTTTCTCTCTGTCTCCCAACCTTGTTTCTCCCGTATATAAGCGTTGCGTCGTGCGTTCCAAACCTCAGTCTCAGCTTCATAAGCTCGACGCTCGTTCTCCCAGTTGTCTAGAAAGACTTGATGCTGGTGCCTCACGTACTCGAAGTAGATATAGTGCCAGACAACAAGGAACACAAGGGCTCCGATGATAGATTTTAGAATGTTGCAACTTCCTTTGCAGGGGGAGGATCTCGAGCGCGATACTTGAGGAAGTGTACCATAAGTCCTCCACTGGAAGTTAGTGGGAAAACCCCGTCCTCTAGTCGAGATCTCCACCGATGGTGGGCTACTAGTGCTGCAACGAAACGCCATCAGTATAGAAGGCCCTATAGTTTGACAATTAGTGAGCTCACCTTGCTTGGTAGCTAGGAGGATTCTCCGAGTGATCGGGTGGTGACATAGCTCTGTTATCTCTGCGGGTCGGGAGTGCTTCAAATGGCCAACCACTTAAGCGCCGACGCCACGGCAATTATCGTACTTGACTTTTGAAGCGGCACTCGAAGTTGGAACCCCGCGACAGGCGCCCTCATATCTACACAAGCTAAGTGCTCGCGTTCCTGAAATCTTCAGGCTCGAATCTCTAGTAACGACTCGCTTCGAAAAAGTTATCCCATTTCAATATACAACAGTATACAAAGCCTGCCACAAACAACAAGATGTCCGACCTAAAACAACATCCACATAAAAATCAACGATCATCACTCAAAGCAAACAAACAGCGGCCCTCACACCAGCGTTCACCCTACATCCGATCCGAAACCCCATTCGGCACATCGAACATAAAAGGTTGCCTCAGCGCCTCCTTCAAAGCGCCACCCGTCGTATCGATCGAATGCAAGAACCTCAACAACTCCCTCGAGAGCTGCCAATCCTTCGCTTCGACGGCGCTGCGGAGGAGTCGGAGAGCGTCTTCGTTGGATTCGTCGAGCTGTTCTAGGCTATGGAGGACGAGGAGGTAAGAGCCGGCTGTGCGGAGGCGGTTGGATTTGAGACAGGTCTGTAGAAGGAGAATGCATGCGACGTGAGTCTCGACGTCGCATGAACCACGTGAACGGTCTTACCTCGAAAAGCACCTTCGGATTGCCCACGACGTCGAATAATCTCCGCCACCGCGTCATTTCAGTCTTCCTAGCGCAACCTACCACCACGTCCAGTGCCACATCGAAATGGTCCAAAAACTCTATAACAGCCGGCAACAAGCCGTCATTCACGTCCAGGCTTTGAACAGTATGACCGTCATCGCTGTCATCACCCGACGACGCGTCCGACTCAACAACAGTATGCAGCAGGATCTCCAGAGCGTGAGCGAAGAAGACGAGATGCTGGTAATGCGAAGCGAATTGGACGGCTTGTTGGACTTGTCCTGCGGCTAGATGGACAAGAAGAATGTGATGGAGGAAGAGGTGTGACTGGATGGAGGTATCTTCAGCGCTGAGGAAATGAAAGGTAGGAAGCTACTCACGCTAGTCGCATGTCTGAAAAGCACGAACGGCAAATTTGCCCTCGCCGTCGTCTCGTGCTCAGCCCCTATTATAATTCCCTTATCCATCAACACCGCTGCATAGAAAGACAACACCGTCAGCATATGCGACTTTGCGGCGAGTCCATCGACGGATAGAAAGTACTCACACAGCGGATAGAAATCCAACGGAATATTCACACTCTCCTTCACCTCCCTCGGCTCCGCAGTCGCATCTTCTAGCTGTCTCTGCTCTATATGCAAAGCATTTAACCACACCCGCATGCCTTGGCCGTCGAAGCCCCATAGCGAGTTCTCAAGGCTCCCGATTCCGCGTAGATGAATCCAACAGAACTCGATGCGGTCGGCGAGGATTTGCATGTCATAGCGGACTTCTTGAGTTGCAGACTACGAAGCCGGGTCAGGCGTGAGTTAGGTAGTATAAAGACATAAATACAAACCTTTCTTGGTCGAAGAAGGACGAGCTGGCCGCCAACCATCATGAGCACGGTCGCAACCGACAGATCGTCCATTGGGTCTCCCAAATCTGAACCGCTCATAAGCACACATACCCCGCTATGCAAGGACAATATGAAGAGTTAGACTCACGTTTCTGTGCACTCGGAATCATCCAACTTAACACTCTGACCGCATTCGGGTTCGCAATGATGCCCTCAAAAGTGATACTCCCACATAGATGCAACTGGATCGTATCCGTCGTAGGCACGATCAGAAAATGGTGGAGTGTGTTATCGGCCGTATAGACGAGTAAGGAATTGTCCACGAGCGAGAGGATGACGACGGGTGATTGAAGAAGTTCACGATGAAGAACATTTTGGTTGCTCAGCTCCATATCGCGCGAGTACAGCCGAATCTGTGACAGTGTGCATTAGTACCGTCGTGACTTCTGACACTTCGTATGGGAGTGGGGTAATGATGATAGCGACAATGAAAGGGTACGAAGCGTACTCACCTGCCATGACTTCGCAACTTCGACGGTCGCGATAAGGACGTGGTGGAACCACAACATTCCACCCTTCACGACGAAGGCCTGCTCCTGCAACTCGTCCGCGAAAAGCTTCCACCTTCCAGAAGCTGAGCTATAGTGAGCGAGGCCGCGTCGACCGGCGACGGCGATCAATCTTCCGTCTGCGCTAATGGTTGAATATCGAATCGGCCAGTTAGCTGCGAGATAGCTCTGCGGTATCTATGGACGGAAAAAAAGTGATCAGCTTGAGGAGGTCGCAGATATAAAGGTGATGTACCTTGATGTGCTGCCAGACATCGGATTCGGGGTTTATGACACTCATGTCGGGTTGATCAGCTCCTCTATACACTAACGCTCGGTCATCCATTTGCAGGAATGCGTATTCCGAATTGTCCTAAGAGCGTGTAAGCAAACAGCGCGAATACAGCCGGAGTCTGAAGACTCACTGGAACATGTTGGCCTGTGGTTGCGCTTTTCGCGAATGGTAGAATGAAGAGCTGGCCATCTGGCCCTGTAGAAAGTCGTCACCAGCCAGTAAATAGCCCGTTCAAGGCAAGGACGTACTATTAGGGCTAGACTGTGCCAGCACAATCAACTCGAAGTTCCCTGGTACCCAGAACTACAACGAAGTCGAAGTTTCAGTATTCCGCCACAAACGCCACACCTGGCCCTCCGGATCCAAGATTGAAAGGCACTCACCAAATCCTTAATCCCGTACATAAACGCATCCTGAAACCTCTCCTCATCAACCTGTTCCTCAACCCCAAATCCCCATGCCAAACACCTCCCCGCCACGCTCCACACCGCCCACCCATGTTTCCACCCCACAGCCAACACATACCCGTCTGAGCTCCACTCCATAGTACACACCGGACCTTTCCCGTTATTATGACTTTGACCATTGATGGACGTGGAACGGTTCGTGGTGGTGAAGACGTGAGGAAGTTGGAGGACGTGCGGTTTGGAGGGTTGAGCGGACGAAGGGAAGGCTGTAAATTCGACTGAGCCGCTAATAATGTATATGAGTGTTATTGAAGAGAAAGAAATCGTAATTCGTTGAGACGAACCAAGACGTCCCGACCGCAATCATCGAAAATTTGGTATTTACTGCAACTTTCACCGCTCGCCTCGGCTGCTCGTAACTTCTCACCGTCCCACCACTCCCACTTGCACCCAAACCATCTTCATCTTCAGGATCGGGGGCACGCTGCTTCTGAACCCATTTCGGAACCTCGATATCGTGTATACATGTTCCGTGCCACTCTGATGAGGGTTGTGAATGGGAGTCGGAGCTGTCGACGGAGGTTCGGGAGTGATATTGGCGGCGGAGCGTGTCCTATTTTTCTTCTTAGTAACTATATTTTTTTTCATGTGCTGATGGATAAAAGGAATCGTACCGGTAGAGAATCCTCCCCATTTACGTCCGGATTCGACATATTCACATCCGAATACGCGCTCTCCGACAACTGAACGAAGTACGCCCTGCCGTCGGAGGTGATCCACGACTCGACATCCGTTCCTCTGTACCATGATATATCGCACACCGTTACTATCACCAAAACAGAAGTCAGCCAGTTCTCTGGAGAGGGAGGTTGTGAGGGGTACTCACCATCCGGATCCACAAGCCACGGGAAATCATCCTCGTTCATCACCCAACTGTCGTAATCATATCGCCTATTCCCTCTACGATCATACAGTTCATCTTCCGGAGCAGTCGGCCACGGTATCCGTTGTATCGACGGCGGACTTTTCGTAGAAAATAAGATGTAATGTTTGCGTGGCGACACACTGCAACATCCAGCATCCATGAACGAATCAGTGTCACCGTTCGTCTGGACTGGACCACAAGAGATGGAGAATGTACCTAAGAAGTATACCTTCCACCCTAATGACACCCTCGAACTGCAACACGATCGACTGAAGGGGAAGTGCTTCTCCAGGTCCAGGCAAGAAACTCCGTTGACTGTTAGCGCCTAGTGGTGGTGTCTTGTAAGGTGTTTCTTCCGGATTGTAGTGCACGGTGACGAGGACGAGGAAGGAGCGTGTTGTCTATTGCGCACGTCCATAGGGTTAATTAGAGTATTGTTGGTAGAACTCGGTTAGGGGACGTACTTGAATGACGATCCTCCGCCCGTCCGTAGACCAATGGACTGCTTTATTCTCCCCATGCTGTTCCAGACTCGTAGCCGTCCTCGACAGGTACGTCAGCATCGCAGACGGCTACAATGCCACCATGCCAAAATCAATCGATACATCAGCTCCTACTCCACTCTGAAAGGTATACGGGAGGCAATCACAGGATATGTGTGCGAGCTTAGAAACTGAACGCACCCGTACACGCCACACTGCCAATCCATCCCTCGTCAACGTACAGAACAACGACTTCCTCGTACTCGGACAGACTTGTATAACAGGCTCAGTCAAAGCATTGGGCAGAGCAGGGACGGTGCATAGTTGGCGTGCGGCAGATGTGGGGAAATACATCTGGGGCCACCGTGGATTTCACTCAACGCGACCAAACAAGTCAAGGGGATTGAAGCACAGCAATGACTTGGTCTTGCTTTTATCCAGTCAGTAGCGAGCAGAGCACTTCCGAGGTTCAGGATATGAAAAGCAGGAATGTGGGTCTTCTAAGGGGGGACAGGAATGGTTGAGGAACAGGAGGAGAGTAAGTAAGGCCGCATGCTGTTCAACTGACGGAGGTGAGAGATCGTGACGAAACCGACGTGTTTCGCTGGCTATGTGGCCCAACGACCGCCCAATTTCCTCGATTTCCCAGAGATTTTCCCGCGACCGTGATATGCGGCTCTCACCCCTTCCATCCCTACAAAATATCCACACGCCGTTTGCTTGACAACGAAGGCTTATTGTTGAGAAAGGGGCAGACCAATAGAGTGCAAGACAGGGGGTTTGTGCGGGTTTATTGAATGCAGTTTTGTAGCCAAGTTGCGTATGTGGTGACAAGGAACACTAGTAGCCCATAGAAGTACCGAAACAACCGATACAAATACAACCGAAAGCGACATCGAGGGAATGGACACGAAACGGCGGAACGACACGCGCGAACGAATACGGGAGCGAGATCGGACATGGGACGAGGGACGAGAGAGGGTGAAATGAAAGCAAATAATTAGAATAAACACAGCAACATCGCTATAACCGTTCACAGAGCGATGCGCACGAATACGGATTGAGAATGCGAACATGGGAAACTATGATACGATGCAAATGAACCAAAATGGCGGAAAATGAAATGAACGAGAACAAAACTTGTTATAGTTCTACCGGAACCACGACGAATACGACGCAGCGGGCTGTCCTTCGCCTTCGCCCTCACTCGTGATGTCGTCTTGTCTGCTCCCCGATGCCGAAGGTGACGGGCTTCTTGAGACATTGTCAGGGTCGTATTCCGGAACGCGATGCGTCGCCGCCAGTCTGTCACCGAATGTTGGACTGAGATAGGACATTCCTGAACCCACTCCACCCATGGTCATGGGCTGCAACCGAGCTTTGCGAATGAAGTCGAGGATAAGAGAGACGCCTTCGCGTGACTAATGAACAATGTAATTCAGAAAAGGTCGGGAAGGGAACGATCAGCATTGGCTAGCGTGAGAGTCACAGTATAAATGTACGCACGCGCTGCAGATTAGCTTTGAAGCGAGCCAAACCGTGGTTCTCAATACTTTTGGTGAGGCCCCAGCCAAATCCAGAAACGATGCTCGCTTCAGTCGTCTGCTGAGTTTTCCTGTAAAGATGCAGATATCATAGACGATGAGTCTCAATTCAACCATAGCGAATCCGTGGAAAAAGACATGAAGCGAAGGATAAATCCAACATACCCCTCCTCCGTCTGTTTAAACACTTGGGTCTCCTGCACCTGCATAACCTTGACATGGTCCAAATTCCTCGTTCTACACCTGACCACCTTTCCCTCCGGATCCACCTCGCTCTCCTCGATCACCCAGCTCTCCGCCCTCGAAATAATTCCTTTGGGTGCCCATCGAGGTAAGGCTCCACGTTTGAGGATGAGACGGGTGGTAAGAAGAGAGCCGGAGAATGTAAATTCGCGGGAAATGACGTCGCAGGAAAGAATATGGGAGGCGTAGGGGTTTGGGTAGCGGAGGAAAAAGGCGAGGGAGACGATGGACCAGGGATCGCTGTTGGTTGCGGCGGAGTTAGGGGTTTCGGAATTCGGGTTTTATTTTAGTAAATGAGTTGTGTTGAGGAAATCGGTTGTAGTTGGACAACGATTTAATCGTTTCGATGAGTGAAGAAGGGCAACGGTGGCGAAAGAGTTGTGAGTTCACCACATGCGGCAAGGACAGAGAAGCCGCACACTTACTCGTACAAGAAGGATTGCTTGAAGAACTTCATGGCTGAACGATCCCTGTGCAACTATTTTTTAAGGCACAAATAGTGCTTTTGAACAATTACTTGGCCGGTTTATGAGCAGAACGAGTGTAGTGGGAGAGGAATGAGAAGATGGGGGTGGAAAGCAAGGAGTGATGGAGAGCTCGATGCCGTGGACGCGCGAGCTGGAGCTTGCCTGGAGCCACAGAACACTTGACCGGGCTCGATCACTGTTACGTAATGCTTTGTTATCCCCGAGACCCTTGTAGCCCCAGTGTGGCCCAATTGAAGTTCATGCATAACCTTGCATAACATACGAGCAACTAAGTGACTACTAGGCTCATAAGTCTTATAGAGGCCTATATGATACGTGACACAGCCTGACACAACCCTCTAGAGCTGTTTTTGTTTCTCTTCGCTACTTATTGTTCCTTAGGCATCTCGCACACCGGCCGCTGATGTCGACTACTTATCTCAGGGCTTTTCTTCATAATTTATCTACTATAGAGCAGGAAACAGCACTGCTCCTCGATATTCTAAAGGCTAAACCAGCTGTCTATCGGATACACAACGATAAAAACATCACCCTCGAAAGCGCATTCAAGGACTTCAACATGTATTTCAACCACTTCATCAAACGGCAGGAGCAGCACATCGACGAAGAGGCCACACGAGGATTTCTTGCTCGAAGCGCCGCCCCAGACCAACACTCAAGTCACTGCCAATATCAATACAGCCTTATTCGAGAGCATGAACCCGGTCAGGATGGGCCTCATCGGCGAGAACGACACTCTCGAGACCGATTATTCGAATGGTCTTCGCTTTGGCTGCCAAAACACCCTCCATCCAATATGTGACGACACAGAAAGCAGGGAATTTCACGTCCTACGATATCTGGGTTTCGGGTCTGATCCATGACGTGTTTGGTGTTATCGACGAAACAGACCAATCGACCTGGGCTACGCTGCTTTCTGCCTCGAGGGGCTGGGAGGCCGCGTATAGCCACCCAGACTATAACACGGCGACGTTGCTCAAGAATATGAATCCCATGGTTGCGTCGGATGAGGAGTACTGTGCATTCCAGAAGAGAAGGTCCGAAGTGGGAGGTCCATCACTGCCATGAATCACGACGTCAACATGGTCTTGTCGACATCTCATGTAGTTGTTAGACATAACCCTCTCTTTTCTTTCGTCGCGTCGAGCGTACGGTTCCTCGGGATGTTCTTTCTATGTTTGTATGTACTATTGAAAACAGCCCCCACCGTGGTTCACCACGGTCATGAGTGCGAGTCGGTGATACAGAATCGTCCATTTTATTTCTCTACAAAATTGGAGTGATAAAGCAAGTATGTCCTCCGGAAAACCTCGAAACTGTGAATTATTCTGGTCTGTAGACATCTGATTGATTTAGAGAACGATTCCACAACTCGAGTGTACAGAAGATCGAAAACTATAGCTCCAGCAGTGCCCGGAATACCGCCATAGAATTGAAAGCATACTCTCTGACGACAACCTTTTGTATACAAATTGGTTCACAGTTCGGAATACTTACCACCACCCGCCCAACAAACTGCTTAACCCACCCCTCGCGGGCGCCTTCGAAGCTTGCGGCTCTGGCGTAGCCGCCCTCTTCTCCTCTTCTAACTTTGTCCTCGCCACGCTCTTTGCAGACTGTGGCTGTGGTGCCTTCACTTCCTTCGTCTGCGTCTTCACTGGAGCAGGCGCCACAGGAGTAGCTTGAGCCTGAGGTTTCTTTCCTGCCCTTTCCATCAACCTGTCCATGTCCGGTGCCACATGATTCCACGCGATATCGAAGAACAGAGGTTTCTTGTAGGTTTTCGGGTCGGCATCGAGCGAGCCGCCGTTGTAGGCAAACCAGGAAGTCTTGAGTGATAAGCTGTCGGCGTTGAGTTCTTCTTCGAATTCGTGAAGTTGGGTGGAAGAGAGAGGATAGAATTCGGGTGATGCAGAGGGAGAAGAGGAGTCCAGTGTGGTGAGAATAGACTGGGTTTCGCGGATGTGTAGGGTGGCGTGTTGGACGAGTGTGAGCGCTTCGGCATACTTCTTTACTGGTGGGTAGGACCGCGAAAGGTACAGACACCTAGATAAAGGAGATAAAAATCGACCCATTAATCACAGTCACACTATACGAGATGCAATCTTACCTCCGAGCATTGGTGAACGCGATTCGAGCATCAACAGCAGTAGCGAGGTCAGGCGATTCATCTACGATAGACAAAGTTCGCATCTGGTTCAGGCTTTGCAGGACCGTATCTAAGAGCTTGACAAGGGCCGGATACAGCCGAGCATCGACCTGTTTCTTTTCAGTCTTGCTCGAAGACGCCTTGGGACCCTGGCCTTTTGAGACTTTCTTGTTGGCCGGACGACGGGGGGCCGCAGCTTTTGAGGATGCGACGAGCGAAGAAATGAGGAGCAGGTCACGCTGAATGCGACGAGATAGGAGCTGATAGACGATGTACGCGTGAACGAATTGAATGTCCCGAGCTCCAGCAATAGAGGCGGAAGAGGCGCCACTCAGCTAAGTAGGCCAGAATGTGAGGTTGTGTAATGAGAAAAAACCAAGATGGACGAACCTGCTGAGCCTCCATCAACTTGCGAGCCACTTCCTCCGCGTCAGAGAGAGCAAGAAGGATGGTGTCGTACGCCGCAACTCCTCGCTTCGAGTTCCCACCCTTACTCTTTTTGCCCTTCTTCTGGTCTACACCATCCTCCTTCTTCACCTGCGGTGTGTTCTCCTGCTTCAACTTCGCCTCACCATCCTGCACCTTTAGAAGTACGTCCACCAGTTCCGGATTCCTTACGGGCACTGGCTCTCCCTCCCACATCAAAGTCCCCAACTTCTTCTTCGCCTTATCCTGCTCTACCGCCCCACTCTCGCTCTGCAATTTCTCTAACAGCGCATTGTAACCCTCCACAATCTCATCTCTGTGTTTGCCCGATATCTCTGCCACAATTCCATCCACGTCATAGGACTTCTCCCTACCGAGTTCGTGCGCACAGTACCGGATCTCTGGCCCAATTGCGTCCGCGAAATACGTGTAAAGGGCCTGGTCCCTGCTGGTGTCGGCCCTACTTGCGAGCTCGTCCAGCAATCCCTTCGCGACGCTGAGCTGCACCAAAGCATCGTCAAATTCGTCTCGGTAGCGGAGGAAACGACCGTTCAAGATCAGGGTGTAGATGGTGATCTCGAGTAGCCCAGAGGCGGAGAGGCGGGATGATGCATATAGGGTTTGGCACTGGGAGAGAAGCTGGGTGGACCAGTGAACGGAACGACGGAAACGACCTGTGGCATTGTGGCGGAGAGATGATGCCTTTGATTCGTTGGAGGGAAGGTTGGAGAGGGCGAGAAGTTCTTGGGAGTAAGACCAAGCTCGCTCGGCTTCGTAAAGGAGGAGCTGCAGACTAGGCGATTGTGAGATATGTGACTGTGGATTGTCCGGTGGTGTACTTACTGCCCGTCCTGAATACTCGATGGAGCAATGGCAGGTAATTTCTTGAATTCACGTCCCTTGCCATGCGTTATCTTCAATGTCGAGCGCAGACGATGCGTTCTGTTTGCACAATGTTTCCTAGTAAATATTATATTAGAAGATGCATTGTACAAGTTCCATGTTGAGCATTTACCGGTATCGACTATAGTCGTTGTACCTCAGTCCATACATGTTACGCTGCTCATTTGCGAGCTGCAGCGCTATGACGAATGTATTCCTGTTAAGTATGGTAATAATCACGCTACTATTCCAGACTAACCTCTGAAAGAAACACTCTTGGAGTCCGTGTCCGCCATGTTCAGAGCTTTCGAGGTACAGACGGAAGGGCCGGGAAGATGGTGGAAGGAAGAAGAAAGAGTGGGATCTTGATCGACACGCGACGCGTAGATTATGAACGCTCGATCCCCACAACATTCCTGCCAGTGGTTCCGAAAGCATCTCTTGTCTGCACCCTTCACCACACCGACAGAACGAATACCCCAGACAACTTTCAATGGCAGAAGAAACACTTCCCCCAAACTTGCAGAATGTCATTGACCAGAAGTCTCTGAAGTGGATCTTTTGCGGTACGCATACAGATGTTTCTTTGTTAGTCCTAACTCTTGAAGCTCATAACCTTCGATCGTGGATAGGTGGCAAGGGTGGTGTCGGTGCGTAAAACAGTCTGTGCTCGACATGCTCACCAGACTAATGATTGACTATCCACAGGAAAGACCACAACATCATGCTCTCTCGCCATCCAACTCGCCCAAGCTCGCGAGTCCGTGCTCTTGATAGTACGTGGCGCCACGACGAACCATTCTCCATACACCCCACCCATCTTATGGTTTGTCATAGTCCACAGACCCCGCACACAACCTTTCAGATGCTTTCGGCCAGAAGTTCTCGAAAGAGGCCACGAAGGTCAACGGGTTTAGCAACCTTTTCGCGATGGAGATCGACCCGACGAGTGCTATCCAGGAGATGGTAGACCAGTGTTCGTCCACTCTCTCCTTCTCTACCATGGCTTTGACTGATCCTCTCGGTAATTATTGCTGGCGTGCAGCGGACCAGAGTGGTATGATGGGCTCCATGATGCAAGATCTGGCCTTCGCCATTCCAGGTGTTGATGAAGCGATGAGCTTTGCTGAGATCATGAAGTACGAGTGTTTTCCATTCATCCTGCCCAATTTTCCTGCTAATTACCCTTACACGTTTGCAGGCACGTCAAGTCAATGGAATACTCGGTCATCGTGTTCGATACCGCACCTACAGGCCACACTCTTCGTTTCCTCTCCTTCCCAACCGTCCTCGAGAAGGCACTCGGCAAGCTCTCTGCACTGAGTGGTCGCATTGGCCCTATGATTAACCAAGTAGGCGAATTCTACCAAGGTCATTCATGTTGGAAGATATGGTGGCTGACCGTGGCGAAATTAGATGTCGAGTCTGATGGGAGCCCAAGCTGACTCTACCGAAGATATGTTCTCGAAACTGGAGTCCATGCGGGCGGTCATCACGGAAGTGAACACGCAGTTCAAGGATCCTGTTCGTGCCGTCCCTTCAATCTTTACGCCACATATCTCTATCATCGCTGCCACTCGACCTTGAGAACGAAACTGACAGTTTCAACCACCAAACAGGAAAAGACGACCTTCATTTGCGTGTGCATTTCTGAGTTCTTGTCATTATACGAGACGGAGCGTCTAGTCCAGGAACTGACCGCGTACGAGATCGACACCCATAACATTGTCGTCAACCAACTTCTCTTCCCCAAAGACAGTACGTACATTGATTCGCAGCACCAGCCTTCGCCCCTTTTCATTGCAACCTGCTGACGTCCACACCATTGCTAACCACCGATCTTGGTTCAGCCTCCAATTGTGAACACTGCCGCGTCCGACACAAGATGCAACAGAAATACCTCAACGAGGCACACGAGCTCTACGATGACTTCTTCCACATCGTCCAGCTGCCGCTCCTCACTGAGGAAGTCCGCGGTCCAGAGAAGTTGAAGGAGTTCAGCAAGATGTTGATCGAGCCATACCAGCCTTCGGACAAATGAGTATATTGCTTGTGCTTTTCCTCGGGTGATTGGACGCTAGAGGTGGGATACTGAGCACGGTATACCGGTCTCTGCTCTGTTTTTTATATTGTACTCAATTTGGATGGCATGTACCATGAAACGGTCTGGGCAGACTGGAGTTCCTGCGTGTTTACCAGGGTCCAGTGTGAGCCACACATTCCAAGGACGGCATATCCCGAGTGGCGTGGACATGTTCCTGGTCCAACCTGTCATGAATGTCTACACTGCGGTAAAAGATAATCATTTCGACACCCATCCACTTCGACCGATGTTACAGCCACTCGATATTCTTAATGGTGGTATGTCTCGACCTCTTCTCAGCCACCGCGTCTGTTATCGTCCGACCTGAACTCCATGGGTTCTTTGTTTCGAGGACAAGAGAGCAGGAAGTAAGGAACCGCAGATAAGCGATGGAGAGTTCCCGAGACGTATGCATTCAAGCTTCCGAGTCCACAAACGTTGCCACATACATAAGTAGACTACCTCTCCGCTGGGCTTCCTCCATACTTGCCATTGCCCCAACCCACTCTTCCCCGAAGTGACTACCCCACCCCCAGCGAGAAGCTCTCACGTCCTACCGGTATGCTCCTCTCACCGACGGACCCAGTCCACACTCGTACGTTCTCATCCGGGCCATTGACACTCCCTCAGCTTCCTCACGCCATTCAGTCTTCCTCACCGGTGACCCTTCCAACTCGGGCCTATATCATGTCGATCCTACACGAATCGGACGCCAGTTCTATCGCGCTTCCACTCGACTTCCACGTTCGCACTCACGCTCAGGCCCGCCTCACGTTTCAGGACTCGAGAGATTCTGATTCGATGTGGGAGTGCGGCACGAGGGACGGAGGACTTACCACGCTACTGCTTCGAGATCCCATCTTCCCCGACGATAGCCGCGCCGGATTCGAGTTGTTCAGTACATACCGTACGTACAGCGCTCATGCTTTGTCCAATTCAGAGCAAGAGGTTTTGCGCCTCTGTCGTATACAGTATGTTCTCGATCGCGGCGCTACGATACTACGATGTACAGGCCACTTAGAGAAGGCTTCATCTCTGAAGCCACTCGAAGCTAATAACCAAAAGCAGCTTGGGTTCGGGTGGATCGTCTTCAGCAGATGATTGCGTCTACAGCCATTTGGGCATGTCCTTCAGAAGCATACAGCTCAAAGCGGCCCCGAGACAGTTATATTCGAGTCATACTCCGAGTACTTAGCGGAGCCACCATAGGCCGCCGTGCACTTAGACTGTGTGCAGAACGATTAGTGTACTTGATGATGGCAATATACTCCGACTAGAAGCCTGCGCCACAGTGGCAAACCCGTAGAAAGAATCACGACTGGAGAGCACCGTCTACCGGTCACAACGCACATCGTCTACACAATGACGTCCAAGTAAATATGATCACAGATTATCGAATTCGAAGCTACTCAAAGAGAGCCTCGAATTAAGAGCCGCAGGTAGAGCCGAGACTTCCGAGAACACCTGCTTACCACGTCAATGAACATAACATCGCGTCACTGCTGCATCACCTACAATGGTCTGTACTTGTACATGTACAGACGGATGTCTCAGAAACAGGGGCTATACACAACCTAGGCCCATGCACGCCCACGGTAGACCTGCGGGCGCCCCAACCGACGCTGACAGTCCACAATAATGAACAAGAACAACAAAGACAACGAAATCGCTGAGCTCGTGCGAAACGGTGGTCACGACAGGGCGATATGACCGGCGAACGCGCAAGTACGAAGCGCCAGTTTGCTCGATAGAATGAAGTTCAATGAGTTTTACTTATAACACGTCAGATAGATATGGATTCTATGTAATTTAAAACATTCATCGAAGAACGAAACAGCAAAACGTACCAGACGGACCAACCGACCAGAGAGGGAGAAGACGGCAATGAAAACAATAAAGAAGACAAGGATAGAGAGGTGGGGCGGGGATGTGATGTGGTGTACACGATAACGATATTTCGGTCGTGAGTCGGACGCAGCTATGGCGGTGCGACGGGAGAAAAGATCTTCGTACCAATACAACGGCGAAGAAAGGTAAAGATATACAACGAAGACGAAAACGAGTCCTATGAGTTTGACCGCAAACTTTTCGACGGCTTCCGCCAGGAGTAGTTTATGACTGAGTCGATGCTAAGATGACCCACAAGGCCAAAACGATGGAGCCATAGAAGGATTTCAAACAAACGCACAGCTGAACCTGGAACGATGAGGGATAAGATGTGAAAATGGAGTGCAATGAAGCGAGTCACTACCTGAATACAAGAGACCGTAGTAAAAAAGCAACGATAAAAACGAGGGATCAAAGGCCGGAAAAAGCAGATGAAACCCTATGGCGAGGGCTTCCCTGAAAGCCTCTCCAGGATCGAATTGACGCCCTGCTGATCGAGGACGACTTTAGTCCCGTCGCACCGTGCCTTGCTCGTGAAAGCTGAGCAGAGTTCGTTAATGTCCACGTTCTATCAAAAAATGAGTTAGCCGGTCGGTTGACAGATAATTAGACAAGAAACGTACCGAAGTCTTGAACTGTGGATGTGAAGTTATGCTTCTCCAAGCACTCAATACCTCGATATTGTCGTCGCTTACCTCCGTTGGAGGGAACGTAGCGCCCTTGCACATGATCATCGGCGCTCCCGTCTCCGGAAGCGTCGACTTGCGCACGGCAGGCGGCTCGGGAGGCGCAGGAGGCGCGAACATCGAGCTGCCTGCGGTGGAGATGTGCTTCTCGAGTTCGGCCTTGGTCTTCGGACATTCTCCCGATGCTGTGCCACATGATGGCGACGACTCGTGTGAGAGTTTGTCGGTCGGAGGTGAATTGCCTGCGGCGCTCGATGGAGTAGCGGACGCTGATGGTGGCGAACGATGCATGACGGGGCTAACAGATAATGGCGACGGACTTTTCATGAGGACGGTGAAGTCGACTGGGCTCTGAGCCTGACCGAAGAGATTGCCACCAAAGAGCTCATCCAACGAGCCCCCTCCGCTTGAATGAGTCGAGGTGCCCGTTTGTGAACGTGCAGGCGATGACCAGTTGAAGAAGTCAAACGGACTCTGGCCGCTATTCGAAGAACTCGACGAAGCTGGCTTGTTGATTGTGCTGAGCGTCTGGTTGTTCTCAGGCATAGGGTCAACGAAGGACATGTATTGAGGATTGCTGGCGATGGTCTTGTAAGCGGTCTGAGTGGAGGGGACGCCTTGACCAAAACCTCCAAAGTCGTACAACATGGGCTCTTGACCATTATTGTTGTCGTCGAGAAGGTTCATCATCGACGAATCGAACGGTGTCAGCGAGCCGAAGTCTATATCGGCGGGGAATGTTGATGGCCCGTCGAGGGAGTTTGGCACATTGGGTGTCGCCGGCTTCGACGCCGAGCCCGAAGGCGGCGATGAGCTGGATGAGGCATGTTGTGATCCATTGTCACCGAGATTGTTGAAGGAGGTTGTGGCGACGTTCTGGAAGTTCTGGCTCTCGCCGGCAGAGGGTCTTGGAACAGAGAACGTGAAGGTGGATTGCTTCAGTATAAGATTCTCGTCCTGGAGGCGACGAAGAAGTTCTCGAAGGTGCGAGTTTTCGGTTTGGGACATCTCGTTCTTCGACTCGAGCTCTGCGACTTTGTCCTCAAGCTGGAGACAGTGTAGTGGGTCAGGCGCCTATACCGGGGCGAGATGAGATCATAGACGAATCAAGCTTACGTCTTTGACGTGTTTCTCCTTCCGTTCTCTGAATGCACGCTGGGCGGCACGGTTTTGTTCCTTGCGCTTCAGGAGGCGCGACTCATCCTATAGTGGCACAGGTCACGGACGATGATCCAAAAGGGGAAGGGATGTGCATACCTTGTCAGGGTTGCCGGTCGATTTCCTCCGAGAAGACGTTGACTTCTTGTTAGCTGTGGGAATGAGAATGTTAGGATGAGCAGGCACGACGAAGACGAAAACAACTCACAAGAAAGGTGAGGATTCTTGTGGCTTGGCCCTTCCTCGAAATCTTCGTCGTCGCTAGCCTTGCGCTTAAGACTATCCTCCCGATCGTCGCCGTAGACGGCAGACTGCCTACGAGAGCCAGAGTCGTTCATAGATGGTGGACTGGGAGAAGAATCATCTGAAAGGGGCGGGGGAGGGACAGGAGCGGGAAGGTTGGTGAGTTTGGATGGATCTATGGCAGATTCTGGGAGCGTAAAGGAGTCAAGGGACTGGTTGGGGAGAGATGCGTCTGTCCCGAACTGCTTAGAAAGCATAGCAAGAAAGTCGTCGTCTGCGAGATTGGCGAAATGGGAGGGATCTGACTGGGAAAAGTCCCAGAGGGGGGTGATTGAGTCAAAGCCCTGCATCGCTCGTCGTCGTCTAAGATGTTCTAGAGGGTTGGGTGAAAGTGTGAGCGACGGAGAGCGGAGGAGATGGCGGCGGGAGTGAAGAGCAGCTGCCGCGCCAGTTGGCCGACGTTATGTGCCCTCCCCGCCGATCGGAACTTGAATCTGTGTGGACCGGTCCATGGACCAACGCCAGGTGGGTCACGGCAATGGCCTCTATCCGACAGCTTGGCGCCCTTTTATCGCCGGGGCCTCTCGCCAACCTCTCGCATCGCCCGTCGTCTCTGCATTGCACACTGACGCTCGTCTGCTCGCTTGTCCTCTTCAACGCCTTCATCTGTGCGCTCAGTGTCACATCGCCTCTAATCTGCTCTGGCAAACAGGACGTGGATAATGTCAATTCCCAATCTGGCAGGAAATGGTCGGTTCTGTGCCGGGGAGTCGCAAGTACTCCAAAAGATCTACCCTTGCCTCACAATACTGACGTCGATGCTCCTAGTCTCTTGTTCTTACTGAAATCTTTTGACTGTCTCTGCTCACAAGGATATGATATTCTGAAGTGAGCGCTCTGATAATAACTTGTAACCCCTTCCGAAACCTTGCAGACCAAACCAAATGGGCCGCATCAAAGTGTCCATGCAACGGAGGCGCAAACCTGTATATCCATCTATTTCCGATGGCACAAATAGTTCAGACCCCTACGCTCGTGTGTTATCACTATCTCCGTTAGCCACTGACTTAAGTGTCTGTACAGGCACCCACGATGACACCCACTCTCTATGAGGCTTCTTGTCGACAATCGAGCCCTCCTCCCGACTTAGAGACCGCATCAGTGCCACCACCTGGGCATCTCACGGCCTCCGTTATCCTTACTGTGCTGCTTATACTGCTTCTCACACGATTATACAGTGCTCAGCGTTCCCATGCTGCTTCATAGTGCTATACGACATGTCTGCCAAAAGTGCACATCAGTGATATCGACGTTGATACCTTCGCTTCCGCCTGTCGCATCAAAACAGAGAGAAAATCCGATGCGTTGTTTAGTCGTGCTTCTGACTTCTGGAGGCCTCGGAGCTCAGCTCTTTTGAGTTTTCCGACTTCCATAGTCTGCAGCTATCGAGTCACTGATCGGTGTACTCTTCCGCCTCCAGCGTCATTGTCAAACTCATGGGCAACCGCATCAAACACGTCAATTATGCTACACACGTGCCCAAGACGCATTATATCCTAGGCTTGAAGCCATACAGGAAGTAGGTTCGCTATGTATGGTTTTTCTGGACCAGGCGCATTGTTTTCTTTGATAGACGCCTCTGTGACGGCGACGGAAACTTTTGTCTTCCGAGAGTCACCGCAATGTTCCTATCTCACCCAGTGCTGAATACAATTCGCCGTTCTAAACACGCAGCTACATACCATACGCCTGCGATCATACCATGGAGCATCGGAGATAACAGACTATCTAGCCTACTACCGTGTACCAGGGACTATCGAAAGGAGTCGACCCTTCATCCATCTACGCCTTAAAACCTTTCGTCGACGCCACTGCTAACATTCGCTGCACACTCAAAAACGTGCATCTAGGAAAGAAAATCATGGCGTCGTAAATCTTCGTCATACCATGCTGATTCGAGCTACTTCGATACGCCATTTCTTACACAACGGCCAAGTACTATACAGAGCACCTGTATCACCGAGCGATGGAGACTCAAAGGATCCATGTATGTTTCTGAAGGTCCGAGTGTGCCCCTCCTTTTTGCCCGTTTCCGATCTGATAGCTGTTGTTGACTCTCGCAAGGTCATTCCCATATCCATACCTATATCCAATCCAACAACGCACCCTCAAATGTTTCCGCCGCGCACTGGCCATGGCTTCCCACTCCAGCAAGTTTTAGGAAGGAAAGGGACGCGGAGCGGGAGTTGAAGACCGTAGTGAGATGTATGTGCTATTGCGACAGTGGCTCGTATTGATATCTTGATCCCAAAGCCTCATGAAATCGCCGAGCTGACGTGACTGACTCACAATCCGTAACGATAATCGTACCCGTAAGAGGCATCAGTCGCTCTTTCCTCGTCTGACTCAAAACTGTCTGTTTATTTCTTGCAAGTTGCAACATATCAGTCGCCTGCTCCTGAACCCCTCGCGGTCTTATATTTGCAGACTGTCTAATATGGAAAACCAATACACGGATGCTACTTGGAAAATCCCTTCAAACCCTGGAAGTCCTACCGATACGACTTGACACAACGTTCTGAAAGAGTTCGAGTCAGACTGACCAAACCCATCAAGCATCTGCGTAAGACCTGATTTTCTGACAGTCAAAGCGAATGACATCTTCATACCCATCTAGCAACATATGAAATAGTACTATTCATATAGCTCAGTTACGGTCCCATTCAACAGTCAGAAATAACGACAAGATCATCCTAATAAATCACGCTCCTCAGCGCTAGCCTTGTGAGAGGAAAACACACGAATTGGGATGACAGCCGAGAGAACGACAGGCTCGACTGTCATGACATGATGAGGGACGCATGAACCTTCAATTGTGGCGGCTACGGACGACGTAAAGCATCACGAGCCATCAGCATGCATTGACGCGACGTCTTCATCGTGCGTCGGGATCAACATCGACCATCGAGCACCGAATCACAAGTATAGCACAAAGTCGGACCGACATGCTCATCTCCATCCTTGTCGGCGGCTTTGACGTCGGTGGCGGCTACATTGTGTCGAACAATCAAAATTGTATACGTAGAAAGGCATTGCGACTTCCTTAGCCAGGAATATTTTGCCTCGGTTTAGCGCAGGCCGGGCGTATACCATATGCGGAGATCGCTTGTCCATCATCAATTGACGACGGCTGTGCTGGACAATTGGCATTCCACGAAGTTTGATCGTGAAGTAGTCGGCCCTACGCTGGCCCTACGCTACTCCCATCACAGGTGTACATTGTCGACGGGTTTTATGGCCATACCTAGACCATTGACAGCGGGTCACGAAACGTCAGACATAACGGAGTACCAACAAAGCCGTAAGCAGCCATCGAGCTCCTGTAAGTGACGGTCGTGCAAGGTCACGGAATGCTATGCTTAGTATGGACGGGCTCATAGTTCTGTCATGAGTCGAAGCGCTGAGTTACCATCTAAGTCTCTGGATTGTGTCCTGATCCGTAGTAGGAAAGCAATCTCACAATAAGCTCATCCAATAATATTTCTGCTTAGAGCGGAACCATAGGGCGTAAGCTTGGCATAGTTTTATAGCCGCCTAGGTCTCTTCTCTGTCTACCACACAGTCTCCAGAACGAGACGGATCCAGAGCCGAATCATTATGCAGGCTTCAAGTTGGTCCGCGGTGGCAAGAGAACTTGAGTTGCCATATCGGGTTCGCCGTTGGCTATCCTCTAAGCGCCTGCGCCTAGAGCCGAAACATGCTCTGCGCGAAACCCATTCCTACAGACGCGAATGCTTCATGAATGATCGAAAACGCGAGACCTGGAGACCTTTGAAAGGCCGGGCGGGTATTAAATATTAAGGACGTTACAGTATTTCACAGGCTGAACACGCTTCAGAAAGTACAAATGAAGAATATTCGTACATCAATAGCAATATTCAGGATTGAGGTATACAGAAGGATCTGAGTCCTCTCACAAAGACTAAGGATAATCACTCGCGATTTTCATGTATTAGCAAACCATGATGAGTCTACTTGGGTGCGATGAGTGTGCAGCAAGCCTTCCGCCAACGTCGTGATAGGGGCATTAGCAGGGCATTTATCATAGTAAATCTGCTAGTGAGTAATGCTGGCGTAGTTCTTCGAAAGCAGTTGATCCAAAAGCCAACCATCACCAAGACGTCCTGAGTGCATGCCCGTGTAGCACGGAATTCTCATCTGTTAATCGGCACTTGTGCGCAAATATCGCAAACAGCCATTGAAAAAAAAAAAACAGCCACGGCGTGCATCGAACTCCGCGGGAGTAGCATCAAGCACTGACAGATACACCCAGCCACAAGTAGTGTCCAACAACATTGCCTCGTCGTTAAGGTGCCCGGAGGAAGGAAAGTCGTGTGCAGGGCCAAGGCAAAAGGACGAACACAGTCCACAAGCCTCAAAGCGACTTTGGAATCATGCTCGACCGCGGTAAGAGGAACTGTTCGCAGTTCGGGAACGACAAATATACATCGTCATGATCGGATGTACATTATGATGGCCGTCTACTCCTTCTGGGTGCATACTCGTCAAGTACTAGCAGGTCCCATCATCACGCGCCGTTAACGACCACTGCTGATGTTAATCTTTGCGAAAATACATAGCAGACAAAGCTCAATAATCGCTGATTTATCACTATTCAGCGCTCCAGAAAGCCCTCGGCTACACACGAAGCTAAACGTGCCCGAGTAGTATATCGAGTTCGAAGCTCATTCGAGGCCGGGAGGATGAGGGGCAGTACGTACACACGATCACAACTCGATCAAACCCGACAATCAAACTGACACTCGCCATAGACAATTTGAGCGGTATACCGAAAATTGAGTGCTATAGTGGTACAGTGCTGTTGATGAATGTCGACTCTCCAAGGCGAGATACACATATATGGTAGATGAGGCGACGCGATCTAGCTCGGATCATTGTTCACCTCTGCGCACGAAGGTTCGGCACCAGACACGGCTTGCCCCGCCGGAAGTTTCCGTTGCGCAACAAGAATGAACTTGGAAGGTTGAGATATCGTCATAGAGCCTCCACGAGGTTACAAGTCGTGGATTTTGCGGCAAACAAATCTGGAGGGACACAGAAAAAGATACGCATCGGTGTGAGCTTTGACCAGGGATTGGCAGCCCGAGCCCGCCACGGGCGGGAATGTATAGCTTTTGACTCTGCGGTGCAGATGAGCGCAAATCCCTCGTAGTCGTCCGCAATTGGGCGAAAGTACGAGTAGCACTAACTTTAAGGAAGAATTGAGTTTACATTGATCGTACAGATATGAATGGCCAGATGAAACCACTTATCGAGGAGGAATATACTGTACTGTCCATATCGCAGGATGATGCACTGGCAGTAAAACTACGAAGGAGGATAGTAGTATTCAAAACTCTTGAACGGACTTATTGGGGATAGCTCGTGCATCGGTGTAGAACTTCGCAACTCCTGAACATGCCTCCAGAGCACGGCTCCCCGTCAGTGATGTATGAATGTAAGGAGAGCAAACGCAGCCTTATGCAGCCATGACAACGTAAGACATGATCCTCGGTCAACACATAGAAAGGTAGACGCACACATCATTCAAAGCAGGAGGTACCATCAAAAAGCCCTTGTACCTCAGCCTCCGAAGGCCGCCACACCGGCTGTCAAGGAGGGAATTAGCAAAAAGCGCGCATAAACGACAGGTGGACAGTTGGGCATTGAAATCATACTTGTCCACCGACGGAGACCGAGCACACTATAAACCCATATATCACCCACTGCAGCTGAAGCACTGATGTCAAGCTACCTACCTGTTTGTATCACCAGCTCCTCAGAGCGATCGTCCATCGACGCGATAGTGTAGGCGATGGTTCACTGTAAGACGATGCGTTTAGTAGCCTTATCCCACCTCGGGGCAGTGAGTGATCTCCTGGTCAGAGCAAAAGCTACAAAGCCAAACGCAGCACGAAACACAACACCACGGGCGCGATGGACCCTAACCTGAAAACCCATGGAGAATACGGTGTCTGTGCGAATGGCAAACTTCTGCGGTAATCGCAACATCTCAATCGAACAGTTTGAAAATGTTGTTAGGCATGGGCCATGGACGCCGATACAGTATGTCCACAACTAGATGGGGAATAGACTGACACTAAAAAGTCAGCTAAATTAATGATAGGGATTTACGACACCAGCAGGAATGCCATACAGTCATTGTGATCAACAATGAGACAGCAAATCCGCCACAATCGTCCAACCACGAACGAGCTTGTAGCCTCACTGAGTAAAGGAGCTCGAAGAAAGTTTTCAATGTCCTCAAGTGCTTGCGTCTACCTTTGAGGGGATAGATAGTACTTTGAGGTTGAGGACCCATAGAATCAGAAGTGATAAACAGGGGTAGACAGACTATGTGGCGCAGGAGAAGCATGCTTTCCCCAAGAACGAGAAAGCCGACGTACCGTGATTGGAGAGTGCACGCTCCATCATAATTCAGGGAGTTCTACATTTCAAGCACGTATCGCACCTGGAGGAACATAAGTGCCGACTTGTGCGCTTCCCTCAGATCACGGCACCCGGCGTATACGCGTTCACATACGATGCAACTATAGACACTGCCAACATCACAATATTGCGTCAATTTCTAACCAAGACTGCCTTTCAATGTGTGTCCGATCCCTGGCCTGAGATGAAATCAGCATCATTATTCATTGCGCACCACCGTGCACTGACGGAGAGCCGAAAATGATGGCATATATGTGCCTCACAGGTCGTAGATATCTTCAATAACCGATAAAATATAAGGGACAGCTGACAGAAGGGATAGTGGAGATGAACGCCTAAACCCACTGTAAAGTCCATGAAGGCATCGATAGAGAGTGCTCAGGATTCGACATTGGGAAAGACAATGGAGGTAAGTAGACAGCAAAATGATCGCGCGCCAGGTTCAAACGAAGCGCAGTAACGGCACCGTCTCATTTCCAGCATACAGCTCCTGGCTGATGGGCTGGAGAAAGACACACTTTTTCGTCGCTACCGGCACATCTACGGCCTAGAACGTCCAATACGAGCAAGGGAGAAAATCATGAGAGGGCATACCAAGATAAATCCCGTTCGTAATGAGGGGTAGCGCACAATGTGGTATGAACGGGCGGCACGCCACGGCGCTTCAAAGAGTTCACCGAGATTGATGCGATTGTGCTAAACAGCGCCCGGCTCGAGGCTGATGCTGCCTAGTGCTGATATCACCTACCAGGGTCTCCCGAGAGCGGCTGACGAGACTCAACCGTTCAATACAGTGGTTCTGCCAACGACTCTAGAGTCTGCATACTAGAAAAGTCACCGCATCCACATCACCAACGAAATCCGTTGTAACGCCACACAGCGCCACGAACAGATTTGCGCGCGATTGCCCGTGCTGGTTCTCCAAAAGCACAAGTACGTATGAGGTACGGCTGTGGTTTTCTCGATGAAATTATAGAAAGTTAAAACTGTTTGGCGCTCTATGTTCCATACTTTAGCGCCTGGCAGATAGAGGCTTAGCGACCTCAGCTGGCTCCTGGATAAAGCCAAGAGTCTGATGGTGATTCAGACTCTTTTCCACTGGCAACAAAAAACACAGCAGATTCACCGGTCAATGGTCATTGTAGCCCGAGCGCTCGTGAAACATTCGCCCCAAGGATCTCGTGAAAGGAGAAAAGGACACTCTGATAAGTGCCACAAGATAGGGAGTACCGACCATTGTATCACAGTAAATTATGGCATTGCTTGTCGCCTTCGACGCCGACGATGAGCTTAGAGCGCGAGACCGAGTGCAGGACCCAGTCGGCATAAACTGGCAGTCTAGAATTAGCTCGATGCCACCCGATGGCAAACAGAACAGCCCCTGGGCCCGGAAACCCGCCAAAACGGGAGACAGCAGCATTTTGAGAGATGGCTTAAACTGGGCACAGTGAAACAACGGAGTTGGTGAACATACCGGAGACTAGGTTCGTCCAACATTCGCCGATGCCAGTGGTTCGAAGAGAAGCAAGGGAAGCGACCCTCTGTCATTGGACCTTCAGAGTCAAAGCCTTCCTTCCGAGATATTCCGAGACCGTGAAATAGTGGCACATCTAGGATGTCAGTGGCGAGCGTGGCAAATTTCTTGATACGACTTGGTGCGTCGCAACGGGCCCCTCACATCTCATTATTCTTGGGGAATTCGCAGTCCGACGTCCACAATGATACGTATAGATAAGTTCCCTCTCAGACCTTCCGAGCGGAATCTTGTGTTACTCATGGCCTTGAGTATACGGATGGGTACTTTGCTTTTGCGAGCATCCCAAAGCAAATAGTGTCGTCTTAGAATTCAAGGGGAGTACGTATGTACAGACTTCCAATCGAAGTACGGCAACCATTCAAGGAGTTCAGGATAACTCCATGTTCATGATATTCTTCGCCGAAATGAGCCTAGAATCGAAACCTTAATGCTGTACTGCACGGATATGGACAACACATTCAAAAAACAAAGAGGTAACTTCAAGTTCAGCGCCATTCCGCTGAGTCGAGTTTGTACCATACAAGCCTTCACATAAGTATCATGAGCAGCATTGAACAGAAGCAGCTCGCCATGCTATTCATGCGTACGACATCAAGCCTGGAGCTCAGTTGCAGGTCTGCACCTGGTAAGGACATCGGTCGACTTCGTATCTCCACGACAGCCTCTGGAGAGACCCTATGAACTCTCCACACGTGTCGGCGTCCGCCGATACCACGATACCCCAGTACGCCGTGGGTGGCGTATACAAGAATAAATCACCTCTGAATCATACGCGCCTCTGACCCTCTCTCGGACTTCGACTCTGTTGAAACCACCACACTGGCCATAGAGACCATAGAACACCATGCAGGGTGCTCCACTACAAGTGCACACCGACAAAACGACCGAGCTCGCCATGGTCATCTATCGACCATACGAGGCTATGTCATCATTTCGGTTAGACGCGTACGCCACCCAGCAGAGTCTGTACATCACTATCCATTCCCGAGTCATCGCAGCTCTGCATCCCCCAAGGAAATCAACCCTTATCATGGTGGACCCAAGTGATGCAGTCTCGATAGAGCACCCCGGACGGCCTCATATCCGCCATAGATCGGGAAACATGAGAAAGAAACGAAACAAGACAACATCACCAGGAGAGGCCGAGCGTACATAGGCCATTTCTTGGACCGCGTGACCCGAAGACTCTGATTGCAGAGCATCCTGAACCCGGAGTTAATCGAAGGCTAAACACTGGTAGAACGACCAGCGTCGGGACGAGACGATTGACACTCGTGCTCCGTCGATGTCATAGCCAAAACGGCGACACCAAGGATGGCCACAACGACAGAGATGTAGATATTGATGAAAGTGTGGGTGGAATTGATGAAATGGGTATCGCAAAGATGACGTCCGCTATCGTCATCGACGTTTGCTGTCAATGTGAACCAAAACCGAAAGCTAACAGTCTTTCCACGAGAGTCTGTATGAATATAGATAGTACGGATGTGGCGTGAGCGATCAAAAACAAACATGAGAATAGAATAGAACTAGACGGACAAGGGAGCGAGACAGATGAATGGTCAGATGAACGAACGAGAATAATGCAGAGAGCAAGAGGGGATATGCATCGGAATGGTTGAGGAATGAGTGCGGGGGGGATATGAATAGAAATGGGAGCGAAGGTGCTGAAAAGAAAGAGGCAGTGGTGTATTATGAGTACGAATATGATATGAGACTCCAACCACAGTCGACGCCACAGCTTGGCGTACATGCCTGCAAGGCGAATAGTGCAGGACGGGAGGTCCAGGTTCTGACAGACAGTCCACGACCGCAGTGGTCTTCATTGGAGCAACCGGACTGGCGACGACAACAGGTATCGCATCACTACGGGGGTAAATTAAAAGGGTTTGATCAGTATGTCAAAGACGGGGAACACAGAGACAATGCTACTCACGTAGTATTCTATCTCGAGCTATACAGAGAACAAATTGCAACAGCATATTAATCATACACGTATCGTCAGCGACGCGGGTTGGGCCTACAGGGGACAAACGATATGGGTATAGGGGACGAATACTGCGAGGACTTACGAAGAGGAAAGCAACATTCCGGGGCCAGAGTATGTTCAACCCTGCGGGGTTGTACAGTTCCTTGTTCAGGTTGTCGATCATTTCATGCAGGCGTTGCATCTCCTACAGGAATGCCATCCATGTGTACGTATGGCCAGACATGACATAGGAGTTGAGATTACGCAGCACATCGGGGCAGTTAAGAGAGTATCCATCAAAGATGAGCAAGACGTCACGTATTTTGGGAAACATAGCGTATGTAGGGCCAAATGGGAGAAGTGAGGACACACACCTTCTCGTAATGCGTGGACAGTAAGAGTCTGGATATGCGTAGCGAGAATATATCAAGTGCAGTGTCGAAGAAGGAGTGACGGAGACTATAGGCCGATATGAGGACTTCATTGATGGTATTAATCGTCTCCAAGAACTGCGTAGGCGTAATCTAACAATTACATTGCCTTGTAAGCATCACACCACAGCAACAAGGGCTAGATAGAGGGTACGCACTCGACCTTCCAGTTCCAGAGGATACACAGGTGCGAATTGCACAAGTTCACCTCCGGTATAGTCTCTCTCTACTCGCACGATCTCCCTCGGATGGTGTCGCCCAATCTGGCCTATTGGATCTGTACCAAATGCTGCATCTATTGGCGGTGGACCATAATAGTACGAAGAGACTGGGATCAATCGACGGCTGTGAACGACGGGATTCCGGAGCAGTCAGTCAGCCGAGACAGGCAGTTCGTCATGATGGAGTGGACAATGGGTACAACTGTCTGAGTATTTAGAATGATAGATTGTGTATCTGGAGACGTACGGTTTCGAAGATGTCGAATCCTTAGCCTTCGTATGGTACTCCTCAGCTGTACTCGTCGGAGGCGGAATGACCTCCCACGGCGGAGGCGAAGGCTGCCCGTCCAACCTTAACGGATGGAAATCTGTCTGCTTTGGCGTCACGGGCGAGCGGGATGATTTTGCTGCAAAGGAATCTTGACCCGCTCCTCCCTCCGCGCTCTCCTCGTCTTCCTCCTGAATAGCCCCGTTCCAATTCCCGTCTCCGTTCGGGCTATAGTTAATTCCCAGTATATGTACCGCGGGAGCAGATTCTGAAGCGGTCTGCTCTCCTCGATCCTCCTCTCCTTCTCCGACCCAGGATGACCGCCGAGGCGGTTCTGAACCAGTCATGATATACGACGAATGTGGCGACGTCCGCTCCGACCGATCTGGGTCTCGTTCTGGCTCATGCTCCTGTTGAGAATATGATAGCGGCGAAGGTACAGACGAAGCGTAAGACATGTCCGAGGTAGGGCGCAAGGTGGCGAAGGCGAGAGGAGAGCCGGCGTGTGATGCTGAGCCATAGGAAGCTCGGGCGTCGGCGTCAATGGCAGCACTTGTACTGTCCAAATGGGTCGGGGTGATGCTCGATTCTGCAACCGTTGTCATGATGGAACTTGCATGAAGCAGTGGGGATTGTATGTACGACGGAAGGCTTGTAATCTGGAAGCAGAGAGATGGTGGAGGAGTAGAGGAAAGTATTGAGCAGACTTGCTGGGCACCCCGATCTTGGCGTTGCACTTCCGCGCCGGCAGTTCGGCTTTCTTCAGTGTGTGGCACTCGCTATGTGGCGTGTTACTCTGTGGCATCAAGTCATGTACAGCAGGAACGTCCACGGTATTTTTTTGTTGTTGTTATCGATACATACGCATTTAGACAGATAATCTTCAACATATCATGGTATCTACTGAAAATCTAGTGGACACCTCAGGTCACCATAAGTACCTATACGATTCGTAGGGCAGCAAGCTACCATTCGACGTCACGACGAGAGGACATAAGTACTTAAGACGACATTTCCATTCATCAGAAAGGAGACCTTTCGCGGTGATTGGTTGGGGTTCAAGTGGTACCTCATTACCATGTGAAACTGGCATACATCTATTCGAAACATACCGCATGACTTGCTGAATTGCACGGAGTACACGAAATGAACCTTGCTCAGTCAAGTAAACACACGAGGGAGCCTGAGGACGACCAGACTTCCAGCGATTAAGGTATGCAGCATAGTTTTTTTTCGACCGCACTCGTTTAGAGGAACTTACGTCCATGACGAGGCACAAAAGACTTACCCGGACATCCCATTGACAGCATCGACTAGTCAGACCACACACACTCTCTCTCACTGAAGCAGACACCAGAGAACAGTCCAAACAGATGACGCAATATTCAAACTCTCATTTCACATTTCACAACTCGAGCAAGAGAAACAGAATAAGTAAGTAAACAGCCTACTCCAACATACACAAAAAAGCATTCGACACGACCACACCCTTCGCTTCGAACCGACTCCGACTTCTGCACGAAACTCATCGACGTCATAAAAAAGCAAGCAAGCAATTGATATGTATGTATGTATGCAAGGGGGCAGGACAAAGAACGTGAGGTGAACCAACAGACACGAACACGGAACACCACAAGGGTACGGATGCAGGAGAGGGAGGAAAAGAAGAGACACGAGCAGCAAGAACTAAGCGAGTCACGACGAGGACGAGACGAAAAAAAAATACAACGGTATTGATGTTTCAGAACCAGACGGGGAAAGAGATGTATGCATGCAACAGGGCCGAGACCAAGACGGCAAGAGCAAGAGAATGAAGGGGGCATAAGATTCATAAAATCGCATCATAAAGCGCAACAAACAAAACAAAAACGACGACGACCATATCCTACGAAGACTTGTCCGCACCCCCCGAACCAGCCGAACCGGGACCTTTCACCGACACATTCTGCGAACTCGAAGCCGATCCAGGACCCGTCGAAGGATTCATCACGTCCGAGAACTTACCCCTCCCCGACGACGCAGTCGGCGGCGTCCTCGAATGCGACCTCCGTCCCTCCCTATCCACCTGCATCCTATCAGCATCCGCTGGTGAGGGCGCTGACGATGCTGGTGAGAGCGTGGCGATAGGAGGAAGGTTGACGCTCGACGAATGCGCGAGCCCCGCGCCGATGGGACGAGGATGAGGCGGAAGCACAGCGGGCAGCTGAGGACTGGAGGGGTACGACTGCTTCGACTTATCTAGCTGCCTGTTCTCCGGCGAACGAGACGAGGGCCCGGTCCTGTATGGAGCAGGTGACGGACGGGTGGACGAATGGCTCATCGACGACGAAGGCGGTGGCGAAGGACCCCTCCTCATCGACGAAGGAGCCTCCATCCTCGTCCTCTTGTTGTCGGTCTCGTCCGAAGCAGGGCTGAGCGGCCTCTTCGAGCCGGCACTGGGAGGAGTGTGTTGAGACCGCGTCGACGAGATCGAACCCCGATGACTGTGGCGGGACGTCATGGACGGAGTCGGCGAGACCCTCTTCGCAGCACCAGAGACGGCAGGCCCGCTGATGGTGACATGGTACCCTTGCTCCGGAGCACGCGAAAGGTTGAGGAGAGTATCGGCGACACCCTCGTCGTAGTCTTCGTCTACGACTCGTGACACGGAGATAGGGTTAATCGGCGAAGGCTGGACGGAACGATGGTTGGAAGACGACCCGTTTGAGCTCGTAGGCTCCGGCGAGTCGTTCGGTTTAGCAGACGCATACGAGACTTTGAAAGGCTGCAGTTGAGAGCCCTGCATACGGTCGTTGGCGGCATACGACGGCTTCGGTGTCTCCGCACGCACACTATCCTCCCTCGTCCGTTTCGTCGACGCTCGCTTCTTACGCTCCTTCTTCACCGGCTCAGGAGCAGGCGGAGGACCACCGGCAGGAATCTCGACCTCCTTCTCCTTCCTTCCACCACGACGCTTCGACTCTGGAGCAACAGACGAACCACGCTGCGACACGTGAGGGCTCTCGGACCCCCGAACGCTACTACCCACGAAAGGCGGAGGCCCGCCTCGACCCATACTCCTACCGTGGTCCGCGGGCTCACCGTACGGACGATGACCACCAATGGATTCGTGGCTCACCGGGATGGGCGGCGAAGGAGGCGCCATGGCGCCACTACGCTGCATTTCGTAATACTGCTGCCTCGAAGACGGACGCGGAATATGAGGCGGCTCCACCGGTTCACGCCCACGGCTGTGTGGGGGGCTGGCGACCCGTCGAGGGGGAGGCGAGGGCGCACGCGCAGGATAGTAGGGGGTGTGCTGGGGGGTGTGCTGAGCGGGGTGACCAGGATACTCGCTGCTCGGCGGACCTCGTCGACCTCGCTCCCAGTCACGACGTTCCCAACCAAGTTCCGAGGGGTGAGAGTTGCTGACTTCACGTCCATACATGTGAGGAGAACGGCTGTGAGAGCTGGATTGACCAGGGCCCGGAGGAAGTCTTCCATTATGCGAGTAGCCTTGGTAGGGTGACGCAACCGGAGAGTGCGCCCGTACGTGAGGTGGTGGCGAAGCAGGATGGGAGGGCGGGCGAGAGGTTCGGCCATAATAAGGATCATGATGAGGAGCGGGGCCACGAGGCTCTTGCTCGTGGACCTGGGGGCCCGTATGATGAAGGAGCATGTTCAACTGGCCCCCTCTTGTGTGGACATCGCGTCCGACTGGGGGAGGGGCGTAAGCACCGTTCGACTCACGTACATGCGGAGGAATGTGGTCGACGTCCATTGGCGCGAGCGGGGTGTGAAGAGGCCCCCGACGAGAGTCGTCGAGGACGACGGGAGGTGGAGGACCGCCTCTGAAAGGAGCCGGGGACGTACGCCCAGGACCGAGCTGAGGGGGCGGCGGCATCGATATGCTGCTATCGGGGCCGCGCGAATCAGCTCGGAAAATTGGTCGAGGACCCCCAGCATGAAGCATAAGCGGTGGGCCAGCGAGACCAGGTGGAGGAACGACAGCACTAGCGTAGGCTGTAGGATGTACATCTTGTGGTGGCGGTGCGGCTGGCAGTTGAGCACCCGTTGCCTGCGAATGCTTCAACATCTGAAGCCGCTCGGTAATGGCTCTGTTGTTCTGATCTAGCTCGGCCGCACGAGCGTAAGCGTCGATGGCGTCGGAAATCTGGTTGTTGCAGCTCTCGTACAGACTGCCGAGGTCGAACCACACTTCGGGGATGTAAGGGTTGATGCGAATAGCACGAGAGTAGGCATCGAGAGCGTCGCGGAACTGGTTGATCTGGAAGTACAGGACGCCGATGGAGCACCAGAACGTAGGGTTGCGGCCATCCCTGTAGACAGCCTGCTGGTACGCCTCGTACGCTTTGTTGTACTTTTGCCCAGCCATGTACGCACGGCCAAGCAGGTACCAACTCTGTGCATCGGAGGGATCTAGCGAAAGTTAGATTAACATGGGTTTATACGCGACAAGAACCAGAACGAACCCGCTTCTAAGCTCTTTGTAAGATATTGGATCGCAGTTTCCTGACTCTGGAACTCAGGGCCGTCTTGATGGTATAGCCAACCCAGTTGCTGCAGAACCTTCGCGTGATGGTCGTTTTCTTGGACTACACGCTCGTAAGATTCTTTGGCACGTCGATGCTGGCATAGGATAATGTGATGAGACTCGAGAATGATTCGCATGGAGCAACAATACTCACGTCACCCTGCTGCTCGTAGACGTGGCCGATCTGGAACCAGATGTCGGCATGGGCCAATGGGCTGGGAGGGTTGCGAAGGATACGATCGAAGCAGCGCAAGCTGTCTTCGTACTTGGTCTGTTGCTTATAGATTATGCCCAGGCGGAAAAGAACCTCGTTGGATTTGTCAAAGTCTGTAAGGACTGCATCATTAGTCAAGGCGGACCCGTGGACGAAAAATAAAGGTACCTTTGTCCATCTTGAGAACGGAGGCGAATGCCTCCTCGGCGTTGTCTAACGAGCCATAACGGTCGTAGAGGATGCCGATGCCGTACCACAGCTTTGGGTTCTCCTATGAAGGATGACGCGTGAGAGAGCGTAAAGGCACGAAGGCTAAGGGTAAGCATTACCTTAGGGTTTGGAAGAGAATAGAGAGCCTGCTGATAGGCCGAGTATGCCTTCTGCAGGTCGTCTTGCATGAGATAGCAGTGCCCTGAGAAGCATCGTGAGCGAAAGGTGGGAGGGAGCAAAGGACAAGAATAGACATACCGAGAGCACTCCAGATTTCGCCGTTATCGGATTGAAGATTGAGAACGCGTTGGAAGTACTCGACCGCCTGGAAGCAAAGTGGGATGACGTCAGCAAACCAACTCCGCGGCGATAACAAATCGGGGCGCCAAGTGGCCGGGTCACGTACCATTGGATAGTTCTCCTTAATTCTGGCGATCCCTGCTACCTGGGTGAGTCCAGGGATTGACATGGGGTTGTGCCGCAGAGCGTTCTCATAGGCAGAGAGCGCATGTTCGAGATCGCCCATTTGTTCGGCCACGCTGCCTAGATCACAAGTGAAAAGGTAAGTACATGTGGATAACGTTGTTTCCACAAACGGCATGCGGTTATACCTATAACGAGCCACGTCTGTTCATTGGCGTCTGCGAGCTTCTGGATGGAGGGGGGAACGGCGGGCGCGACCTTGGGGGAGGTGTTCGAAGAGTGGGGAGGAGGTGGGTGAAGAGCGGATACTGCACCGTTTCCGTTGGTCTGGGTTGGGGGGAGATGAGAGTGATGGACCTGTGGGTCGTGCATGCGCTCGCGGTCAGCCCGCGGGGGAGGCCTGAGGGACATCGTTGAGCGGGTGGGGAGATGACGCGCCCGGGACGAGGGGAACGATGAGGACGGGGGGAGGGTGGCGTCGAGGGGGGATGATGGAGGGGACGTGCGGCGTAGAGGGCGAGGGAGATGGAGGTGTTCGCGGGGCGCTGAGATGCGGAGTATTTAAGAAAGGAGGACGAAAGGCAGGGTCGCACGCAGAGGGTGGATCTGGCGACCGAATCTGAGGACGGGACGCAGAAGACGTCAAACCCGGTTGCAAATCAACCCAACCAAAATTTGCACGAGCTACGCGCTTCGTGCCTCGAGCCCGGGACGGCTGCTCGGTCTGATCGCTTCCCCTCGGCCATCGCCCATTTGTCCTCCGTCGGTAACTTGCCTCTCGAATCAAGCTTCCCGATCTCGCGTCTTCTGACATCCATCCGCCTCCGCCGACCCCAGAACGCGTCCATCGATGCTCCCAGCGAGACGCCTCCTCCGATCGCCCAGAGCCGCCATCATATCAGCCCGCATCCTCTCTTCGTCCTGCGCCGTCCTCTATCCTTTTATCCCGCGCTGCGATGCACGCTCTGGGTCTTTAATTTTGTCTGTCCGCTTGGAATTCCAACATGACGTTATCACTGACCTATCGCAACGCCCCTGCAATTTCGTCAAATCTCATGCAGCATGCGGATCGCCCCAACAGCGTCCTTCTCCATCCAGGCACAGCTGTATGGATATGCTTGATATCTGGCTGTACTTTCAGCACTCGACTATGCCATCGTCCATATCCATTTCCTCTTGCGTTCTCCTTCCGAAACTAGAATCCCCGTCACGGACCGTGTCAGAGATGTCAATCATAGCTCGCATGACACAGCCATGCAATTCCCGTCGCAGGGTGTGTTTGTTGCTCATTCCGCAAGAACCGTTCCCGGCGTTCCTTCCACTCAACGCATTCTCAGACTTGTCTCAACGAGGAACCTCTGCTTCCGGTCGCATCGATCTCAGATCCAAACGGGCAATCCCCGCTCCCCGCCAGTCAAATCCAGATTAGCAAACTCCAATCAGCTGCCGAGAGGGGCAAAGCAGCGCGAGCCAGTCGCGACACGAGGACCCCCATCAAAATTCAATTACACTCAGATGCAATCTCTCTTTTTGCCGGCCGGCCTTAAGATCGCACGCGCGCCGCGCCTGCCAGTTCCTTTACGCCCGAACAGGGGTCGCTTGTCACTTGACGACGGCCACCTTCGTCAACGATAGATACATACGTACCGCGGGGCCCACCATTACGCGCTCAAGGCCCTCGACGCTAATTCGACCGTCGAACTTCATTTCGAGGCACCGCTCCGGGCAGTGTCGTCCGATGAGACAACACGCGCAAGCGCAGGATGATGGAATGGGGCGGCGCCTGCCAGTGAGTTGTGACATGATGCAGAGAAGAGCAGAGTCGCCCGGTGGCCTGACTCATGGCGGCTATCGCGTGGCGAAGTTCTAGGTCTGACATGACAGGAAGAGATCGAGCTTCGGTGCGTGAGCGGCGAGCGCTTACGGTAGAGTTTATATGACAAAAACAAAACGGGTGCGCCATCGGTGCTGTTCCGACTCTTCCGAAGCGTGCGGATGATCATCGCAGCATCATTTACCGCACGTCGCCCTATCTCGATCTCGATTCCTAAAATAAGCGACGTCTCTGGCTGTACGTTCGCTCCGCCAGCGTCCCGGGTGTTTGCGTTTCTCCTAACGTTATTTTACCATCGCTGCGTCTCCGGTCACGGCTCCCCGCGTCACTGGCTCACGCTGCTGTGACGTGGCCGCATCACTCGTCACAAGTTTTCTTTCTCCTTCATCGCAGAGCATCGTCGTACCTTCAAAGGGCAGTCATGACTCGTAAGTACAGGCAAACGGAGTACGCACCCTCGTCTCTCGTCTGATTCAGTCGATGCTCGTTGTCTAGGTGGTAATCAGCGTGAGGCGGACCGCGCGAAGGCGCAGAAGAAAGCAGCTGCGACCAAGGGCAAACCGAAAGAGAGCGCAAGCAGTCTGGCCAAGCGGAAAGAACAGTAAGTCAGCCCGCGTCATACCTCTCCGTCCAAGCTTCTGACAATGAAAACGTACACTCTGCAGAGACGCCGAGATCCTTCGCGCGAAACAAAAGGTACGTCTCTTCGAGCTGACTGAATATCACGATCATTCTACATATCCCGTCCTACCGCAGGCGAAGGAAGAGGCGGCGGCGGCGGCGGCGGCAGCGGGCGGTGGGACAAAGAAATAGCATCACTCCGCGACGAACTATGATAGTCCGACTTTCTCTTGGCTACAATTAACGACGTTTCGCGGAATGGAGATCCCGTCATAATTTAGATCCAGGCTTCATCTGTCTCTCCTCACTGTCAAGGGGCTGTTTGCTGGTGGCGAATGCGATTCTTTCGTCCGATGGTTCGGATATCTCCTCTTTGTTCCATGCTCTCGGTCGCAGTCCTTGTAATGCTATAGCGTTCTTCTCTTGTTCGTTCGACGTCCTGACCGAACCTTGGATCCGCATCTGCATCCTCCAACGCACGCTCAAAGTCTCAGATCTCCTCCGCGGCATTAATTTAAAACGGCGCTGCTCAAATGCACGGACCACCAGCCTCACACGCAACTTGTTCCACTGGAATCCAACTATTCACCTTCGTCACCGCGGTGATTGGGGAAGGACACTTTAGGGTTGCGCGGGCCCTGCCAACCTTCCTATTGCTTCTTCGGTTCTTCTCAGCACTCACTCCTCCCCGGATCTGGTCATGAGTTCGAAGAGTGTGCTGGTCCAAATCAGGATGTGTTTAATCCACGGCCATCCCGGATGACCTTCGGAGTGGCGTCTGTGGCGACCTCGGGTTCAGAGAGTTCCAAACGTCGCGGGGCAATCTTCGCGTGACCACTGCTTTCTCCATCGTCCCTGCTCTTCTTGGAGTACGGGAAGAACGTCTCCACTGAAGGGAGAAGCCATACTTCCGCACTTGGACTGAATACAAGAATTGCGACTTCCACCGAGCTTCCTTCTTCCTCGTTTGTTCCTCGTCGAGCTCTCCGATGATCGCGAAAGAGCGGCGGGGCGTAGCGTTCTTCTTCAATGCAATCGAGCACCCTACGGTTGCCCTGGTGTATCAGGTCTAATTTCAGGATTCGCTCTTCGGCTTGCGTCCTCGACCTTCGCAGGAACGTTGACAGGTTCTCGGGGTCCCAGATTACGTAATCGACGCGTGCCCTTTCGCGTGCCACTCGGGCCACACAAATGCTCTGCCGAGTTCCAGCTCCACTGTTTTTGGGGCTACACTCCCTCAGTAAAATAGTAGAAATACCGCAACAATTTATGAAGGCTTGTACAATGATGTAGATAATTTGAGGGCTTAGTGCACAATTATCCAACCTAATATAGGCTCATAAAACAGCCAAACACTGGTCTGTACTGCTGTACCACACCCAGAGCTCCTGCTGCTCATCTCTTTACAAACCAGAGTGTGTGTTAAATATTAATGGGAGCCATTCAGAACCTTTTGGTACTATACAGTATT